GCTAGATCTATAAAAAGAAAATATCTAGCTTAGATATTTAGCGCTATTAGTAGGCGTAGTAGTAGCCGATTCTACCTCTAACTATAGTACTAGTAGGCTCGAAGATAGTAGTAGTACTAGTATAGTAACGATAATAATACTTCTAGATTAGAAAATATATAATAATATAGAGTAATAGTAATATTAGAGTAAGAAAGATACGTTTCTATACTAATTACTATATAGCGCGTCGCGACTACTCTATAGCCGAGTAGACGAACTATTTTTTGCTAGCGTTCTAAGATAGAAGCTTCTAAAAAGACTTAGCGTAAATATATAGTAGTCTATAAGAGGAATTAACTTAAGTAATAGGAAGAATAGTATACTCTCTCGACATTCTACGACTAGGCGCAGTTTTCCGGAGTGTTAAGTATATATCATTCTCAAAGCCCTGGTCTTGGCAAGACCCGTAAGTCTAGGTTTCTGCTCACACTCCAGATTATAGCCCTACCGGTACCGAGGGCTTAGTTCTAAGCCCTGCTAAGCCCTGCTGGTGCTCACAGCCGCCCCGTACTTGCGTACCTCACCATCGTCGGACACGCCTCGGCCACTCTTGGCCTTTTCACGCGCCCTACACATTCTCCCTTCCAAGTTCCGATCCTGTGAGTCATGAAATCCAAAGGATAATAAACATACCATAAGAACATCTCCTTGTGCCTTTTCGCCACATCCATTCACACAATTATGACTCTCCTCTCTTCTCGAGGCCGCGGGCTTCAGGACTTCTACCCACCGTATTTCGAAATCTTCGACGATCCATGGAATCCGGATACGAATCCAAATGGCTACTTAAACCTTGGAGTTGCTGAGAATGTGAGACAGGTGGAATGCAGTACTCGATAACCACAACTGACGTCCGGCATAGACTTTGATGCAGCCAGAGATGAAAAAATACATTGACCAGAATGTGAGTTGGAATTCTCGCTCACACACTCATGGCTATGCTGAGAGGGCTATTTGGCGATAGATCGATCATGATCCACGCAGGATGAACTACGGCGACGGGTTCTTTGGCTCGAAACAATTGAACTCTGCAGCATGCAAATTCTTGAATAAGACATTTTCACCTACTACGCCCTTGACTTCGTCACATCTGATCGCTACTGCGGGTGTCGGTAATGCTTTGGAGGCTTGCGCCTGGGCGTTGTGCGAGCGGGACGACTACATACTCATCGGACGCCCTTATTGGGGTAGCTTCAAATTTATGTTTGGCGCTCGAGCAGGGTACGCTTGACCTTCTCGCGAGTCACGGTGTTGTTACAACTGACAGTATTTCAGTGTCAAGATCAGAGAGGTTTCCTTCGGCTCCATCGATCCCTTCACACTAGAAGCTGTGAGTGTATACGAAAAGGAATGCGAGCAAGCGCGTAAAGAAGGGAAGAAGGTTTCGGCACTTCTTCTTTGCACTCCTCATAACCCGACGGGTATGTTCCGAGTTCGAGACCCGCCCATCAGACGCTGAATCTCATCCTGCAGGACGCTGCTATTCTAGAGATGTCATGGAGGCCTACCTGGCTGCTTGTCAAAGATTAGGCATTCATCTCATCAGCGACGAGATATATGCGCTGTGCGCTTGGGACAACCCCAAGGCGCCTGATACAACTCGTTTCACTTCTGTGCTATCACTAAATGTGGAAAAATTCATCGACCCAAGCAGAGTCCACGTAGTATGGGGCACGAGCAAGGTAAGATGAGAATAATGATTCATTTAAGGCGGCTTTCCGGACTGACAAATGCAGGACTTTGGTGTTGCTGGCATCCGCATTGGCTTCCTGATCAGCCAGAGCAACCCGGAATTTCTCAGATCCGCAAGGAGTATCTCGTACGACTGTCCAGAACAAGATCTTAAGTGCATAGAAACTAACCAAAGCCAGGCTATTCAACTATCCGTCCAGCATAGCAGACCACGTGGTGGCCAAACTCTTCGGTGATGAACCCTTCATGGAATGGTACCATGCTGAGCACCGAGCGCGACTTGCCACTAGCTATCAGTTCGCGGTCGACTTCATGGAAGCCCAAGACATCCCATACATCCACACACATGCTGGCCTGTTTCTTATGATCAATCTGGGAGCTAAAATGTTTCGAGGCATGACAGATGACGAGATCCATCAAAAGTTGAAGGCGCAAAAGGTTTACATTTACTCTGGCAAAACTTTCACCTATGAGGAGCCTGGCTGGTTTCGCCTTGTGTTCGCGCACCCGGTAGCGACATTGCAAGAGGGTTTCAAACGACTTCTTCGGGCATCACCGCAAGGGAAGCAAAAATTGCCGACAACGCAACTTGAGAATCTTTGCATCGACGAGAACTCGTGCGGACAATGAGAATACTGGTGTGGCCAGTGTTGAATGAACAGTCCTACGAAGTTGTTTTCGTTTTTTATGTTGACGCTTCTCGTCCTCTCAAAGTCGCACACTATTCAAATGAGTGAATACAGTAGGTGTGAACAAAGTTTCTCCAGGCCCGCAGTTTTCTTCCCTCGCCACAGATGCAGTCTTCGTCTGAGTTGCAACGGCCCTGCTGCGTCTGCTAGCATCTAAAGCACTAGCCAGAAGTCAGCAGGGAGCTCTATTCCAGCACAAAGTGCTGAAGCAGTGATTGCTCCCTCACCCACCGGGCACACTGCTCAGTTGCATGGCGGAGCTCGAGATCGCTCTCGAAATCGCCCCGGAAGACACTCATGCAGGACAGAATGTACTCAACCCTGACGCGCAGTAAAGCGACACTGGCCATTTCAGTACGCCTCAATTACGCCACAAGGTCGTGCACTCGCTGCCCTGCATGAAAGTCTTCCGGGGCGATCTCGAAAGCGATCTCGAGCTCCGCCATGCCCCGAGCAATGATGCTGATACTGACAATGGAGCGACTGTATCTGATGTTAGCGTTTCGGAGGAGCCTGTCACTGTACCTAGTTGTCGATCTGAGCAGGCATGTTGATGCCGATCTTCCGCATCACGGACTCGATCAGTGGGATGCTTCCTCCACAGTCAAGGTAAATGGCACCAATAACTGCTTCCAGACTGGTCGCCAGAGTGGCATCACTCAAGCGACCAAAGTGCCCAGGATGGGGGATCAAGCACCGGTCGAGTCCGATCTCACGTGCAACTGCCGCCAGGTGAATGTTACTCAATTGAGCGAGCCAGTTGCTACCAACTCCTGAGAAATCGTCAGAGTTGTCCCGAAATGGCCAGATCGTGGTGATAACCTCTGTCTGCACCGGATGGGTACCAAGCGGCCACCATAGCTATGCCAAGAGCACCATCGCCGACAAGAGCCAGGCGTTTGTTGCTTTGACGGCCGGTCAGGCCACTGGTGTCAATCGCTTCGTAGAGTAGGCCGAGGTTGGAAACATCATATCCGAAATGGGTAGAAACAAAGCCCTGCGCCTCGTGCACTTTATCTGCAAAGGACATGGTGATTTCGGAGACGTGTGGAAAAGCAAAGAGCTTTAGTAAGTGTTCAGTAGGTTGATGAGAGAATGCGATCTTGAATGACATGTGTTTTGGCTCTTGTAGAGAATATTCTTTCAGTCCAGCCTCCTGTTTTCGTTTGTTATGATCCCCAGCCACCTACCCAGCCGTCTCGCCACATTCGCGAATGCTTGACTGGCCGGGGACTGGAGCTTCTCTGAGGGTGACAGACACCGTTATTGAGATACAGAAAGAAAGAAGAACTTATCAGGATGAAGAGAACGTGTGTTGTATCTGGAGTGGAAAAGGAAGTCGGCCATAAGTATAGTGGGTGGCCTCCGACTTTTGCCAAAAGTCGCCGCTCTTGGCGAAGGTAGGGAACGCCAATGGCAGGCGCATTCCCATCTTTCATCTTTTTCACACCCATCTTAAAAACACCTCGACTTTCCGACTCGAGCTCTCTATGTTGTGTATCCTGCTATCCTGGTTGATATTGCAAAGCAGAACATGTCTACAACCCCACCGGTAGCAACGTCCACACCATGCCGAATACAATCCCGTAAAGGGACGAAGGCCGGATCGGTGGAATTGATGCCTCCCGCCAGCGCTTCTACGGCCGCTAAATTTTAGAACTGTACCGAAGCACGCCATGGGGAGGATTACACATGACTGCGCAGCACATATCTCCGCTTACACATCTCTCATTTCGAAGGCCATCCATTTATAAGATTGCTACGCGATCCAATACAGAACTTCTCCCACTCAATTCACGCTCTCACTCGTGGCTTTGCAACACTTCACAATGGCTAGCAAGCTCTTCACTCCCCTCAAAGTTGGCCATGTCCAACTATCTCACCGCATTGCCATGGCGCCTCTCACGCGGTTCCGGGCTGAAGACGATCACGTCCATTCTGCCATGGCGAAGGAATACTACGAACAAAGAGGTAGCGTCGCTGGATCACTAATCATCACCGAGGCGACGTTCATCTCCCCAAAAGCAAGTGGGTACCCAAATGTTCCCGGGATCTGGTCGAAGGAGCAGGTTGAGAGTTGGAGGAGAATTACTCAGAGTGTGTCTACGAGGGGTTCACATATGTAAGTACGGGACTGGGAGCAGTTCCTCAGAATTGGCAGGACTCTTTGAGACACAGGAACTCACGACTCTCGAACTCCCTAGGTACCTGCAGCTCTGGGCTCTAGGCCGTGTGGCGAATCCCAAAGTCAAGGAAGCAGAGGGCTCTGGAGACGTTGTTTCCGCTTCAGCTGTGCCGGAAAAGGAAGGAGCTACCGTTCCTCGAGAACTGTCTGACGATGAAATTCGAGAATACATCCAGGACTATGCAATTGCAGCAAAGAACGCCATCGAAGCTGGATTCGCTGGCGTGGAGCTTCACGGCGCTAACGGTGAGTGCAGTACTGACCTGAAGTCACAGACTTGATGCATGGTCTCCGTCATATTTTGCATTCTAGTCTTCTCCTTGAGACAAGCGCTAATAGATCTCGGGCTGTCTACAGGCTATTTGATTGATCAATTTCTTCAAGACACCAGCAACAAGAGGACCGATCAATGGGGCGGCTCTATCGAGAAAAGGGCCCGATTCGCCATCGAAGTGACCAAAGCGGTCGTAGATGCCGTCGGATCAAAGAAAGTCGGAATCAGACTATCTCCCTTCTCAACATTTCAAGGTAAGCCATACAGGTGCTCTCGTTCTCCGTTCTCACCTGTGCACATCTAACAAGAACTACACAACACAGGCATGGGAATGGCCGATCCGATTCCACAATTCACGTACCTCGTCTCGCAACTCAAGAAATTGCAATTGAGCTACGTGCACTTTGTCGACCCTCGCATCGACGTGCGGAAAGGGTATGAAGCCACTGCTACTCTCAAACCTCTCGTTACAGCTTGGGGAAACACTTCTCCGGTCTTAATTGCAGGCGGCTTTACACCAGAGATCGCCAAGAACACTGTGGACGAGGAATACAAAGACTACGATGTTGTAGTTGTCTTTGGAAAATACTACATTTCTAATCCGGATCTTGTGTTTAGGTTGCAGAGAGGTCTGCCTTTGGCGGATTACAACCGGAGCACATTTTATGCGGCCAAGGCGAGGGAAGGATATGTGGACTGTCCTTTCTCGGAGGAGTTCGCGAGGGAAAAGAAATTATAGAACGGCATCAGCTGAAGGCGTACAATATCGTTGGCATCATGGCGTCAGTATCTCTGGCTCGCGGCTGATCAGCCCTCGATCGGAGCTTTGGCGTATAGAGACCCTAGAACGACTTCTCAGAAAACTTACACGAGAACAAGGCGAAGCGAAAAGACCTGCCTTCACAAGTTCCACTCGATATTCGCGAATGGACGCTCGTCAATGAATAGTCAAAGACTGCATTGCTAATCTCGTCTCTATCTGGCCTCAGTTTAACCCCCAGTGTTGAGCTGGCGTAAATTCTCGCTGACGGCGTCGCCTTCGATCAACGGACAGGAGTATGCTCATCCGATCAAGGAATAGGACCGCAGTGCAGGAGACAGCAATTCTCAACACCGAAAAAAGAGCCCAAGTAGACTCTGATTAGGAGTCGGACTGCAGTCGGGAGATAGCAGTATGCGCAAGACGAAAGACGACTTTTGGAAACTGTGTCAAAATTCATCGCTCTTGGCCGGGCCCACGTGGAGTCTTCTTCACATGCATCTTATGCACACTTGCGTAGTTGACAGCCCGATTCGGTATGCCTGAAGTCTGATACGAAACTTTGACCTCAGGTTCTATCAGCACGGTGGGTATGTCGAACCTCTTCGACGAATACTTTGGGACTGGAAGTATGCCTGGTTGCTCGAAGGGTGCCCGCATTGCGGTCTGCTATCTCCGCTGGACCAGAGAATGGCGATCGAAGTTATTGCAATTCAAGTGGCAATGGCAGGAGGAATTGCTGCATACCTGAACCACGGCGCGCTTTTTTGCTCCATAGGCACTCGAGTTGTCAGCTGAAGGCACAGTATTTCCGGAATTCTTTCCTGGAGTGCTTTGACCTGCCGTAGACATCGAAAATGCGAATATCAACATTTCCAGGAAAATTTACACAAGCCTCAACACATAGCTCAATACCACATCTCTCACGAAATCTCGTGGATGGCGCTCACCACGAATGATGTTTCGACAACGCGTTGAATTCATCCACAATGTTCGGGCAATATTTAGCTATTTTCAGAAGCGGAAAACTGCCACATACGGCAAAACAAACTTGCAGCTATCGCTAGTACATAACGATAGGTCGATGTTCTCCGACACAAGAAATCGCTCGGCGTGCCAATGCGCCATAGAACACTGTTTACGAGTCAGTTCTGCATGAACAGCTACAATTCAGCCTTGTGTCAAACTAGCGTGGAGCTACCACAAAGTTACCAAGATCTGTACACAGCATGCAGCTCACCTTTCCCAGATCGGATAGATCTCTCGTGTTTCCCGTATCATCGTTGCTATGATGCGATTGAAGGCTTGGAATCGGCATGTGCAAGTACAGATGTCTTCATGGGACTGCGTCCGTATTTTGCAATATGCTGGACTTTCGAAGCAGCATCTCGACAACTCCCCGTCACCATCAGAATCAATACGCTCATTCGGACGATGGCAGCCCGCGGGAAATTCCTGGCTTTGTTGGTCGCTAGCTTTACTTTTGTAGCAACGTGAGTATTTGCGCGCACGTTTAGTCGCTCGCATTGACATTCTGTGGGAAGTGCATCATCACATCTGATTCGGTCTACCACACAAAGCTATTCCCGAGATGTACAGACCAGCTCAGCACAAGGTAGGCCATAGCCAATGCATAGATCCGTGTCTTTTAATGCTGACTTCAATGACTAGGTCTTGTGATAACCGATTGCCCGTCAGGTGGCAGGCGAGTTGCACTGAGCTTCGATGACGGGCCTTCCAAGAATGTAGACGATATCCTAGCCCAGCTCGAAGCATACAATGCGACAGCAACTTTCTTTGTTAACGGTCCAGATGGCCAGGACTGGACAGGAACCTGGGAGATCGCGTCGGAAATCCTGCAACGCATCCACGCCCAAGGGCATCTGCTTGCATCTCACACGCAAGTAAACCCGATGCCGTAGTTTCGTACATCTTCGCTGACAACAAGCGCAGCTGGACGCATGCGAACTTGACAGAAGCGTCATACGATGAGACTGTCGCTGAAGTGGTAAGCTACCGTTTCTCCTTTCGATAGCGCTGTAACAGCACTGACGCAGCTTCAGAGCCAAATAGAAAACTGGTTCGCCAACCTTTTCGGCTTCCACCCCAACTTCTTCCGCCCTCCTTATGGCGAATGCCCGGAACTGTGCCGAAGCACGCTCACCGAACTTGGCTACACCATTGTCAACTGGAACCTTGACACGCAGGACTGGCGCTATCCGGATATCACAAGTGCTTTTGAGCGGATGGAAACCATTCGTGTCACGGAAGAAGAGTTGCGAGTCAAGGAAGCTCCTCCCATTGTACTCATGCATGATCCGATCGAGTCCACCGCGGCAGTCTTACTTCCAGCTGTTCTTGAGTATTTTTCTGGATTGGGATATGGGTTCGTTTCGGTAGCGGAGTGTCTGGGCACACCAAGAGAAGGATGGTACCGGGCCGTGAGTTATGTTTGAGCTCCAAGAAACAGTCGATTGGGCGAGTGGCGGGTATTCCAGATGTCTACACACAGACCTGTTGCGTCTCTCGAGAACTTGCCATGCATAATGTGAAATTCGCTCATCCCCGCCTTATCCCGCCTTGTAATCAGACACATGTGCTCTCTCTCTCTCTCATCTTCATTGCGTCTCTCAGTGTCGTGCTCATAACCATCGATACGGAAATGTCGGCCAGCCGATAATTCTCAAAGACATCACTGAACCGTGTCACGCGCGCCCCATTTATTATACAAATGACTGCTTCGCCTGCACGACCAAAATTTGCTCCTTTCGCGTAGCCACCTGCTTATGAAATCAACCCATGCGGGCGATGCCAGTCTCGAAAGGGATGTCTTCGTCAAGAGAGGTCCGTCGGAACAGAGCAGGGGAAATCTCAGCGCCGGACACCGGAGTCGGGACGGCAGGATTAGCGGGTGGCACAGTCGGGGGACCAGTTCCAGGAACAACGATACTGTGATCGTCTTCTCCAAGTTCTTTGCGTTCTTTTCGGCAATGACGATCTGCGCACTGTATGATCTCAACGTCGTGGCGTAGTTCTTCCTCGGTCAAAGGTCTTGTTGTGTTCAACAAGTCATCTCGCAGCATGATGCGATCATCAATGAGCTCGAGGCGCTTCTGAGGTGGTTTTGGTGCCTTCGCCGGAGGTTCTGGGTCCCCAGCCTGCTCGGAACCAGTGCGCTCGGGGGCAGGCCGGCCCTTTTCGACATCAGGACGTGCTTTCTTAGCTGCTTCATGCATGGATTTCGGTGGTGCATCAGCGTACAATGAGCCCTCTGTGACTGATTTTTTGTACTCGTTCGGCATCGCGGCCGTTTTGTACCAAGGGTCATCAGTGAGTATTGCGTAACCAGGGTCGAGGGGAGCTATATCTTTTGGCCAGCAAGGATTTTGCTTCAGATTCCAATCGTTTTCTGGTGCGGGTTTATCGACGCCAGTCCAGTCGAACGCGATCTCATACAGCGCTCGGGTGAATGGGACGTCCTTCCATGTGGAATATTCGGTTACTGTGCCATCACTGCCCTTGACTTTCCGAGTCACTGGCGTCTTGAGGTCCAATAATCTGCTGTTGAGCGACACCTGGTTGTATGAGTCGTCATCCTCCAACTTTTTACCCTTCAAAGTCTGCCGCTTCCGAACTCTCTGGCCATTGTAGTCTCCTCCGTCTTCTTGATCGCAGAAACTGACCCAGATGCTTGGCACTCCTTGATTCTCTGAGCCGGGGAGCCAGCGAATGTACTGGCCCCATTCTTTCTTTTGCCTCTCTTGATCATCCGAAGGCAGGAAATACGCAGGGGGCCACTCGTCCGCCTGGCAATTAGGCTTTTCTTTGGTCGTCCCTCGGAACACATACTGGTTATCTGCCATCGTGTAGCTCTGCCAGATTCTATCACTGTGCTGGCTGGACCAACTGCTTGTCGTTTTCTCATTGACACGAACATTACCGTCCTCGCAGAAGAAGCTACTTCGGGCTCCATTTCGTATGGCAGAATAATAGTGGGCACAAGCTTGTGGATGGTTTGACGCGATGCAAGTTTTCGTAAAATTGCAGTCTTCGCCATCACGGCTCGAGAACCGTCGACGATGTATGACGAAATTGTGGATATGTCGCAATCATCACCTAGGCCTTTGTCAGGACTCACAGCAACTTTTCATGGTACTCTGCGGTGCGTACAGACCTTTCGGTGCACGTTTATCGTGCTTCTTTGTGCATTGCTTTGGGCTTTGTGATGATTCAGCGGACTTGGTCTGGTCCGTGGGCTTGCTGGGCGCGGAGGGAGAAGGACTTGGACGTTCTGGCCTGTCGTCCTTGCCGCCTTTACCTTTTCCCGGAACAAGCCCAGATAGGTAGTCAGTAAGATCTTTCGAGGCTCCTGAGCCCTTCGCCCAGGATGGCGGAAAGTTTCGTGCAGCATTTGCGAAGATTTTTGCGGGACCTACAGCACTGGCAGCAGTCCAAAACGCTTCGAACACTCGCTGTCCCTCTTCAGAAGTGTACTTGTTGCCACAAGCGCCATCAATGGCTTGAGTGGAAGGTGCGTTCAACCAGTCGGTGAAACCTTGTCCAGCATCCTGAGCGGACTCCATCGTGTAGGCCAGGGTAACTGCTGCTTGCATAGCCGCATGCGCCACAGTTGCGACAGCACCTCCCACTCCTGGCTGGTATGGCAGCGAGGCCGCCAGTGACAACGGTGCTTATGCCCGTAATCCAAGTCTTGCATGCGATCTTGCGCGTGTCAGTAGATAAAGCAAGGCGAGCGGACGTACAACTGGGCTTGCAGGACGCAAAGTCCTTCAAAGGTACTAATCAGTGCTCACCTTTTCAATGGCTAAATGGTCAGTCAGCATTGCCCCGTCCACAGTTCTCAAACTCTTCTCTTACCTGGAACAGCGGTATTGGCAAACCATTCTGCGATCGATGTAATGAGCCGGCCATTACACTCGCAGCTGCCTTGGGCAACTTGGGTTTCACCTGCGCCTTTCAGTCTTGTGGACTCATCCTTGTGATCTCGTGAGACTGACCAACAAAATTATAATTCTCCCAAGCTGGTGGATCAGCCCAACTGATACAGGCGTTGGCGGCAGTTTGATTGTTTGCGAGATTTTCCGCAAATGCTTTTGCGCAGAATGAGACACATTGCTGTTTAGAAAGCTCCTCATCGATAGGCCGCCAGTCCCATTTGCCATATTGATCGAAGGTCTTTCTCTGGAAGATGGTGCATTTGCCATCTAGTTGATCTGAAAAAGGTTGAGCACCCCCAGTAGCATCTGGTGCGGATGGGAAGGTGCGAGCATTGCCTTGATTCGAAGGCGCGGCTTGTTCCGGGAATGAAACTGTGAACGTTGTAGTAGATGATGGGATTGTTTTCGACCGAATTGAGTTGTAGGTGCAGACAGGGCCTGTCTTCGTGTGCAGCACATCTGGTATCCCATCTCCGACCACCTCTGTACAGTATGATACCTGTATTTAAGAACACTAGAGTAAGAAAGTGTTTCCAAGCTTTAGTCTGACTCAGACGTGCGAGCGAGAGGCTGATGACCAATCGCATTCACGTGTGAGGCAGGGATGGATGAACTCACTGGAGCCAATGTAGGTAGGTCTGTAAGCACTCCTACGAAAGAAGGAGCAGGTATGGCAGCGGTTAGCTGCCAAAGAGTAGAGAACAGGAAAAGAGAAAAGGACAGGCCTGTCGCCATACTGGATGAACGACAGCAAAGCGTCAAGGAGATATTGCGGCGGAACTCGATGCGATGGTGAGGTTGTGAGGTAGTACTACGTCTTGCCCATACCAGGCTCGAGCTTAAGTACTCTCATCCTGTCTTTGCATATTGGCGTATCTCGTCCGGATACCACGCAACTGTGCGGCGTGAAAGTTGGTTTCTCCTCCACGGCGGCTCTTCAAAGACCAACACAGCCTCGTGGTATGGCTTGAAACCACTCAGTAGCTTGCTAAGAATCCAACGATTGACAAACTCAATGTTCTACCATTGAGAGAGACGAGATTGACGCCGGGATGCCGCAACGCCGCAGCAGTACATACTTCAACGAGCAAAGCCTTCGAATTTGCAACGCAGCCGGCACGATGCGCGGAGTGCAGCCTGTCCTCGTTGTCAGCTACTGCATGTATGAAACTTGACTGAGCGATGAATTGTTGGAGATTTGACCAGTTCGTCGTTATAGCCACTTTGTAAGTGCAGCCAGGGTGAATAGTTTCCGACCTTTCCAGTGTGATCGTCATCTTGCTTTGCCTCCACAGGTGACTAAAAGTCCTTTCGAGGTGGTAAATGAGTTTTCAGGCTGTTGACAGCAGTCGTGAACCTCAGCGCTTCCCTCCAGAGCGTCTGTAGCAATAAGGTTCATCTCCGCTGTCTAGGTAGACGCGCGGGTCCTATGTGTCGTCGATCCGGCGCTACTTGAAACAGCGATCATTCGCAAGGGCGTCTATCGCATTTAAAAATAGGCTATATTGCGCTTGTGTTGGAACTTTAATAGCCGCTTGTTCGAGTCCGTTCAAGAGTAGTTGCCTAGACGAGATGCTCATAGATCGTAGAGCGAATCAACATCTGGATCCGGCTGTCAAACTCTGTATTCGAGGTTTCAGCGGTAATACTCGGTGATACGATCTCAGATGTGGTCGTTGAAAGTATAGAATGCATGTCATGTAAGCGCAACAGGTGTTTGAAGCGCATTGGCTCATATTGCAGCGAGTTCAGCAAGACATTCACCCTTCCTATAGTTCTCCATAGGCCAACCTTGCTTAACGAATATCTCACGTAAACGCTTGAATTGTGCTTCATCGTATTTATTCGAGAGCCGAATCTCCTTGTGCCGAGTCGGGAAAGCGTCTAATATGTCCAACAAAAGATGTAAAGACTGCGAGTCCAAAGAGCCGAGACAATGCTGCACGTCACGACTGAGCTTGAGTCATCTCAGCGAGGCTGGAGGGCCGTTTCAATCACGTGCATTGAGCGTGCAAGGGCACAGTAAGCAAGACTGGCGCTTCCCGATACCGGGTCCTGCATGCGCCGACAGATCGCTACAGATGGCGTGTTTTGTTCAAGGCACTAGAACAAAGCAGAGCTCGCTATCACGATGTGCTTATGTTTCGCCAGCATTCAAAAGTTGGCCAGGTCTTCTAGGCACTCTGATTTTCGAAAGGCTTCTCCTGGCCATCCATGCTTGTCGAAAACTTTGCGGATCTCGCTCATCTCGTCTTTCCCGGTCATTGCAGCCAAGCATACTTTGTTCGGACGAATGGGGTATGCATCCAGCTTTCGAAAAGACTCTTTGGTTGTCTCCGCAAATATCCGAGGAGATGCTTCAGGTGCGATTGCACCCTCCTGAAAGTCCACGTGGATGACCTCGCGGGTTCTGACGTCGCAAAAAATGTACCAACCATTCCGTCCAGCAGATTTCCCAAGCGTCGCAAGGTATTTCCCTCGCTCGACTTTCAACGGCTCCCAATTGCAAGTGTCCATGATCTCCTCAAGCGGGTCAAAGAAGTCTTTGCTAGTTTCAGTGAAGTTGTTGCATTCGCAGCCTTCCCATATCTGGTAGCCTTCGATTTTGGAAGCGATGTAGGGAATGTGCCTTAACAACTTGATGACGGCTTCGTCCTTTTCCCCGGGCTCAAAACGAGCTCTGATTGTATCATCCCGCCAGCCACCAGGAGGTGGAATTTTGAGTGCTTCCTCTGGGATGTGCAGAGTGACCATGAACCTGTACAACGACAGCAGCTCATCGGCCAGTTCTTCGTGGAGTGGTCTCATAATTTTTGACCAAGCGTTGTCCGGAGTATAGGCAGGTTTTCGAGAGTTGGGGCGGATTCTGCAGAAGGATAGGTGCTGCGCTCGACAGAAAGTTGCATCTTTGTGGCTATTGTTGGAATGTCATCAAGAAGTCTATTAAGCGCTGAAGTGCTGTGCCGCCGGCTGCAGCGGTGGAGTTATCCAGTGCCAAGACGCTAAGGGTGGGGACTTCTCACTCAAGCAACCAATGCCCTTCCACTTCTCATGTTCCAGTCTCCAATATCATCATGAGTTGGCCGAAGTTACCAGCGAGAGCTGCATACCTGAGTTTGCAGAATGAAAAGCGAAGGAATGCGCTATCTTTGGAGGTGCTGCGCAGTCTTCGAGAGCAGCTGATTCGCTACAACACCTCTCCCGTAGATGGACGACTTCGAATACTGCCTCCGTTCAAACCGATGCTGCTGAAGGATCTCGAGGATATCTCTGATGGCCATGCATCCAAGGAGACGCAGCAAGAGTATGCCTGGCTACTAGATGGGCCTACTTGGCACCGTGAGCGCCAAGGTCTTCCGAATGTCATCGTCTTGCGTAGCAATGGGCCCGTCTTCTGCTCAGGACACGATCTCGGAGAGCTTCGAACGATCTCCCGGGACGAGATCAAGGAGACATTCGCTCTTTGTGCAGAGGTCATGAGCTTGATTAGGCGATCTCCAGCCCCAGTGGTTGGTGTAGTTCAAGGACTCGCAACAGCTGCCGGCTGCCAATTGGCGTTGACAACAGACCTTCCAATAGCTGCAGCATCGACGCAGTTCCGCTTACCCGGAGCCTCAATGGGCCTACCTTGCACTTCTCCGTCGACTGCCGTGTCACGAAGACTTGGACCTCCTTTCACGTATCGCATGCTTGCATTGGCAGAGCCCGTGAGTGCGGATCAGCTTCCAGGTGGTGCTGTAGATCTGGTTACTGATGGCGAAGCTTTGGAGCGTCGTGTTGAGGAAGTCGTCAACAATCTTTGTAATCATACTGGAGCGCAGTCGCAAGCCCTGGGGAAGTGGGCATACTGGACGCAACTGGGGCTCCGTGGCACTGAGAGCGGAGGAGATGGATATGAGGATGCCGTGGAATGGGCTGGCAGAATGATGGCTCTTCATGCGAGGTCTGATGACGCAAAAGAAGGTATCTCAGCATTCTTCGAGAAGAGGAAGCCAGACTTCGGTGGTCCAAAATTGTAGTCTTGGAATCGCTTGATGTGTCTCCACAACAGTGCTTTCACGATTTCCCACAGTTATGTGAGCGCTTCTCCTACCCGTGTCGCCATTGGCCATATGTTGTCACATCTTGCTTGAGCTCCAGAGTTCGTTCTCGACCCGAAGCGAAGACTCGCGAATCTTCCACCTGTAATCTTTCTGACGTGGCTGCCCAGCCTGAAGGCCGCATAGTCGTAGGACTAGCAGCTGGATGTGCAACCAAGTATCTCGATCCTTTGTATAATTTGCGTTGTCATTTGCCGTGCTCAGCAGCAATCTCCATGCGCGCCCTCGCCTCCATTGTCCTTCGAAGTCCCATTGGCTGAGATTTGTCCCCCGAAATCCCGTGGCCGCGGCACTATGACATCCACGTTGCGCTAGATGCGCTCGATCGGAGCTCCCGCTCTGCTCCCCGGTGTATCTTGAAGGAGGCAGATCGGGGCCAGGCAGCTTGTTGCCTCGTGTGTCGGCTTGACTGCCCGTAAGTCGCAGTGAGCGGGTCTTTCGGAGCTCGTTGCCTCTGCGCATTGGGTGGATGCTCCGCACGGCGGCGTAGATGCCCTGCGAATGAAGCTGCGCTCGGATTTGTTTGGTAGCGGTGCGTGCGGGTTGCGTTGGCGCGTGTCGCCGTGGTGCGTGTTCTGCCCGAACAGCAGGTCTGTAGGCCGGACACCCTCGTTGAAAATCTTTGCGCTCGAAGTTGGCAGCGGCTGGGTCGATGCATGAGCAACATGCGTGCTGGAATGGAACCGAAGCGCGAGGTCTAGGAGATGTGGACTTTCTGGCAGCGCGACCGTACGCCATACAGAAAGTTGACGCTCTCCGACCTTCACGCAAGCTCGTAAAGCCCTCAAAGCCAACCCCGTAGATGCCTTCTCCAATTGCGCTGTTGTCTGACACTCTCGTGAGAAGTGGCATGAGCGCCACCAGTTGGCACATGAGCGTCTGATTACCGCCTGAAGGCGAGTCCTCGTGCGCAGCGTACCATCTCCGTGAGGACGGGAGGATGATTGCAGGCGTATCTCATCCGAGTGCTGCCATGGCAGCGCAAAAAATTAATGCCCATGTCTCCGCAGAAACCATCAGAATCTGTCAGAGACTCATATGAGCAAAAAAAAAGAAGCTCGATGTTGAATCGGCTGAATTCGATACTGAATCAAATTCGTGTTGTGTTGAACTTTTGTTGATGGTCTGATGATCACGTTAGCCGGGGCGTTCTCAAACGAGCTCAAGTGTGTGTAAAGAAACAGCAAAGCAAGCTAGCTAATTAATGTACAACACGCCAACGCGCCGGATGGGTGGTCCTCATTGGACAAAGGCCATCAAAATCAGATCTCTTATAAGTGTTGACTGTGAACGACGCCGTCTCCCCAGCCCCCGGCGCCTACATCTTTTGCTGCAGACCAGCTACAGACTTCGGAGTCGTCGGAGGTTGGAGCCACGGCTGCATGCATCTCCAGCATCCACTTTGTGTGTCCCTGAGAGCGTTGTTGCTGTCGTCGTCGTCTCCGCGAGGTGGAAGCGGCGGAGCTGAATGAAGCTGACCGAGCACGTGCAAGCTCCTTGGCAGCTCACCAGCATATCTTTTGCCACGGTGCCAGCACCACCCACTACCGTCGCGAAAGGTGTTCGAAACCACCGTAGAAAGCATCAGCAGTATTCAAACATGCTCCTCCGTGAATGTCAAATGCCAATACGCCGTATGTTGCGGCGCGATGAAGGGGTGCTGATGTTGAAGCTTCAAGGCCAGCTCGCTGGCAGCGGAGCAGCTCGAATTTTGCCACGGTTGCAGCACCACCCACCACCGTGGCGAAAGGTGTTCGAAACCGCTATAGGAAGCATGAGCAGTGCTCAAACATGTTCCTCCGTGAGTATGAGATGCCAGGTCGCGTTATGTTGCGGCGCGATGAAGGGGTGCTGATATTGAAGCTTCAAAGCCAGCTTGCTGGCAGCGGAGCAGCCCGACTTTTGCCACGACCGCAACACCAGCCACCAAGGTCTCGGATGGTGTTCGAAACAACCATAGCAAGTATGAGAATCATTCAAACATGCCCATCCGTAAGTTGCAGACGTCAATTCGCAGAATGTTGTGGTGCGTGGGCGGGTGCTGCTGTTCCGATTTGAAAGCCAGCCCCCGGGCAGCTGAGCAGCCCAGCTTTTGCCACGACGGCAGCACCACACAACCAGCACGCTAATGGTGTTCGAAACCGCCGCAGAAAGCATTAGAAGCATCCAAATATGCCTCTCTGCATTTGGCATGTGTTGATTTGCGTTATGTTGCGGCGCGGTAAAGGGGTGCTGGCGTTTGAAGCCAGCTGATAGGCCCCTGCTTCGCCCAAAAGAGCCCAGCGGAAACCTCAGCTTCTCCTGTACTCTGCAACCATGATCAGGATTGATCTGCGGAAGCTTGCGTTGTCTCAGGCATGCCTCTGCGACACGATTTCGTCCAAGGCTCAGCCTGCCAGCTCAGAGCATATGGAAAATTCGGAGACAAATGAGGCAGCACTAGACGATCCAAAAGAGCTCAGCGGAAGCTTCCTGCACTCTGCAGTTATGTTCCAGATTTATCTGCGGAAAATAGCAGTGTCTCAGACAATGGCTCCACGACACAATTTCGCCCAGGGCTCAGCCTGCCAGCTTAGAGCATATGGAAGATTCGGAGACAGCTGAGACTGCATTGGGTGATCCAAAAGAGCCCTGCGGAAGATAGCGGTGTCTCAGAAATGCCTCTGCGACACGATTTCGTCCAAGGCTCAATCTGCCAGCTCAGAGTCTATGGTAAACTCGGAGACAAAGGAGGCATTCGCGTGACTGCATTGAGTGACACGCCTTCACACGATTATTGCACCGTGACGATGCTTTCGTGATCAATTATTGGGCCAAAAGTGGCCACTGCACGTGGAGGTTGCAAAAAGAATGCGGTCAGCATACCATTGTGCATGACATTCTCGCATCTCGATCCTTTTACCTTCACAACTCCAAAAGAAATTGCAAAAAAAGGCAAAAAGAAAGGAGCATTGAATGCTCGTGATAGCTCGTGATCAAGCTTACGTAGAAGATGTTAGTACGTGTTCTGAAAGCTGTTAGTACGTGTTCCACGACGAATGTTTGAGCGATTGGCGGTCGCTATTACACCAATTGGCAGTTGGTGATCCAAGAGCAGAGGCTCTTATTGGCTGTGAGGGCGTGCTCTTGGATGATGAGAGCGCATGGCCGGCATATATATTGCTCAGATGAATCTGGCTTGGCAAAGAACATCAGTTTCCTAGACAGACCCAGATCTTTCCAACCACCGCATTATATGACACGCACGTACCTAGGAATTCAAGCTGAGATGCCATGCACCTTCAGCATCAGGTTTTACAGTGGATCATGGCGTTGTGTGGTGCGCGAGTGGCGATACACTTTTTAGCCGTCCGGAGGTCACCAATTCTGGCTCCGGTCGCGACGAAGCCGGCGGCTCAAACGCTTCTCTATTCTTTTACTTACAACACACCGCATGGGAAAGCATGGAAGCCGCCTTGCAAGAGCAACGCGCAAACATAAAAGAGCACGGGAGCGGCCACTGGGCCTGGGGCCCGAGGGCCTGCGGAATAGGGGCAAAAAAGCAGGGCCTTTCTACACCAGGCTGGAAGAATCTCTGCTGCGTAGTCGCGGAGGAGTAGGACAACGCGCGTGCATCCGGGCGGAGATACGCAGAGCAAGACGCTGCTCCTTGGGCATTAGGAGCCTCACAGGCGGCCAGAGTGCGACCAGGTCCTGTTGAGACGAAATGCTTCTCTGTCGGTACCGCCAGCGCGCAGCGGCTAGTGACCATGCGAGCACAGCTTTTAGTCCTCCAGATAGACTGCGTGTACGTAGAAATGAAGCCACAAGTCTCAAGTAGCAGGTAGCCCGATCTTCGTAACACTGAGCAGATGTTTCCGTGCTGTAGAATGCTCCGCCCAACTCCGGGCCAGCAGCGCAAGATGGGCAGCAGGGCTTATCAGAGGCACGAGGGCCCGTGAGTTTCTTCCAATCTCTCTGATGGACCGCAGCGATCAGTTCAGCTGCTCGGCGTTGTTGTGCTCTGTACACCACGGCTCGATGCATTGCCCTCCCAGCTTGCCAAGAACCGGGCTTCACAGGCATAATGGGCATTGCTGGCAAATGCTCGACGACAAAGGATACAGCAATCAGCGAACAGCATTCAGACACCATCATTGAGCAGTATCGCCTCGTTGGAGACCTGCCAGCGAGTGGCTCGTCCTTAGTTGGATCGACAGCACCAGCGAACGCCGAACAGCAGACGAGCTTCAGCGACACTCCCGGCGACACTCCACGGGCGAGACCAACGATTTCGAGAACGACCGAAGCAACGATCATCATCGAACTGTACAGCAAATGAGGCATGAAGTCTTTCGATCCTCGTCCAGAAGCGAAGCACCGTGCTACTCTTGCGCCCTGCGGCCCTTGAGCGCGAACCACAACACCGAGAGAACAGCTAGGTGACCAGCTTGCGCTGAAGGGACAATGGCAGCGGTGGACAGCACCGCATGGCGATGTGCCATCCGCAGGCGGCTTTCTTGCGCCAACAAAGCTTTTGGGCCACAGTGGGTGGCCACGGCCAAGTCAGCGGAGACACTGAACTTCTCAAAGAGCCGGCAGTGTGGAAGCAGAAGCCCATACGATGGCTCTCAAAAGCAAGGGCGCATCCATAACAGACATCTGGAGAAGCCTTCCAGGACTGAGCAACACCAATGCAGAACACCGAAGCGAGAAAGCGAGATGATACACGCGTTGGTAAAGACTGGGCTAGCGGCCTTGAGATCGGCACGAGGCATGACCGGGAACTGCCAGAAGATCGTACGTGTAGAGGGTGCTGCGCAGTCCACGCCGCCCGCATGCCCGACATCCTGGTTGAAATTGCATAGTGTAATCACCGGATTTGGAAAGAGAAGCATGGAAGGGCAGCCAATTCGTCGCGAGTAAGAGCCAGACGCGCCCGAAGACACTGATGCTGTAGAATTCAACGTCCCAGCAACCGGTCTATGAGCGTTCCTCATTGCCTCGAAGTGCCAGCAGAAGATCACTCTTCCAACAAGACACAAGATGTGTTGAGTACAGAGATGGTGGTGGAGACGGACACCGAGAGCGAGCACACACAGCCTTTGAAGTACCGGCTGTGGGTAGGAGTCGATGCTTGCCTGGATTGCAAGCGGGTTTGGTAACCAAGATGGTTACGCAGTTCACTCCACGTAGAGACCCAAGCACTGCCGAAGATATCGAAACAACAGTCTGGAGATGCCGGAGAAGATCGTCATGTTTGGCAACCTGCAAAGCTTCTGATATGTGGGAGTTCTCTGGGAGAGTTGCAATCACAATGCGCCAATGGATACCATGTTCGACAACCTGTAAGCTTCCAAGGTATCGGAGTTCTTTGAGAAAGATGGAACCACAATGCGCCAATTTTCGGAGATGAATCCACGAGGTGTTTCATCGTACAGCAGAGGACGATCCGAGGAGGTCATACAGAGGCCGATTTGTGAGGGTCCAAAGTACATACTTCGCAAGTGCAGAAAACATCCAATGCCACACAAGCTCGGGCAGTCGAAGTGGCTGTAATTGGAAGTCTCGATCGCGTTACAGTCCACGTGGAGAAGAAATGGTCCCAAGCTGCGAGAGGGCCAGAGCGGGAAGCATATCGCACATGAGTCCGAATTTCAATGACAAGACGGCTCGACACCAGCAGCCCCTGTCATACAACTTATGCGAGCAGAGATGGGTGCTCCTCCACTCCAGTAACGAGGAGTAGGGAAATTGCCATCTGCGGGACGCCTTGAGGAAAAACGCCAACTTGATTCTTTGATGCAAGCACCAAGAGGTCCGTCTGAAAGACTTGAACATCGTATACTGGCCACAGCGTCCTGGATCTTGACTGGGGCCCAGAAGATGATGCTTTTCGACACCCGGCGGGCTGATGTGTTTGTAAGCCACTGCACAGCACAGCACCTTGCGCTGAAGAGTCTGGATATATTGAGACGAGTTGCGGTTTCGAATGGATCACAGCGAATTTGCGTTCACATCCTGGGCTTGCTGAAGTATTGGCAACATGGCTGCCATATACTGTATCCGATGGCATCTTGATTTCGGGACGGTAGGTGAAACATGTCATCCTTAATCTGGCGACTCATCGCCAAACTTTTCTTTATCGAAGCATGACAGTTGCAGTACTCAGCTTCCGCGAGGGCATGTTGCATTTCAGTGGAATCACCGCAATGAACGTCCTACTCAGGACGTGTCGCTAAGCATTCGCGCACACTTGTTGCCGAACATGGCCGGATGTCTGTGACTTGAGTCTCTTGGCCAGCACGACAATGTTACCCTGGCAAGGCACTGTCGTACGAGAGGCAGAGTACCGAGTGCCTGGTTCCCAGCTCTGGTCAGCTACCGAGACTAGGTTGCTGCTGCACCAAGGTAGGTGTTATAATGCTTTCTGGCTTCGTATGATGCGCTCTTCAGTTCCGTCCTTCTGGACAACGGCGCACATCGCTGCAGCAGGATCGCCAAAACTGATGGCGAGTGTCTTGTTCGACAGACAGAAAGACTGGTCCATGTCATCATCCATCTCTTGCTCTAAGCCAACTTCGTTGCGCTGGGCGTGTTTGGGTACGGGCTTTGAACCCTTCGTTCTATCCCCTGCTGCCGCGGACTGCTCGTTGCTGTAGAGCTTCCTCAATCATCTCGGACGCCTACATTCTTGCAGACAGCTCAGTGTTGTTTGGATTCCTCGGCCATCGCAAGTGCTTGTCGGAGGTCCTGCCGACGGGTGTGTAGCTGAATGGCAGAGTGCCGATCGACAGACGCCGTGCGAAAGACTGCTGTCCATCCATGGCATACACGAGGACCGTTCAGGTTGCTCGTGTTCCGTACGTTGCTCCGTGCCAGTCCCGCCTGCACCACGGTGTTGCCGGCGAATGCTACGCCCTTTGCGCGACCGTGTAATGCTTCCTGGCATGCTCGCCATCCTCATGGCCTTGCGTGCACCTGACGCTCTTGCTCCTCGCCCTCGTCAAAGGCTCATGAAGGTATATCGAACATATCCCGCCTCTTATTCTGCCGGCGGTCGCGAATTCGGTATGCCCGTTCGGAGGTCGAGGATCGGTATGGGATCGAGCCAATCGCTGTGGATGATGTTGTGCATCGGCGCATGGTCATCGCAGTCGTCGTCCACGCATTACTGTATTCGTCATGGTCGTATTCGTGGTTGTTGTGCGACGCTCGTGGTCGTGGTCGCTATCGCCGCTGCGTCGGGAATCGGGTCCGCTGGAGGCAGGTATCGTCCGCTATGCCTTCCCAATGCTTTCATCATGCTTTTCAGCACTCTGATCGCGATGAGGATGAGCTCGTAACCGGTTCGAAGCGCTATTGCGACTGTTACGGGCGGTGGAGGGCATCGTAGGCGCTGATGGTGGTTCACGCTGTGTCGGGAGTCTGCGCAGCTGGAACAGACTTTTGTCCGCTACGCCTCCCCAATGCGTTCACGATGCTGTTCAGCATGCTGATCACGATCGGAAAGAGTTCGTATGCGTTGCAAAGCGCTGTTGCGACTATCGCGGTTGAAGCCATTGTTGGCGTTGGTGGTCGTCCAGCCAGTGTCGGGGATTCGCGATCGCTGGAGGCAGGCTTTGTCGGCTACGCTGTCCCATGCATTCACCACGTTGTTCAGCATGCGCAACACGATGGGAATGAGCTCGCAAGCATTGCAAAGCGTTATTACGACTGTTACAGATGGTAGAGGCCATTTCCGGCGATGGTGGAAGTCCGCTGGCCTTCGGCGTGCTACCCTCCATTTTCCCTCACGGCCTCACAACTCCTCCAACACGGTAATGCGATGATTCTAAACGATGCTAACACCATTCTGACGGATCTCCGACACTCCTCGCCGTGTTTTGATGGTCCTGGGACCATCTGTGCGGCATACTCGTGGACCAGAGTGAATATTGGCGGGCTTCTCGGCCAACACCTCCACCAACCTCAGGCCGAATTCTAGCTCACCTTGACGTTCAATTAAGCTCATTTGGCTTTCACACTACCCGGGAACGCTACTGCGAGCTCGTCAGGGGTGAGCTGTTGCCCTGTGCTCGCAGTTGGGAAGCCTGGGCCGCGGATCGGGACAGGCGTGGGACGCTCAGGAACGTCGTTTTGCAGCTGGAAAGACGCCGGCGAGGCTGCAGCAAGTCTACGGCACAACCACGCAAATGGACGAGGCGTAGGCTATGATACTACGAGAAGGAAGAGGGATAAAAGGACTTTTGATGCATTCTGAGTTTTCGATCTGGCATGGAGGAGAGTGGTACAGCCAGTCCGCACGCAGCGAGACGTAAGCAGACGACGGAGATGGGAGAAGCACCTCCGGAAGTCACCATTGGGACACATATCACGATGGTGCTTGCAAGAGCGCATATCTCCGGGAGATGGAATGGGATATCCACACTGAGAAATGTGCGCTGCCACGGTCTAAAGAGCGTCTTAGACAGAGCCACGGTCTCCGGCATGTCCAGCTGCTGTGCCTTGGACATGCAGGCGTGCAAGGAGAAACCGTAGTTGCACGTCAAAGATGGCCCATCACAGCAGCGAAATGAATATCGCACTGTATGGGATGCGGGAAGCTGAGTGCAGAGGACAGTGCTTACATTTCCTGGCTACAGCTGGTGCGATCATACAACAACAAAGCAGTGACTCTTCTTTGGGAGACGGGCGCTCGAGTCCTCAGATCAACAGCATCTCCTCTCCTCTTTGGCCTCTGCTGAGCACGAGGGTGTCACAACCGCGATCGCGATGCGTTTCTCATATGCCGTAACGTATCACGGCAGCGCGAAGGCGCAATGGGCCCTTGCACAGTGGAGTAGCAGATATGTTCTCTCTTCATTTGCCTGCCATGTTTTTCATTCAGCTTCCAAGAAAGACCTCATAATGGCGCCAGTCTACACTGGCATCCCCTGCCGTGTTCCTTCCAGCCCAGATGCTCTATCGCTGTCTTCTGACGAAGCGCCCACGACGACGGGCGCCTTTATCGCAGCAGTTCTCGGCACTTGTTGGTCTCTCGAGACGTACAAAGGTTGGCGGCTCGCTGAAAGAGTGCGAATGGGAAGGTCCGCACGGGATTCGCGGCTGTCAAAGTCGACAGGACCTTTGCATTGGGCTGCATTGGCAGGCTTTTCCCTCGCCATGCAACTTGAGGAAGAGGCAGCTGTCTGTTGGAGACCAAGAACAGCACCTTTCTCGTTCTCACTTTGTGTGATCGGAGAGGCCTCTTTGCATCTTTGGGTTTCTTGCGCTGCGGGGTCGAGATTGGAAGCCAGACTGTCCCCGACTACTATCTCTTCTTCCATCGTGCTTACTGCATCTGGGTTGACCCTACTTGCAATTTCTCCAACTTGCAGGCCCTCGGCTGACAGTTCTCTTAGACACATTGCAGGCGCACCAGCGTTGAGACTTCTTTCCGGGCTCGCACGCAGGTGCACTGTGAACCCCGTCGTTCTGGGCTGCTGAATTGGCGAATTGACCCGAGCAATAGGCACTCCTTTCCTGGCATCATGCGCAGAATCCTTTTCGACTGTATCGCGACTCTGCTCAAAAGACGACGCCTCCTGTTCTGTCCCACGAGTACTCTCCTCCGGCCCTTGTTCCTGCAGCTCATAATCAAATACATTAATCTCCGGCACTGGGCCCCTCTGCGTTCCATCCCACAAGCCGCTTTTCCCACTTGTCCAGGTCGACGCCGGAGGCACTTTAAGATGCTGATCCTCCTCAGCTCGCAACCCCTCGACTTTCTCCCCCCTCGTCTTCTCCGTCGGCAATGGCTCATACCACAATCTCGCCTTCAACGACCTCTGCGCATCGACGGCATTATACCCACACCGACGCAGATACGCTTCCATATGACGAATTGCAGTCGCTCGCGGGAAACCTTGTTTCCTTATTGCGCGATACTGGTACTTCGTCCAACTTACATGTTGCTCAAAGGCGGACAAGTACTGTTCAATCTCTTCTCTCGCTTGCTCAACCTGCACGCCACGATCTCGTGCGGCCTTCATTGCAAGGTAATATACCGCTTCATCTTTACTGTATCCCCTTCTTCGAATAAGTCGCGAGACACGAGAGCTCAGGTCGAGAGCTTTTTCTTCGGAACAAAGTTGCATGTCGATTTCGTGATCTTGTCGATCACTATGAAATCCGAGTTTTGCCCGCTCGATTTCCTTCTTCGCCAGAATCTCTTTCAGCAAGCGATGACGAGACTGGTCGCCTTCGCCATATACCAACGGCATGAACACTTCGAAGATACCGAGGAGACAGTATGCAAGATCTTCCACTCGGGTCGTTCGTCGATTCGTCATCCAGGACATTTTCTCCTCATCACTGCATTCTTTCCTCCTCTCGCAATCGCGGAGAACATTATTTGGGATCCCGGAAATCGGGCTGATCAGAGATGTCAAGTTCGTGGTAGACGCGAAGCATAGAGGATCACAGTTGGATGCCGTTTGTCCTTTGGTTTCAATGACTTGCCAAGTCTGGTCGAAGAAGATGACGAGTTTCGGTGCGAAGAGTTCTTGCAGTGTCCAGCCTCGTGTGAACCATTTGCTGCGGCCGAAGGAGGTACTGTCGTGCTTCTCCTGATCATTCGAGCTTCTGTGCTTCTTCGCCACGACATCGCCGAGGTATGCGAGACAGCATTCGGCATTGGCATACCATCTGAACATCGAATTAATCGACTCGTGAAGTTCGAATGAGCTCCTCTGATCAATGCACACTGTATCGATCCATAGCCAGTTAACTCCTGTCCCAGACTCCCGGATCGTCTTACAAAAGCCTTCGATCTTCTTATGCCCCGGGGAATCCGTATGTCGCCTTTTCACGACATCCTTGTACTTCGGCTCGCGTTGACCCCAGCGATGGGATGCGATAATATATCGCGGCAGACTCTCAATATCATCGTGGTAGAACTCCTCAAACTCCAGCGTATGTACATTGAGCAAGCGCATGACGACCGTGACGACAGACTGAGAGATGGCTGTGGTATAGCGAAGACTGAGAGAGGTCGAGCTTTCGGCATTGGACCGTATGCATGAGCGGAGCCATCTTGCATTAGTTGCTGATGTGGCAAGCTGCGAGATGCCTGACCCCATCATCGCTTCTGTAAGCTTATGCAAGCGATGCTACACCGCAGCAAGCTTGTCACAGCACGGCGAGCACGAAAAGTCACTATTCGATGCACGGTGATTAGACAACGCTTTTACAATTTCTCAAGTGAATGAAAATTATTAGAAATTGTATCAGCTCAAAATATCTGTTCTCCAGTCTATAACCACTCTTCAAGTACCACATCACTTCGAACATCACCTTCAAACTCCAACACCGGGAACAGCTCTTTCGCAAAAGCATCCATTTCGATCTCGAATTGCGCGAGAGAATCTCGCTCGCCCGGCTTATCATACCTCTCTTGCACGTTGGCATGAGGGAGAAGACTTCCTGCAACGTCTTCCATTTCGCTCTCCAGACGATTCAGACTAGCTTCATGATCGTCGGCTATGCGCAGTTCCTCGGCAAAGTCTTCAATGAGATCAGTGTTGGCTGCTTTCATAAGCTCTGTCGTGTCTGGTTCGCTTTCGATGTCGGAGTCCGGAAGCAAAATGGTCTCTGGCTCGCGCAGCCGATCTGAGTCTTCTTCTGTCGCGTCAGTAAAGTGCGTATGCAATTCTTCGGGAGCTTCCAACTCAAAGCTCAGTTGCGGAAGAGAATCCCTTCCAACAGCAGAATCTTTCCCGCCATCGTCATCCTCTTCTCCCGCAGCTTCCTCATCTTGTCGTTCACCTGTAGGCGTACCCGGTTCTTCCTCGATCTGCTTGGTAACCAGCAGTGACAAGTCAGAGTCGTTGATCCGCGGCTGGGCGTTCATCGCTTCAGTGATCTTTCGCAAACGCTCTTCCCGCAGTCCGGTCCGAGTGCTCTGCGAGCGAGCGACTACAGCTTCCATTGCGTTTTGCAGCGCATGCGTGAGCGTTTTACTTCCTTCAATGGCGCCACTGGGAGGAGTCAAGCTTCCAGTAGCAGTCTTAGGCCTGCCCGACGCGCTCACGAATGGACTCGTAGAACCTTCACCCTCGTTTGGGATCGGTGTTGGCAGCCCTGGAACTGGAGGAAGTGGACCCAGATCTGGCACAGCGATTGTGCTGCAATCGCTCGTGTCGCTGCGAAATCGTCTCGCTGACACCGAATACGTTCTACTGACGTCTCGGGTTGGTCCCGAGAGACGTCCCACAGGAAGCTTCGGTGCGTCGTCGAGGCTGATGGGACCGACCAGATTTGGGCCATGGCTTTTATGCCGGGCACGGTTTGATTCACTTTTGGTTCTCTGGCTCGTAATCTGCGATTGGGAGACGACGATATTCGAATATTGAATCGCTTTGGCATCAGCTGACCAAACATCATTACTGATACCCGGATATCTTGCTTCGAGTGCTGACAGGCCAGCGTATAGTCCGGCAGGCTCATATGCGGCGGGATCATAGATGCTGTGACCGCTGGGCGAAGCACCGGTCTGCCCCAAGGGTCGCATTACAGGCGCGGGAAGTCTCCTCGACCGCTTGTTGAATTCTTCTCGCAGACGTAGCTGAGCATTCTCACGCTCGCCGTAGATGGGAGCAAGATTGATGCCGAGAAGTCCCAGTAGGCAGTACGCTTGATCTTCGATACGTTCCGTTTTCCTGTTTTGCATCCAGACTTGCACGGATTCCATGAGACGAAGATAGCTAGGCATCCATTGACGCGAGAGATAGTTCAGACTGATACTTGTAATCTTTTCGATCTTGGCGTTCAAGCAGGTGCCGAAGCCTTGACAGCTCAAGTCGCATTTGTGCAGCTGACACTTATGGCCGAAGATCTCCCAATCCCGATTGAGGAAGACTACTTTACGCGGGGCAAGCAGTTCCTGTAGCGTCCAGCCTCTACGGAACCACTCGCTTTGCACAAAGTCCATGATGGCGCTCTCGTGGTTCTTCAGAGGTCCAACGTCGTGCAAATAGGCGTAGCAAATCTGAGAATCTGCGTAGTAATGGAACATGGAGTTGATGCATTCAGACAGATCGGCACTGCTGCTCTTGTCCATGCACGCGGTGTCGATCCAGAGCCACTGGCAACTTCGCTCAATGCCGAGAGTGGTCATGGCTCGCGTCGTTGGAACATTTGTCCGCTGGATGAAGTCGCAGAAGCTTTGGAGTTTCCGATGTCCAGTTGAGGTGGTGTTGCGTCGCTTCTTCACATCTTTGTATGTCGTTTCATCTGATGTCCAGCGGTGAGACGCGATGTAATAAGGTGGGATGCTGCTCTCGCCGAACTCCTTCAGCTCCAGTGTAGACACGTTCAACAACCGCATCTTGGAGTGTAGATGATGGCAGAAGCCCCAGATAGCACAGTTGAGTGAGTGCGATGCTGGGATGCAAAAGAGACATTGTGATGAAGACGCGGAGGCTGAGTGAGGGCGTACATCAGGCGATGTACCTTGGAGGCGGCCAGCGTGGTGTGTTCTGGACTCGGTGGCTGAGCTGTGGCAGCATGATTCGCCGCAGTCGAGGGCGGCCGGCATCCTTCATGGCAAATGCCGATGCGAATCCGATGCATGAGGGCATGGGTGACATTTTCTGGTCCTTGTTATCGGAGCGCAAGAGTGTAGAGGAGTGTTTCTCGTACTGAACATCTCCTTCCCAGCGCTGCGTCTTTCGAAGGAACGAACGCGTGTCCTCGACCCCGAGGCAGGCACTTAGGAATACACCTCGTACCTCCTGCACCCAGCACGTAGGAAGTAGTGCAACAAATCCCGTTTCCACGCAGCGGCGGTATCCATGATGAATGCTTCCCAGCTCCAATATCTCCTGGAAAACATTCGAAAGATCAGAACGCGAATCAGTAGGCCGGTCTGCTTGGGAGCGCTTCGAAGTCTCATCGGCGTAGATTTCGACAGTACAGGTGTACCTCTCTACGGCGAACAATCGCGCCCCGTGCTCCAAGCCCTGGTGTTGATTGAAATTGTGGTATCATTGAAGAGTTATACAAGCGGCGAATCCCTCTTACTGCGCCATGCTATGCTTCCGTGCTCATACGCCCTCCGTCTTGCCATATGCTGCCCTGGCATTGCTCTTGCATCTAATGTACACCCTCCCCGGTCCGTATCTGTACAAATCGTCCTGATCGTCTATTGCGCAAGTGGAGAGAAGAGTCTGCGACGGAGTCAGCCACAATGTCCGAGAGCAAGGCCTTCGATTGGGAATACCTGATGAGTGTTGGTCGTGGGTTGCTTCGTGTGTAGCCCAGATAGATGATCAATGGGAGGTAGCCACTGTATCGATGTCAATGCGTGCCCTGTCGTCGTTACGATTATGGTGGTCGTCGTACTAGTGGATGGCTACTCTGGAGAGGTCGATGACCCTCGCGATGCGTTCCTATTCCTCCCGTCAGCAATAATTCATCTCATCTCGCTCTTGACACAATCGCATGCCTTGCTCTCTTCTGACAGTTGCAACCACGCCATTTCTGCAGTGTTGTCTGATCTGGATGATGCTGCTCTCACGCGGAGGTGTTTGCGGAGGCCCATCGCAACTTCTCAAGATCGGAGCTTCTTGTCGCCGATGCACGGACTCTTGGCACGCACACGAAACTGGACTCGGACATGCGACAACATCAGCGCCCGCCTTGATCGCACTGAGCAACTCCGACCGCAGCACATTCCGCCCACCATGTCGACGCAATACGAGAACCTGAGCAGCGACCTCGTCTGGGAGGTGACCCGTACGTCGATTCCTCCAGTCTCCAGGAAGGACAGGAATGGGTGGTGGGATTCGAGAAAGAAAGTATGCTGATCGGTGGGCATTGGGTATATCACAGGCAACAGCAACTCCTTCCTCGTCAAGCGCCGTCTAGGATCGGGCAAGCAGGTCGTCTTCTCTCGCGATCCGCTGAACCTCGTCAACAAGCACTCGCGCAAATATGTCGGATACGCCAACGAGAAGGTATCGCAATACTGACCCCCACTACTACTGCGAACACACCGCCCTAATACATCGCCCAGGCCATCGGCATCAACCCTGACGGAAACACCGTCACACTGACCACCAAGCTCGCCTCGCGTGGCAACAAGCCAGCAAAGCAATACCAAACCTCCTCCTTCTCCGCCTCGACTCCTTCCCGCAAACTCTACACCAGCATCGTCAACTCCACCGCCAAGAAGGGCTACCGACCAGACCTCCGCGCCGAGGCCGTCTCCCGCGCATCCGCCGTCAAGCAGAGCCAGCGCGAGAACAAGAAGGACCGTGTGAGCAAGCCACGAGGAAAGAAGGCCCAGGGTGCGCAGGGTAGCCAATTCTTGAAGTTGACTCCTGAGGAGAAGTAGAGCGTGGCTTTTCTTTGATGCGTGATTGGAAGAGAGCGGGAATCTTGCAGCGAGGGCTGGACATGGCATTTTGTCGGCTATCAGGGTCGCCGAGATAGAGAGCTCGACCAACGTCAAATGAGAAATGTGCTGAACAAGAAGCGCAGTATGAAATTTGCTTCTCCTGTTCCTGGGTCAGCCCGCTTTTGCGGGAACGATAACTGATGTGCAGAGTAGAGAGATGAGCTGGACTAAAATACTGACTAGAGTTCTAGAGCGCGAGGAAAAGCACAGGAGCCGCGCGCCATGCAATCACCATCCAGCATACATGTTCAAGATATATTCCACGAATCGCAACGCTCGCTTCTGCCTAGTTGGTCTAATCGACAGGTCGTACTGAACAGAATTCTCGGCTGTGGCACGGCACATACACCTGTGCACCGTTTTGTACGGTGAAAAGTGGCGTGGAACGTGGTGTCTCTAGCAGGCAGGATGCGAATGCTTTGCCACTTTGATGCTAGCTTTATCCTCACAAGGAAACACAGAACTCCAGGCCACTACAACCTTTTGGAGCTGAGCGACCATTCCGGTAGGAACTTGTCTTTTTGGCTGCACCTACCCGCGGACTTTGGGCTTCATATGCGCCTTCCGGGCTGACATTCTTCAACAATCGTTTCTGGCTGGTTGGTCGAGGCGGTAAGTCGCTCTGCGTTGAGCGCTCGACTGAGATTATGCGAAGTGGCTTTCCCCTCCACTGAGGAATCAGTAGCGCAGGAATCTTCCCGCTCTCATAATGCCAGCCGGCCAAAGGCGATTGTTTTGCACTTCACATGCGCCTTTTCGCATGAGATCTGGGATTACTGGACCGCAGCTTACGAAACTGATGCGGGACCGGCCTTTGAGAACTTAAGCGCTCCAGGCACAGCATTCGTATGCACACAGGTTGTTGCATCAGCAACGATCGCTTCTGGCGTGTTGGTCAAGTCGGTAAATCGTTCTCGAGAATGCTCGATTTCGACTGTTGTCATTGTGATTATTTCAAATGAACATATCATATAACTGATTTGAAAATGCTCCATGATGATGCCGTCAGCCGGCTGAAGCCGATTGTTTTGCCCCTGTTGACTTACTTGCATCTGTCCGCCGCAAACATGCAGCTCAAGATCCTTTCGGACGATAGTATCCTCGTCGACGTTTCTTGCTTCTACGTTTTTCCTGCGAACCGACAGGTCCCAGCATTCATATGCTTGACCGCTTTGACACCAATCAACGATTGTCGCTGGCTGGTTGGGTTAGTCGGTAAATCATTGGCGATATGACTGATGTCCGGCAGGTTGCAGAGGCTTCTACCCGTACGAGATTGCTGGACATGCCTCTCTGGCAGAATCTCCTCGCGCCTACAACCCTCCAGTGGCGGTTGTTTTGCTTCTCTGGTCTGGACCCTTTGGATCCGCTAAGAAGAAGCTACAAGGTCTTCCTGCCCTCGTGCAGGATCTCCCCTCCTCGTCCCTCTTGCCAGGTAAGCCCAGTAGACCCATACGCGTTATCTCCTCTAGCCTTCTGACGATATTCCCTCTGGGGAGTTGGTCAATTACTAGGTCGCTGATTACGTTGTTGACGCTGGACAAAGGCTAGAATCTGCATTGAAGAACGAGATCACAAGAGGAGCGCAATTATCAGTATACGCCCAGCATCAACATCTAGTGGCGATTTTTTGCCCCCCGGATCTGTTGTTTCGGTGCCGTCAACCAGCTCAGATAGCATGAGTATACTGGAACATGCCAGGTCCGCTTATACCACTGCTGATACTCAAGTTTTATATACAAACCTGGATCCCACACTTTCGAATGACCGTTTCTGGTGCGGTGGTGCAGTCAGTAAGTCGTCTTCTTGACGCTTGATAGTGCTGAGCTAATCATGCGGATTGCAAGCTGTTCATTGTGACTCTGGGTTTCATTGAAGGCATTGGTACAACGAAGCAGAAACGATTGTTTTGCTACTCCAATACATATATTCGCAATGAAGACTCCGAGATGCCTTTATCGCCAACTTGGGGGACTGAAATCTTTTGCTTACCCTGGTACCGTTTCTTGCCAATTGTATCTCGTCCGTTTCTTGAGACCTCTCGAACGACTAGAGTACTTGAAACAGCCGTACATGATTGAATGAAGCTGCCGCCGAATCCTGATTATGGATGCTCTCACTGTCGTAGTCTCAAGACTCTTTACTTCTTGTCGATGATTTCGAACATTCACCTCGGAGCACCATCATGGTCGCTGATCCACGGGACTCGTAGTACGACTACCCGGAAATCGGCCTCGGGAAGGTGGTCACGCCGCAAGACCTTCGTACGGACGATCGACCAAGATCTACTAGCTCTTGGGAAGGGGACTGGTTAGCCATGAGAAAAGACTATCAGTCAGCCATACTATTCCTCTTCCATCCGGCATCAGACTTAGTCAACACATTTTTGCTGGTCTAGACTTTCTTCGATATTCTTGTGCTAGGTTTACCCTTTCAAGTATCCGACCCTGCCAGCTATAGTGTCTACATGCCAAGCCTCTTGCACCAAAGGGGCTGAAGCGTCTCCTAGATATCTTCGGGTAAACTTTCGCCGTAAGTGGAGTCTATAGGGCTCAGGGCTCAACATTTCGATATATCTTGCTCGAAGAATCCGCCAATGGCTACTGCTGCCGCATCAGCAAAGACATACAGAAGAAACGAGAACACAAATATACCGCACATTGCAGATCAGGTACTTTCCCTCCTCGTCCGAGCATTGTCTTCACCTGTGAGGATCTAGTCTCTTCCTAACACGACCTTCCAGATCCTACCAACAATATGAAGTTCCAATCGATCGTCGCTGCGGTTATCGCCGCCTTGATGGCGCATACCGAAATCGTAGCAGCCCAACGCGGGATTCCAGCGGGAGCAGTTCGTCCTTCCTTCTAATTCCCCACCATCTGTTGACTCAAGCTGACGATCAAACAGTTGCGTTGCACGACCGACGAAGACTGTACCAAACAGGGCTGTCTGGGGTATTGTGCTTCCAGGCTGTATTGCCGATGTATTTCGTAGACAGGCCATAAGAATCGAATGAGCTGTCAATCGGATCTGTTCGTGTCAAAGTCCTTTCTTCGAAAAGATGTCTCTCCCACAAGCTTCATATACGCCCACCTTCGATGACAAGTCGCCAGTGTTCGCTGGCGCTCCGACATGTATGCGACAAGGATCTTGCGGCGGCCGTGAGCTTGACCCCTGGGGAAGCTTAATCGTTCACTAACCAGCCGCTGCTGGAGGCATTTGTTTTGCTCCTGTTTTGTTTTTTTCTTGGCCCGAAAAAGGGGTTTTCGATTAGAGACATGGCTCTTCTCTTGACATTCACCTTCCACACCCTTCGAAGTAAGCTTTGATATACTACCTCTGGTCCCTGTTCCCCAATGATCGCCTCTGGCATGTTGGTCGAGCGGGTAAGTCGCCAGTATTTGCTGGCGTCCCGGCTGTGGGCTGTTTCGAGACCACTTAGGAACGCTTTCCTGAATTGTTCTTTGACCATCGCCGCTCATTGCCAGCTGCCAGAAGCAATTGTTTTGCACCCCTTCCGTGCCTTTTGCGCAATCCAGTCTCTCGAGTACCAGGTATGTCAGGAGCTGCTCCGCTTTCTGTCTTGCTCGCCATCTGAGCCAGCCTTCCTATACCAGTCTGTGCCTATGCTTCTCAACGATCGTTTCCGGCAAGTTGGTAAAGTGGACAAGTCGCTGGTCCTGTACTGGCGCTCCATCCAGCAGACAAGCGATTCCGATTCGAAGGTAGCAGGTGACCTCTATGTTGAAAAATTGGTGTGCTGCCAGTCACCAGATTACTGGAGGCGATTGTTTTGCCTCAGTTGTTCCCTTTTGCAACATGAAGAACAATGGTCAAGGTCCAGCACTGAAATGGTTCTGCTTCCTCTTTTGTTCCGTAGTGCCGGCGACCGGCAAATATATGCTCTTCAAATCGTTCATTTCCAACGATCGTCTCAGGCAACTTGGTCTATCACATAAGTCGTCAGGTTTCTGGCGCTGTGAGACATGAGTGACGATCCTTTAACATTCACAAGATCTATGAGGCCTTGGATGCTTCCGGGACGCATCCTCAAGCAACCTGGGGCGATTGTTTTTTGCCTTTTCGACGGCCCTTTGCTAGACCTCGCGTGGTCTTCAGCAGCCCTCGTTGCTCCTCATCTTGTTCTTCCGTTCTTGAGATTGCAAGATATGTATACGTGCTGTAGTCTTCCAACTTCGAACAATCGTCTCTGGCTTGATGGTCAAGCGGTAAGTCGTCGGTGCTATTGCTGATGCTCGCGAAGGCTGCGATGCCGGCGGTTCTAGGCCTGAATTGACCCTAATGTCTTCCGACAGCGTCCGTCCACAGATCAGCCAGATGTGATTGTTTGCTAGGATATTCCTCTTTTGCACAATGATGGTTGCATTGAGAGCAGAGCTCGGCATAAAGAGACCAAACATAAATTACAAATTGCTCCACTGGGACGATCGCATGCGCAGCCAACGAAAAGGAGAAGAAAGACGAAGCTTGAAAACTGTAAGCACTCAATGCAAATCATTTGACAATGCTACCTACTTTTATGCTCTCTTCGCGATACCACTCCTTCCCAAGTCCTTCGCGTCGTGTTACCAAAAGTGATCGAAGAATATCGTAAACGTCTGGCATCAAGTGCAGCTAGTCCGAAAACCTTCTCGCTCTCTCGAACGCATCAACGCCATCACTTGGCAAGACTCGATCGTTGCTAAACGCACTTTTCCCATCATCTAGCCTCGCTTTTTTGAGGGGCGGTTGGCCACTGACGGGTCTGCCTGATGACCGAGCCTCTGCGAAGTCGTCGTCTGGGGCAGTTAGGGATCCGTCGCGACCTGCCATTGGGTAGTCGGTCATTTCGAGAACCCGACCTCCGGATTGCAATGCACGGGGTTGTGTATTTGGAGGCACGGGATTCGTATGCTGGAGTTGTAGAAGACCGCTGGTGAAAGGTCCAGCATTCTGGAATTGTGCAAGACCGCTGGTGAAAGGTCCAGCATTCTGGCTGCCAAGCATGCGTGATGGCTCCGGCGTCACTGTTTCGGCACCAGTCAAACCAGGTGGAGGTGCCACATGTCCCAGGCTGTCCTTCTTTCCCCTCGGCTGTCCCTCAGTGTAATTCTATTCCCACCTCGACGGCTGCGGCGGCATGGCAGGATTCTACCTCTGCTGTCTGAAGCCTTGACCAGGAAGGCCCGCTGGAGGCGGAGGAAGGCCTGGGTGGCCCGGAAGACCCATTGGAGGAAGAGGCAGCCCGGCTGGCGGCGGAGCGCCTTGAAAGCCTTGATGCATACCTGGCGCAGCTGGAGGCCCGCCGTATCCTGCGGTGCTAGGCGGAGGTCGAGCAGGCAGACCCGCTGCTGAAGGTGGTGCTTGCAACGGAGACTGATTGTAGTTTCGCGGAGGCAAGCCTTGCGGAGGCTGATGTGGTAATGATGGAGGTGGTTGAGGCATGCCGCCATTTGGCATTCCGTATGGAGACGGAGGTGGCAAATTCGAGGGCGTCGGAGGCGGCTGGTAAGCTGGGTAGCCTCCGTACGCTGGCGGTGGTTGAGGCGTAGGTCTGCCTCCCATGCCATTTGGTGGGCCAACAGGATATCCGTTCGCTCCAGTCATGTTGACTGGTGCCATACTCTGTGGTGCAGAAGGTGTCCCGCTGGGCATGACCAGAGCTGCGGGTAGAGCAGGAATTGCGACTTCCACGCCGTGCTTCTTCGCCTGTGCGGCAAGTGCGCGCTCCGCCGCATCACCGTGTCTCTCGCCCTTGCCGTCCTTCTTGTATGCATACTGCACTGTGATCTCCTTGTTCATGAGGTACTGGCCATGCATATGTTCAATCGCTTGATCTGATGCCTCAAAAGATGCATAGCTGACGAAGCCATAGCCTTTTGAAAGATTCGCTTCGTCTCTTGCGACCTTTGGTGCAGCGACCAGAGGCCCGAATCTGCTGAAGGTGTCGTATAGCACTTTCTCGTCCACCATGTTGTCCAAATTACCAACAAAAAGCTCCGCTCCCACACCAGCGCCACCTCCAAGTCCTCCGCCCTCGCCATTTGGCCCTCTCTTGTCCGCTGAAGCTTTGTTGACTCTGATTGGCTTTCCATACACTCTGATCTGGTTCATAATCTTGCACGCATAATCCGCATCTTCCTCGCTTCCAAACTCAACAAATCCATATCCTTGATGCGACTGCGTGACGCGATCTTTCGGTAGGTGGACGTTTATGACAGGCCCAGCTTGGAGCATCAGCTCCCAAACCAGCGCATCGGTACATCGCTCGTCGAGGTTTCCAATGTAGAGCGTACTGTCCTTGTCCTGCTCCCAGTGGCGCGCAGCAGACATGTTGGCGCGAAAGTGTGTGGGCGGAAATAAATCGTTGTCGCAAAAGTTGAAGATTGAAGGCGCAGAGAGACGCGGAGTTTAGGTCCGTCGCGCCGAGCGACTCGCGATGATGACAGCCAACGCTACACGCCAACTATCACGTCTCGACTTCCACAACACACCACATGCGCCGGCGATGATACTGAGGGCAAAGCGCCCCAGTCCATCTTCCACTTCACTTTTCTGAACTCTCTGACTTACGCTTCAACCTTTCCTTCAACTCCGAACACTTCCACTCGCCAACCCATCATGGCGTACCTCTTCTACACCTTCCTCTTCGCCTTTCTCATCTTATCAACAGGTACCTTACCACATCCCTCCCCCTCCACAACACTACACTCCATACTAACTCCTCACCAAGTCCTCTACGCCACACGCAACACCTGGAAACCCTACGCCCCTCCAATCCCCTACCTAACCGCTCCCGGCGAAATCCCCACCTGGGCCTGGAACATCTACGACCGCGTGAACGCCTACATCGATCGCTGGCGCTACTCCGCCTTACCCTCATCTTTCCAAAATGAAGCCGAGCAAGGTTTCCACTCGTCGAATTTCGATATTGCAGAGAATATCCAAGGCGAGGACTCTCGAAGTGGGTTGTCGGGTCAGCAGAAAGCGGAGGTCTATGGAATTATGAGGAGGCAAGGTGTCACATTTGATGAGGCAAGAAGGTTGTATACGGAGAGGCAGTTTGCTGCGGCGGGGATTGGGCCGGATGGGAGGCCGTTGGATAAGAAGGCTGTGGTGTTTTCTTAGGGTTCTTCTTCTCTTTTGGGGTTTTTCTTTATGGGGGTGGGGCATTTGCTGTGACGCAGCTGGACGTGCCTTGATGGCGTGAAGCTAGGAGCATTTTGGGTCATATGTACAGTGCATATTCATTTATCGACAGGGCATGGAAAGTGCAGCTCGATTGTCATCAAGCTCTGAGACACAGGTAGAAAGCAAGCGTACTGTTACAGCTATCACTCACATATCAGATGAGTGCACTAGTCAAGGTCAACCTCCCTACGATCGATCCCTCTTCGTGAACTGATCGAATCTGTCCCGAATGCCGAAATGTGGCATGCTTGGCTTTCCTCTCAACTCTTGGAAATCCGGCATCAGAGACATTCTCTTCTCCCTCGGCGCACCTGTGGTATCAGTGTACACCTTCTCCAACAACTCCGCACCTTTGATCTTGTCCACTTTCTCGAAGCGTGTCTGACTCTTGGACGAGTCGAAGAACTCCTCGCCCTTGCCCTCGGCCGCCAGCATCATCAAGTCAGTCGTCTGTCGAATGGATGTGAGGCTCTCAAGAAGAACCGGAGCTTCCGGAAGCGCTTCTACGAAGTCGACGAGATCATCGACGTCGAGCTTGAATGCCGTTGCGGCTTGAGGTGAGATGTGGCGCACACTTGGGTCGAGTGGCAGTCGAAGAAGCGAATCGCTGATATGATTCAAAGCCTCGAAATAGATGAGCTCTTTGATCTGCTCGGGCAGGCCCAGGAGGACGGAGCTCATGATATTGGACAGATACCTCGTCAGTTCTTGTATGTAAGGACTAGCGGTATCGGGCGTGTAGGTGCTTGTCCATTCGTACTCTGCAGTGTCGATCAGGTCATCGATCTTGCTGTTGACGAGCTCAAAGATGCGCTTTTCGGCACGCTTCTTAGCTGAATTGAACTGGCCGGTGGCGTTGAGTTTGATCGGTCCTGCCGCGCTGCTGCTTGATCTCGCTTCGACAAGAAGACCCTCGAGATCTGTGCAAGCTTGCTCGAAGTGATCGAGGTTGGTGAGGATTTGCACGATCTGACCAGGATATTGCGAGGAAAGGCGGTCTACCAGACTGCGGCAGACCTTGTCGACCAGCAATTCGTCCAGGCTTTCTTTCAACGTCTTGTCGATGACTGTGGTGTGGCGGAAATGGTCGTCGGAGAACAGGTAGATCTGGTTCAAGAAGTTGCGGATGTCAATGCAAACCAGTGGGTACATCTGACTGAAAGGAAGAACGCATGGATACGACAACTCCTCCGCATTCTCCTGACCAGCAGGCGGCGTGTACCAGGATACCGAGATGACTTTGGTGTACTCGTCGGCATTGTTGATTGGCATTGGCATATAGTCGTCAGTGCTGACAATCTACGATCGCGTTAGATGAAAGCCTTGTATGGAAGTTCTTGAACTCACCTCTTGAAAGTCATCACTGAATCGTCTCTTCAGCAAAGAGCTGTACTTATCGAAGAGAGTCAAAAGAAGTCCGTCAAGACTGGCAACAGAGTAACCCCAACTGTCCATGGTCTGTATGAAGAGCGCAATCACGCCCTTAACCTTCAACAGCCGCTCATCGTTGTCAACGTGATGCAGTGCAGTACTGATGAGTGACACCGAAGACTGGCACATGCTCTCCCACAGTTCGTCAATGTCGCTCTGAGAGCGGAAGTTCTCGGTCTTTTGCATCGTCGCCTTTTCCACAATCGCAAATCCTGCGATGCCCTCAAGCAATCCACTGAGGCTGCTGTTGTCTTCCTCGAGAAGGTTGATAGTCTGTGGGATCAGCAAGTCTTTTTGCCTGCGTCGAGTGGCGGCATAGTCGGCGCGGAACTTCTCGGTCTCCCCGAGCGCATCGTGAATATGCAGGCACTCGAATAGAGGGGAGAAGTCGACTTGAACCTCCTCATTGTTGAGAACGTCAAACTCCTCGTCTTCATCAGCGACCAGCTCCACTGCTGAGTTCAATCCAAAGGACCCGAGATACTCGTCCTTCTCGCCGCGCTCCTTCTGTCGGGCGCGTCTCATCTCCGTGTGATAGAATGCTACCTCACCAAGAAATTGCGATGTCTCGCGGATTCGATACAGCCAGGTGTGCAAGTCTTGAGTGACAGCTTCAGCGATCATACGTTGCGTAGCTGGTACGGAGCGCTCGATCATTTCCGCGATCTTGTACCTAGTAACCTCGCGTAGATGAACGTTTTGCAGCTCATCAAGAGCGCGAAGTGCGGCGTAGTGATTCTTCTTGCCGAGCAGATCGTGCACTTGGTTGGCTAGACGAAGGACCTCCAAGCAATCCTTGAGTGCTTGTGTCGCATCGTCAATGTTTTGGCGCACACTTCGCGAGTCAACCAGCGCTTTCTTCTGCTCTGCCAATTTCTCGGTACTGGCCTCGATACTTCTGCTCAGCTGCATGATCTCGGAAGTCAAGTTGACAGTCTCCTCTCGGACAGATTGTAGTTGGTTGACACTGGTGATGAATTCCTGGTGGTTCGAATTACATATGGACTCAATTTGTGCCTCTCGATCTGCCGAGACATGGTTGAGAGCATGGATGAGAGGGGTGACCTGAGTCTGGATTTCGGCATTCTTGAGCAGTGGGATCAATTGATCAAGGTAGTCCGACTCGGACGAGGATAGTATGATCTGGAGAATATGTGTCAGTCGGCATTGAAGCGATGGCTGAAATATGCGCTTGGCTTGCTTGAGCTGTGGGCCACAAGAATACAACCGAAGCTGCATAGACGTTGCGATCGCTCAGCGAGCGGGTGATTACACACCTGTTGTACTGCACCAGTGAGATCATCGTATTGATCGGCAATAAGCCCAGGCATTGTGCTAGCAGTGAATGGCGCCCTGCCAATTCTGAAACGCAACCTCACCTGCGCTCACCTCGCAGCGCAATCTCCAACACCAACTTCACTGCACCGAGTGTCTTTCTTCTGCGCCTTCCACTCTCAAACCAACAAACCTCGTGCAAACGCCAAGCCAAGATTGAGCCTCTTCGCCTCCAGCCTCCAAGATGTCGAGGCGTGTCAATGCCGAGAGATCCAGAAGAGCCCAAACGACTGGCACGTGCGCTTTGCAGAGCAGGAACAGAGCGCGATATATTGCGCTTGGTAGCCGGCACGTAATGCCCGAGAGCTGGCCACCAGTCCCACGGAAGGTTCAGAGCTACGACCTGATCCTCTGCGCAGGTACCAGAGCGCAATGAGCTGCGACAAGATGGCAAAGGCGATGCTTTGATGCTGCGCATTCATTAGCATGAAGCCTATGCTGCGCGGAGCAGACGGAACCACCAAGGCAGCAGCCACGACGCCGCAGTGGGCCGACGTACTCACGGAATGCAATGCACAGAGCTCCTTCACGATGAAACGACCGAATGCACGAGACAAGAAGCTGCCAGAAAGCAGAAATAGATCGCGAACCGAATTTCTGGCGCGCAAACCAAAAGGTGAGGTGTAGAGTCGCGTTCCCAGCCAGTGCCCGGATCACCAATGAACAGTCCCGCCAAGACTGATGAACGCCTGACCCAAGCTTTTTTGGGGACCCTGCTAGCGCGAAGCCACTCCCGCGCTGGCTCCACTGGCGAGCTCGGGCCTCTATCAAAATCCCATGGAAGACAGGAAGTGAACAAAAATACATGAGTGGAGTCGCTGCATGGTCAGAAAGAACTCCAGACGAAAGATACGTCGCATATGAGGCATTTCCATCACTGCTAGCTATTGTGCGCGACTTGCACGTCGTGCTACACGCTCGCAACCATCGCTCAGGGCATTGCTCGCAGCCATGGATTTTGCGAAGAGTGTGGGTGGGTCTTCGAACTCTATCCAGCAGCGTAGAGACAGCGAAGACACCACAATGAAGTGAAGTTTCACCGCTCATGGCTCTTGTGGACTGCGGCAAATTGGACGAGCAGCGGACGACCAAGAGCTGTCGACTGGTACCAGTTTGGTGCGTGCAAAGCGTCCAGCGTCCAGAGCGCCGGCGTGACGGTGCGAAGCGAGTGTGTTTGTCGAGAGGAAGGTGGTGCTGGTGGTGTGGAGATCCCGCGGTTCTTTCCCGCTGCCGCACTGAGGTTCAAAATCCCCTCGCCTTCCTCTCTCGCACTTCCCTCCTCTCCTCTTCCACCGACACACTTCGGCCTCAATTTTTGAAACACCCATATTGCCACCCTTGGTGACCGCAAATCTCGTGCATCACCTCCCTCCGGGCATCATCCTTCGCTCAGCAGACGGCAACATCACTCGCAGCATCCTCACCCTCGTTGGCTCCAGCCTCCAGCTCATTGACCGCTGACTGACGTTGGCCGCGATACCCAACACAGCCCTTGGGCAGCACAGAAGAGCATAGCACAGCACCGCTAGCCACTCTTGCAGCTTGCACCACTACCCTCTGTAAGTGGCACCTGCTCACCGCGCTCCCTGAATGCGAAAAGCTGACACGCGCGCAGCCACCACAGCGACCGTCACCCAGAGACAACATGTCCGCCAACACCTCGAACCACGCCACCGCCGACAAGGGCAAGGGCAAGGCCCCACGCAGCCCGCCGCCGGGCGTCGTCTTTCCACTGCAGCCGTATGTCACCTGTTGCCCTCCCTCACCTCACTGACCACTGGCTGACTTCACCAGACGCAGCCGTGTCCCGAGCGGAGAGAGCACCTCCACTGCTCGTCCAGCTCAGTCAAATGGCGGCAGCGGCGCCGCCGTGGCGGACCCGTTCACCTCAGCTGGCCTCGCCGCCCGCTTGAACAGCATCACGCTCAGCGGCGATTCTCCCAAGTTCGAGCCAGGCAACGTACTCATCAAGCACCTGCTCAGCGGCAGCACCCCAGACGAGGCAGCCGAGGCGCCATCTTCTGCCCCAGGTCCAGCCATCGTCGCCTCGGCAAAGGGCAAGGGCAAGCAACCAGCCAAGGCCGTCGGTCCTCCCCCAGTCGGCACCATCCCTCGCAAGGTCCACTTCACCACCGACGTGGGCCCCGTCGGGGCTTGTCGCTACCTCAAGGTCGTCAAGATCGAGGACCGAGCTGACTTCGATCGCGGTATCGCTGCCCTGAGTGCTGATGTATGTTGCTGCCCCTTGCTCACGTGGAATCACCCTTGCTGACATCACCGCAGTTCCAATTCCACCTCGAGGAGCACGTCTACGACCTCAAGATCTCCGAGCCAAGCAACATGTGCGCAACCTTCACTGCTTGGTTGGTCTTCAACGATCTTGGATCCACACCTGCCTTTCAGAGCCTCTTGGATATCGTTCGGCCGAAGTGGAAGTATGAGTGGGTCAGCCACAGCGCCTACGATGGCGCAGTCGGATACCGCATCTACGCCAACAGCACCCAAGCCTACCATTACGACGGCCAATTCGTGTTCGTCTGCCGACCGATCGCGCCCACCACCGCTGCGGGCCTCGACGAGCTTGAGTCCGGCATCACGCAGCTGGCCTTCGACCACGGCAGAGTCTTCGCCAGCAAGGACCTTCCATGGCAGCGTTCCATGGACTGGCAATACCGCTTCGAGCTGACTCGTATCACCGACGCTCACGAGGTCCTTAAGAAGATCAATTTCATGAACCCTCACCACTTCAGCGTAAGTACACCCCGCCGCTCATCTGCCATTCACATCACTGACAGCACGTAGCAATTCGCAGTGACTGCTCAGCCGTACGGCGACAATCTGAGCCTCAGCACAGATAACGATCACCTTCTCCACGTCACCTGCAGCCCAACTGGCCGCACTGCTTGGTCCACCGGCAGCAACGGTGCACCTCGTCCATGCACACCACCAATCGTCGTGCCAAAGGTGCCGGAGCCTTACTGTTACCGCGACCGCTACGAGATCGACAGCGCCAACTCATACCAACAGGCTGACCCATTCGTGTCTTCCTCGATGGCTCAAGCCGGCCCGAGCACCCACCCCAACCAAGGCGGCTTGTATCGCCCACCGCAGCGTCGTGGAGACTCCGCTCCCAATGGCCAGCCACTGCGCAACCGCCAGCTTGGCCGTCGCGACGATACTGCTGGTGAGGGCTCTGAGTCTCAGGCAGTTGTTCTCGACCGTATCGTCAGCGGCCAGGACGTTCGCACCACCCTCATGATGCGCAACATTCCAAACAGCTGGACCTTCCGTGAGCTGAAGCGTCGCGTCGACCAAGTTGCCAAGGATCAGTACGACTTCTCGTACTTGCGCATCGACTTTGAGAAGAACACCAACGTCGGCTACGGCTTCATCAACTTCATCAGCCCATCTGCCACGGCCCAGTTCGTCGAGAACATCCAAGGCACCGAGTGGTCGCCAGACTCGCACCCGCGCAAGAACGTGCAGTTGTCGTATGCTGCTGTGCAAGGTATCGATTGCATCATCGACAAATTCCGCAACTCGTCGATCATGTCGGAATTCCCGGACTATCGCCCAAAGTTGTGGTATACTCCATTCGACGCTCCTCACCCTGCTGCTGTCGGCACTGAGAAGCCATTCCCACCGTCGAACAACATCACCAAGAACCAGCGCTCGCGCGATAATGCGAGCAGCATTGGCCTGTTCCCGCCACAGCACCGGCGTCAGTACGGTGACCGCTCCCGCCGCTCCCAGTATGATCGCGGCACCCAACACCAAATGACTGAGGAGGCTCTGTACTCAGCTCCGGCTTACGGCTACGACAACTACACTGCCGCTCCAAGCCAGCAGTACCTTCAGCCACCAATGCCGATGGCACAACACCCAGCTTTCATGCAATACATGCCAACTTATGGTCCGGCCCCTTACGTCTACAACCCGGCGCCATACTACCCACCTCAGCCGATGCAGTTCGGCGGGCATTACATGCTGCCACCGGCACCTCAAGGCTGGCCACACCCGCCGCCACCACAGGCCTTCGGCACTGCCTACGCAGGCAACCCACAGCAAGTCCCACGCGTCATCGTTGGCGGCTACCAGCAGGTTCCACCACCTGCCACCAACCAGGGCACCGTGGCTGAGGCCGAGACCGAGGAGGTCGAGGCAAGCAACCAGTAAAGGCAGCACTTCTCTGACCTTTTGTCCGCACACATGCGTCTGCGACTTTCTGTTCACGCACACGCGTCTCTGATTTTCTGTTCGCGCACACGCAGCTGGGATGACACGCTCAGCGGCGGCCAATGCTGCCGAGTGAAAGAGCTTTTAAGTAGACATCCGTAATAATGGCATCCACTTGACCTTCGCTTCATGTGCACTCCAGTCTCTACTTCTCTTCATGCGACCTCGCTGTCCATTGCTTGATCGTTTCGAGTCATGCACTGTCGCTGTCACAGAGTCTGCCGAGAATGGTGGAGCGCCTCCAGGTCTTGAGCCACCTCGTTGCCGTCGATGGTACGGACGGGTGGAGATCTCGAGTCGTCTTGGTGGAGTCTTGTTGAGCCAAACCACTATCTCTGCGAATGAGCAATGCCCCAATGCCAATACTGCTCTCGATTACTGGCGTTTTGATTTGTCCGCATTCCAGAGCCAGTGCCGACAAGGCCCTCCTTCCATGGGTAAGAGCTACTGCAATGGCAACACTGTTCCATTTTGCTCCCGTTTTTGGTTGATGCTGGCTTTGGAGTCAGTTTTGGAATTACCAGTGCTTCTGTTGATTCGAGGTGGTACAATGGTAACACTGCTCCAGATTGCTCGCATTTTGGTCGATCACGGCCTGAGAGTTAGAAATGGGCTTGGCTATTGCTTCTGTGGGTGAGGATCCGCCTATGCTAATGCTGCTCCAGATTTTCGGGACGATGTTTGGTACCAGTTTCGGAGTGAGTAGTGCACCGCTGACCGCTTCTCATAAGGCGGTTTCATTTAATGCCGACAACGCTCCAGACCGCCGACATGGTGTAGTGTACCAGTTTCGGAATCAGCGCTGATTGGACCGCTGCTTGCTTCTGCATTTGGGAGAAAAGTGCAATGCCCACGAAGCTTCAGCTTGTTTGGACGTCAGTCCATCCTGGCTTTGGAGTCAGCGACGAGCTTGCGAACTGCTTCGGTATATCAGGTTTCATTCAATGCAGCCGGCGATCCAGATCGCTGGTGTCCTGGTCTGCTACGGCGTCGGGGTCAAAGCAGGCACCGGACCTTGCTGTCAAATAACAACCTCGCCAGAAGGTACCACTTGAAGGTAATGCTTCGAGGTATACTTTCGCTGGGTGAAAGTAGATTGTGACATAATCGAGCCAGTCTTTGGTGCTGCACAACTATTGAATCTGAGTCTGTGGGGATGCTTCCACTGCAATTGATGTCGTTGGGCCATCATTCAGAGGGACGGCTTGAAGTTTGACTGACTCGAAGATTAGAGCCCGTGACAAATCTGAGTTTCGTATTCGTTCCACCTGGGAGTCGCGTTGTCTTTTGTGCTCAGGATGCTTCGGACTTCAATGATCTTACGACGGAAGCTTGGCTTAAGGTGAGCATGCCTCAGTCAACATTGAAGTTATGAGAGCTAGTGTTGCTCTAGACGAATCGAGATTGGGATTTGTTGTCGTATCGGAGTTGAGCTACCTCTGTATTGCTTGATATGGTAGCGCTGTTAGTAATGTCGTTGCCTCGAGATCTCTGTGGCCTCAGAGGTGAAGTACGGCTAGAGATAGCAGTGCTCCTTTTGAGCATGATGTGCTGAAGTCGATGTTGCTCTGAATCGACCAGATGCTGGCTCTTCCAAGTACCGAGTCTTCTAGATATGTTCCTTGGTTCAGGTAGAATGTATCGTTGGCAGTAGTGCAATTGGAGTTCCTTCGAATACATGAGAACTAGCTCGATGGAACGGATGCTTTCCTTTGGTCTGATGTTCGTTTTTTGTTTGCTTGAGACTGGCAGAAACGCTGCATGTCTCGATCACTTGGCGACCTTCTTCCTGCTCGCCATGGACTGGCTGTGTTGGCATTCCGTTACACCAAAGAATGCGTCTGCGTTTCCCCGTCACGGATAAACTTGACTTGACATCGAGCAGAGTTTGACCTGCGAGCACGCCAGCCAGAGCCAACGTCGGAGGCAGAGCAGGGGCATGAATATACTTCATACCCTATTGGGGTCCATACCAGGGACGAGCGACCAGTAAAATTATCGAAACAATCCAACTCGATGTTGCTTTAGGACCACTTTCCTCAGTAGTGCGGCCTAAGGATGCATCGGTGGGCAAACTTTGCTGCTGCCGAGTTTTTTTCCAGGCTGATGGCATTGTTGTCCCAGACAGGAAGCCTTCACAGCAAAACAATTGATTGACCTAAGGCAGGCCGAGTAGCGCCACGTCACGACGGAACATACAGCGTCCCACGATATTCCTGTAGCCTGAGGACGCCGCATTGGAACGCCCCATCCACATGAGCTTGGTGTCAGCTGCAACGAGGGCCAATACGCGGCCACTGGTGGTGCTTGCCGAGTCGCAACGATCGTAAGGTGAGGGCAAGTAGCAATCCCTTTTCTTCGGAGCACAACGTGAAACTGGTCTTGTATACCGCCATCGTGACTGGTGATGATCCAGCTGGCATTCATCTCCTGGAAGACCCGCAAAATGGCAGGAACGTTCGGTAGATGTGGAAGGTGCTTGAGCCGTATCAGTCTGCTCTTGCCATCGTAGCTCAGCATGAGCATGAGCAGCTTCGAATCAATGTACTCCGGTCGATAGATGGTGGCAATGGGCCATCGTTGGTCTCGGACAGGGCGGTAGCCAGGATCGAATTGACTGTTCAGTTTGTGTGCGTCTTTGTAGAGTGTTTCGATGCCTCGATGATCGCATCCGTCGGGACAGTACGATGTAGGATAGCGTGCTTTGATAACAGAGGCGATGCTTATTTCCTTTTTCTGAAAGACTCCCTTCCTCCATTGGAGCTGAGGACAGATAGGGCTGTTTGGCTGCGACTCGTTGGGGACACTTGATGCTCGATACGCTCCGTCTCTGGTGTTGTACGATGCCATCGTTGCTCCAGTGGGGTTGTATCAATTCGCCTTGCTTGATATGAGTCGTCGAGCGGTAATGAAGCTCGTTGCCATTTCATTCGTAGGTGTGATGCTATCGAGGGGCTTTCGTCGTTCTCGAATATGAATGCTCATCCTGCTGGAGTGAGTGATCAGCTTCGACGGCCATGCTTGACAGAATAGGATTATGATGTGAACGAAAGTGAAGGGATGTTGGCAGCGTCTCCTTCTTGGAATGATTTCTCGGACGGATGGGCAGGAGTCTCCTATTGCAAGATAACCTGGGCAACGAGGTAGTATTAGCAATTTCCCCTGGATCGGTCGTTGAGCCTGCGATCGAGGTTGTTGTTCTGATGAGGCAGGCAACAGCAGCGAATATTGGTCTGAAGAAGTCTCGATTTTCATCGGTGATTAGCGGAACCAATTTGTATATGTAAAGGTCTCGAATGAAAATTCTGTGTGTTCTCATGATCAACGAACGACGGCACTTGGCGTTCACTCATTCGCCACCCTGTTAGCCGCGAAGTAAGGACTTCACTCAGCCTGAATTTGCCACTCGGGAAGCCGGTACACTTGGAGCTAGCACACCGGATCAGTTCTGTTCATCTTCGTTGATTGTCCAGATACACTGTAAGGCGATAGGAGACGTTAGGATGTCGTTCGATAGATGATTGGAGCTTGGAATTGTCGTGCTGCATGCAACCGAGCCTGCTGGCCATATGATGAATGTTTTCCGATCATGGCAGCACGAGTCACGGAAAATACAACCCTGCCATTCTGGAGAGGTTGTCTCTGGTCTTCATTGTTTCCGGCCCACGGCTGGGAGCTTCAATGATATCCGAGGTAGGAAGCAGCACGAACGAAGGTGCCAGAGTGAAGATCGGTCCCTGAACGATTATTGCAACAGGCTCAGAGGCGCTGACATTTTCCGAATGGACCCCTACGACTCATCAAGCTCGTTTGCAGGACTATTCAGGAAAAGTGGAGATTCTCTGCATCAGATATCCATGAGTGAAGATGTCGAGTGAGACTAGGATACTCACAACACTCTCTTGCCGATGTCACCCGTCTCCATCCGACGTCGTCCGCAACCTTTGCAGAGCCTTCGATTGAGGCTTCATTCATCTTGATATGAATAACGCCATTCTGAACTGAGTGAGCTGCGATGTGGTGGCCACTCATACGTCTGCATTCAGACGCGTGTTTGTGGTTACGTCCAAAGTCTCGGCGGAATCAGGACCTCGACTTTCCGCGTTTCTCCATCCCTCCTCTCTTGTGCAACGTCACCTCTTCAACAATGCACAACTGTCACTACGCTATCAGCATCGGCGCCGAATTGAGATGAAGTTGTCGACGTACTGACTGTTGCAGAAACGAAGCCGCAATGGCACGTCCGAGTCGCGTCCAGACCGCAACGCTCACGTTCGCGAATCTCCTGCTCCCCGTAGCCGTCCTCGTCTTCGCCAGCGGATTCTTCCCCTATAAACCTGTCCTGCCTGGCCTTGCCAAATTTGAAGATGCGCGGAATGATGGAAGAGTAGAGGGCAGCGTGGGTCATGATGGGCGGCCAAACGCGCCATTTGACAAAGTCATCTTCATGGTCGTAGACGCGCTGCGAAGCGACTTCGTCTACGGCCATGACAGCGCCATGACTTTCACGCAGAGGTACGCGCCGCACTCTCCAGATACAGCAGCAGCAGCAGCAGCAGACAAGTCACTGATGCCTCCCAGCTTGATCCGCTCTGGCGCCGCGGTTCCCTTCACCGCCCACGCAACTCCGCCTACAGTTACGATGCCTCGCGTCAAAGCCCTTACCACAGGTTCCGTCCCCTCCTTCCTCGATCTGATCCTCAACTTCGCCGAATCCGACACCACATCCTCCCTCGCGACTCAAGATACCTGGCTGGCGCAGATCAAATCCCGCGGCGGCAACATAGTCTTCTACGGCGACGACACCTGGCTGAAATTATTCCCTGATAACTCCACGAATCCGGAAGAACCGCCGTTCTTCCTGCGAAGTGATGGAACCAGTAGCTTTTTCGTTTCGGTCAGTAGTAGCTCTCCTGCTCCTGGGCCGAATGTAGTCCCCTTCCTTTCCTCCATGTTCGTAGAAGTCCATAGGCTGAGTATCAAATATTTGTTTCAAAATAGGATTTCACAGAAGTTGATCTCAATGTGACGAGACATGTTCCGCAAGAACTTGGTCGCGCTGCTGATTGGGATGCCATGATTATGCATTATTTGGGGTTGGACCACATTGGGCATAAGACGGGGCCATTGGGTCGGAATATGCTGCCGAAGCAAGAGGAGATGGATGGGATTGTGAAGATCATTTTCGAGGCCATGGAAGAGGAGGATGGCGATCTAGCGAATGCGGTACTGGTCCTGGCCGGCGATCACGGAATGAATGCTGGCGGGAACCATGGAGGAAGTGGACCTGGAGAAACCGAGCCTGCGTTGGTGTTCGTGAGTCCAAAGTTAAGAGAGCGAAGGGAGAAGAGGAGGTATGAGTGTCCGACATTGCCAAAGGAGGGAACCGAGTTTCACTATTACACGAAAGTCGAGCAGAGCGATTTTGTGCCTACGTTGGCGGGATTGCTGGGACTGCCGATCTCGAGGAATAGTCTGGGAGTGAGCATTCCGGAAATGGAGGGGATGTTCACAGAGATGGAGAAGTTTGAGCATTTGAAGCGCAATGCGGAGCAGATCTTGCAAATCGTTGTGGCGACGTATGGGGAGAAGAGCTGGGACGAGACGGTGGTGATTATGGAGACATTGCTGATGTCGAGCAAGACGCCTGAGGACCTTGCCAAGACTGGGGAGATGTGTGAAGAAGCACATGGGGAGAAGAAGCTGGCTTGTCTTTGGGCAACGTGCAAGGCACACCTGCGAGGCGTCATGGCTCAGTCTTCCGACCAAGATTTGCAACAAGCACAAGAGCAACTTCGCAAGTTCCTGCTGGCTGCGCAGGACGAGTTGAGCGGCACGGCTTCTTCGTACAACATCCCTCGCATGGTCACCGGCATGGCGCTCACGGCTTTCATCATCGGCCTTGCGGTATCATCTTTCCCCGAACTCTGGCCAGCATCATCAGCGGGAGTCTACTTCGCGCTGATTAGCTTGCTCTACGGCGTCATGATGTTCGCGTCCTCATATGTCGAGGAAGAACAGCACTTCTGGTATTGGCTTACTCCGGCTTGGCTCACCGTCCTCACAATCACTCGGCTTCCGAACTTCACGACATTACCGAGCCGACTGCGTCTCTCGGCTGCCGTCTTTTCTCTCCTTGCCGTGCATCGGCTGAGCGTGAGATGGAACCAGACGGGACAAAAATTTGCTGGCGCGGACGACATTGTTCACACGTTGTTTCCGGAGCACCACGTGGCAATGTGGCTACTCATTTTGGCCACCTATGCTTACCAAGGATTTCTGCTTGTCACAAGAAGCTTTGCGGGATTGATGGGAGCGGAAGTCGCAGTTCCGCTGGCTGTTGTATGCGTTTTGCCGGGCATCGTATTTAAGTTGAACTTCACCCAAGCGGATGCCCCGGAACTGGTGAGAGGTTTAGCGAGTGGGATTCGAGCGCTTACGCAAAACGTGGACTTGGTGGTCCAAGCGAGAGTTGCCTTTGGTGTTCTCGCAGCGGGATTGCTGGTGGTGATCGTATTGGCGCTTATGTCGTGGAGGGAGAGTGTAAGGCAGCAGGACCAGGTGGGAAGGTTACCGAGCTTGGCGGAGAGGTGCCATGGTCTGCTGAGTCTCTTCTTGATGATGCAGACCAGGGCACCAAATGTGACCTTAATTCTGGGTTGGGAGCTACAGAGAGAAGCTTTGGCGTACCTCTTGAACAGGCAGGACGAGGCGAAGAAGACGGGCGGGAGAAAGGCTTCATCGAACATCACCGCCATTGCGACCTCTGTCCTCCTTTGCAGCCATGTCGCATATTTCTGCGCGGGAGGAAGCAACTCGATCTCATCGATTGATTTGAGCAATGCCTACAACGGCGTAGCGGATTACAATATCGTTGCCGTGGGCATCTTGCTCTTCGCATCAAACTGGACTGGAGCTATCTGGTGGTGCAGCGCAGCAAACCTGCTACTCTCGAGCCATGAACTGAACGCGAAGCCCTCACTGTTCGCTGCTTCGAGAAGCACGGAAGAGAAGAAGAAACAAGGAAGCTGGATCGATGCCGAACGCAAGCGTCTTCATGAGGAGAGCTTAAAGACTGTCATGGGTGCAGAGAAGTCTGCTTCTTCGAGATTGGCGAACGCTGGCGAGGTGGACCGCGCATGGGACTGGCAAGTCTACTTGTCTCACATGACAACTTTCATTGCCATCTCTCTACTCGCTGTCATGGCGAGTTGCACGGCGCTGAGGACGCACTTGTTCATTTGGACAGTGTTTAGTCCGAAGTACTTGTATGCGATGGCGTGGAGTATTGGGTGGCACTTACTCATCAATGTCGGCTTTGGCAGCCTATCGAGGAGTTTGAAGAACGTGGCGTAGAGGTCACATAGATTTAATAGCCTTGCAAAAGGACCATAAGTAATTGAGTATGTCTACGACGAGTTCGTAAATATCTCCTCATGGCAATTCGACTCATTCTAAAATCGCACTGCTTCGCTACGTGCTTTCCTCCAATGCTTGTTGTAATTACTAGACATTGTTTCTTTCGAAATTTTGGCCTCCACTTCTTGCTCTAGTATCGATGGTCGATCAGTCTTGAGCCTCGATAGCAGGCAGGACGAGGTGTCATCATTGTCACAATATCGCAAAAATTACCCACAGCATCCTGAAATTGATCTTAGAGTGCACCTTCTCTATCTATTCCTGCTCGCAGGGCCGGAAACTACTGTCCCCCCAGTTGTTGCTCGTGTAACCCTAAAGGCTTGGCAGTAGCGATATAAGGCAACGATATGCTCTGTAGAGACATCCAAACACCATCCTTGCTTATTAGGCGAGACGCCTTCTACTTCTGCCTATGAATTGAGCTTGAGAGCAATGAATTTGGTACATGCAACTAGCGAAATCTGGTACAATAACTTCAAGAGGCTGCAAGTGTTTCATTATTCGACATCGCCCACGCTTGACTGATGATTGATCGGCTTGACGAAGATTATTCTTGCTTGTTGTGAATGCAATTCATCCGGCAAGCCCATGATCACAATGTTTTCCAGACCAAAAAGACACGTTACTTTCGGAATGGTGAGGCGTACTGTCTGTTAGTCCTGGTGGGTGAATCCAACACCATCACCTGAACCCATCGAGATCAGTCGTGCCTGCATACCTTGCGCCAGCTTGCTCATTTCTGGAGGCAGATTCGAAAAGTCGGCCTTGGATGCCCAGGTGCCGATTCCGTGCTGGAGGATATTGCGAGCACGTTCTGGATCGGACTTGGTGATGCCCATGCTACCGTGCACTGTGATATTATTAGCAAATGCGAGATTGCAAGTAGTAATGGCACACACAAGTCATTCTCTCCGTACTACTGTTATACACGCCTCGATGGAGGATGTTGTTGTTGTAAAAGACGATGTCTCCTGGACTCATTTTCACTGCCAACTGCCCTGGCATGTTATCCTCGAATGGGTCAGCGCCTCGCTCCATGTCAGTCCGTGCTCGTTTATGTGAACCTGGTACTACAACGAGCGAGCTGTCATCGTAGAGTGCAAGATTCCATTGTGCGTGGATGATAGGTTCCTGCAAATGCCGCAGCTCTTCTTCTGCTGATGCTTGCGGTCCGATGTTGTCTCGGTGCCACCGCAGCGCAAAGTCATGATCTGGCCTGCAGAGCATATTGTACAGCTCGAGCACCAAATCGTCTCTGCGACATTGTAGCAGGTCTAGAACCACGCCGACCACTTTCTCGTGAAAGTATGACTCTGCGAAGAGGTCGCGGCCTGGCATATCAGGATGCAGGAGATGTTGCACTCCCCATATACCATTCTGCTGTGCATCTTCCGCATTCCATGGCGGAAATTGCTTCGGCAAAGTCCTCACGTACGGCCACTCTCCTTTTCGGGCTTTGTGGACAACGTGCTGACACGCGGCACGGTAACGCTCGAGCTCGTCGGGAGACAGGACTTGTGGTATACGCACGAAACCGTCCCGCTCCAGCGACGCGCGAAGCTCTGCTGGCGTCATGGTTGACGCCATGCTCTGGTCTTTGTGATGCCGAGTCAGGTGTCCGAGGCCGTGGCCGTGAACGTGCAGACAAAGGCGGCGTCGTGTTGTCAATGTCGGCAGAAGAGCGGCGCAGCGGCTGAGACATCCAGCGTCATCTCTTGGGCCCTAAGCAACCAGCCTCGCCCACGCCTGTCAACCCGGCGCGACTCACACACCTCGTCCTCGAGTGCGACATCTTGCGCAAAGACTCGACGTCTCTTGCACTGCGCCTCTTCACTCTCCCGCCCTGTTCTCCCCATTCACGCCAATGTCTACTTTCGCCGCACAATCACAATCACAACCGCACATCACACTACAACCGCCTCACGTACCTTGGAAGCGCTACATTACCTAGCCCACTGGATCGCGACCACCGACCACCCTTTCCCTTGCGACACTAGCTCGAACACGACTTTTCATTACGACCTTCACACACTGCGACATGGCAGACTTGACCTACATGAGCGACTCGCCCGTGCCGACTGCGCCTGGCGCTCAGCAAGGGCGACAACAGACCACGCCTTCCCAACCGAAGCGCAATAACCGCAATCGCAAGAACAACCAGCAACAACAGACCGACGGCGCTGTTTCCGACGGCGCTCTCATAAATCCTGCTGCGTCTCCGCGACACAGGAACAACAGCAACAAGCAGCGGCAGAGCAGCGCAGCGCAAGGACGACAACAGCAGGACAATATGGGCCAAGGGAATACGCAGAAAGGGCGACCGATTTCTTATGCCGGTGGGCGAGTTCCAGCGACACCTGCGAAAGAGCAAGCATATGCTGGGCCGACCTTTCAAGCTTCGCCAGCTGCTTCTGCACTACCCATGCCCAAGTTCTCCAAATCAGTGCCAAATGCTGCAGTGCGTGGCTCTCTGTCCGCGAGACTGGCGGCCGAAAAGACATCCGACGGCGAGCAGTCATCTCCCGAGGCGGACGTCGTTGCGCCTGTCCCCGCTCCCAAGGAAGCGTTCAATTCTCCTTTGGACTTGTTCTTCAAGGCGGATCGAGAAGAGAAAGCGCGAAGCGCAAGCCAGTCAGAAGCTCAGAGACCACAACCGCCTTCTACAGAACCTCGAAATCCATTCGCACAAGCAGGACGCAGCGCCTTCCTTGACGAGCTGGACCGCGACTCGGCCATGCCCAGTCCTCGCACCGTACCTCCCAACAACGGCAGGCCACCTTTGAGCCACCGAACAGTGTCTTCTCCTGGCATTGCGCAACAGCAAGCGGATATTGGTGAGCAGGAGAGGCAGGCCAAGACGCAGAATCTGAAGGACTTGCTGTTCTCCGCCGCCATCAGACCCTCCAATCAGCCCAGTACCCAATCACGAACACCGTCCGGATCGAATACACCTAACAATAACTTCCATTCTCCATCTCCCTTCAATCAACCTGGACACTTCTCACAATCTCGATCCAGTTCTGTTCCTTCGACCCCTCAGCCGCATTACGATCAGCAGCAACAAGACAATTACTCTTTGCACTACGGCAACAGAAACCTATCACCTCTGTTCAAGGCTTCACGAAACGACACACCTCAGCGCCCTTCCTCTTTGCGGCAGGAGATGGCTAGCGATACCTCATCCAATGCAGACTCGGCGGTGGGTCTCGGCGATCCATACAGTCCTAACACTTTCGCACGTAATTACCTCAATCACACGGCACGCACCGCGGGGCCGGTGGAGATGCCTCAACTTCCTTTCAACAATCATCCTGCTGCTTTCCACGGTCCTACTATTGGTTCTTCTACTCAACCTGTAAATGCACAGCACGGCGTTCCGGAGCAAGCTGCCAATACCAACAGCAGCGCACCACGCGGTAACGAATTACGAGACATGAGCGCGGAGTCGGCGGAATTACGACGTATGCTCAAGATCTTCTGATATCATCTTTGGGCATATTGGGTCTTGTGTTCAGGCGTTTTCATCTATTACAGAGCATAGCGAGGAGTTTTTGGCGACTTGTCATTGTTTGCAGCATTGTGGCTTTGTGAGCCATTCTCTGGGGGTGGGATATTCGGTCACATTTCGAACGACTGGCAATGTCATCTTGGTGGAGGGTTCGCGCTGCATATCTGCACGCATGCGGCGCTTTGGAGGACGAGAAACTGGGCACGCTCGCTGATGAGTTGATTTGAAGCACGAGTCACAGGACACCCACTCGCTTGAGCTCTCTCGTATGTCAGAGTGGAATGAGTACTGCTTGAGAGCAGTTGCTTGATGGATTTGGACGTAGATAGAAGACCAACTCTTGTCACTCTCTCATATTTCTCACATGTGCCACTTTCGTGTCACTGTCGAATCTTCGAGCGTTTGCAAGGCGCTTCTGAAAAAACACTAAGCCACGGGGCCTGTCCTATGCACTCAAGTGCGTATGTCTGCGACTCCAGAATGTGATCGGAGTCTCAACTTCGCCCAAGTGAAGATCTACATGTATTCAATTGTGCACCCACGTGCGGTCATGATTCTGCCTGATCGGCTCTTCGGCGGCCGCTTCCGAACGTCGATTCTCGCGGGCTTGCCTGGAGCTTTCTGCAGTCATCCGAGCGGCTCTCCAAAGACAAACAACTTCTCCCTTCCGTGATTCGCACGGATTCTCACTCCGCCACGGGTAGCGACTTCTCATTCTCTTCCTCGGATCAGCGTCACACGGAGACTTGCTGCGCTGCGATCGAGGTTTCCGACTCATCGAAGTTCTCCCACTGCGCCACTTCGGCCGTGCCCTGGGCGAGACATGCCGCAAATCGCGAAACTCAATCGCTAGTATGGACGCCAACGCTGCGGTCGTGGCTCCGAAGAGTATGGAGGAGGTTGAGCAGGTATGTGTTCTTTTGCTTGAGCTGTTCGAGATTATCATCTTGAACTGGTTCGCTGATAAATTGCCTTCTCTCACAGCTCGTCAAACGATTCTATCAACCTGGGACTCCGAAACTCATCGCTCAAATCGACGACCAACTCAAGCTCCTTCAGCACTCCAACGAGGGCTGGCAACTCGCAGACGCTCTGCTCGCTTCGCAAGACCAGAATGTTCGGTTCTTCGCCGCCTTGACGTTCCAGGTCAAACTCAACAATGATGGGTCAGTTTTTTCCTCCCAAAAACTTCCGACCCTGAGATGAGGTGTTGTTTTGGTTAGTGGGAAATTGTTCTTTTGCTCATACGTTTTCTTCTTCTTTCTAGGGCCAGATTGGACGCTGCCACGGCGCAGAGTGTTCTTGCAAGGTTGATCTCTTGGACTGTGTGTCTTCCTGGTTTGACTTAAGAATTCGTGGTGAGGTGAGAGTTTGTGTTTGGGCTGAGGCTGATTTTGTGCTTCTGTTCTAGGTCAAACTTGATCGTGCCGGAGAGGGCCACATGGTGAGGAAGAAGCTATGTGGTGCCCTAGGAACGTACTTTTTGCAGACTCCAGTACAATGGGCTCGGCCATTGCTGCATCTTGCGGCATCAATGGCAAAAGGTGACGTTGTCGAGACAGTATGTGACGCGAGAAGGATCGTGGAGTGAACTATGCTGACTTATGACAGGCCCAGCTTTCTGCCTCGCACGATGCCATCAGTCAGTACTTGCCTGTTTTGGCCGAATCACAAATAGTGACCCTACTCTGGCTTGCTGGACAGTTGGCGACCGATAGCGCCAAAGTGGACAGTACCAATGCAGCAGAGGAGGAGGTGCACACTCAAATGGAGACCATCGTGCAGGACGTGAGCAAGATCATTGAGCATGCTATGAGCAGGCCGTCGGCGCCTTATTCTCAACGAATACGGGCTGACTGCCTTGCTTGCTTCCTGAATTGGGTAAACTACGCTCAACCGATGTGGCCAGCGAAACCAGAAGCTCTGGAATACCTCCGCCGATTGATACCAAGTCTTGCTCAGCTCCTGATTGAGCCTGAGCTCGAGCATGATGCAATGGAAGTCTTCCGCGATGTACTGGAAAGCTACACCACGTTTTTCCAGCCGCAGTACATGGAAATATTGGCCAACATCATCGTCACTCACATTCGTCCACGCCTGATTCAGGCTCTCCAAGATCAAGAGCCTGAAGTCATCTCCATTGCTCAACTCGTCATAGCATATGGCATCGCGAACATACAGCAAATTGTGGAGCAACCTGAAAACGAGATGGCGTCAAGAGTGCCTCTCTCAATGATCACAGCGATTCTCGAAGCTCCTGGCTACCCAGGAGACGACGACGAAGCCTCGCTGCACAGCATCGAATTCTGGAACACCTACATTGAGTACGTGAATGAGGTAACATACTCAAATCCGAGCATTAAGACACCCCTGATTTGGGTTGCCTCTGCGCGGGCGACATGTATGACACTCATCAATTTGCTCTGGCAAAAGATGCGAACCCCCGATGCTGAGACTGCCAAAGACTGGAGCGATGCCGAATCGGAAGGGTTCAAAGAGTTCCGAATGGATGCTTCAGATCTCATGCTTTCGGTCTACGTCTTCCTCGGTGCGGAAATGTTTCAATCACTGGTCACCATCATCTTGAATGCCTTGGAGCAACAACAATGGCAGGAGCTGGAAGCCGCGTTGTTCTGCGTTAATAATCTTGCGGACAATGTTCTTGAGGATTCAGACGCGGAGAGCATTTTGACACCAGTCTTCCGCTCGCCGCTGTATCGCGTTGTAGGTGACTTCAGTCAGGGTATGCCCACGCAAGCACGGCGGACTGCAGTCGACACACTTGGTTCGTATGGCGCGTACATTGAGCGACACGCAGAGTTCCTCCCGGATACACTACGCTTCTTGTTCGCTTCTCTGGAGAACCCGGGGCTGTACTTGAGTGCTGCAAAATCTATTGCTGAGCTTTGCTCAACTTGTCGAAGCAGTCTTACGGGCGAACTCGACGGCTTTCTAGCCCAGTACAACAACTTCGCCCGAGGAGAAACGAGCGAGCCGTACACCAACGAAAAAGTCATTGGCGCTATTGCAGCTATAGTGCAGGCGGTCAAGCCAGAAAGTGCCAAAGCGGGACCATTGTCGGCCTTGTTCGATATCATAGATGGCATGGTTGCGAATGCACGCGCGGCGCTAAATACTGAGACGACAGAGGAGCTATGCGTGTCCGCAGTTGATTGCCTGGCCGCCGTTGGTAAGAACATGCAGACAGAAGACGATTCGCCCATAGATCTGTACAACGATGATGCGGCGCCAGCGAACAAGCAAACATACTGGCAGACATCGGAAGGTGAGTCTTTCGACACATGTGTCCGGCTACTGCTTACACTGACTCCTCGCAGGTCAAGCAATTCAGCAACGCATTCTGGCCATTTGCCAAAATGTGCTTCAGATTCTACCCCAGAACAGTGAAGTGGTTGAAGGCGTATGCAAAGTGCTCAAGAGTGGTTTTGTCGAAACTGAGCCTGGTCCATTTGTCTTCCCGCCCAGCTACAACATTGCCTTCCTCGAACAATGCACGCCCAACACGCCCAATCTGGAATCGGTCCTGGCAATGATATGTACACTGGTCCAGCAGTACTCCCGAAGCAATCATCCTCGGATTGACGATGAGATCAACAGAGTCTACCGAAAGGTGATATCGTTTGTGCAGCTACTGGGCGAGCCAAATCGGGATCCTGGCGTTGCACAAAGCTGCATCGACGTTTTCAACAGGCTGGTCGGACGCTACACGAACATCCTCATGGACACCTCTGGAAGTGGCGACGTGGTCGCTCCGATCCTGGACTTCTCCCTCAAAGCACTCGACGGGAACGATCTCATGCCCAAGCGAGCTGCTTGTAACTTCTGGGCACGTTTGATCAAGCCGGAAGATCAACCAACTGACCAGGTTGTTCGCACAAGACTTGGACAAGTCGTGGCCGCGTACGGACCCATGCTTGCGCAAGCTCTCATGAACCAAATCAGTGGCAGAGGCCAGCGTTCGGAGCTGGAACAGCTATGTGAGCCTCTCAAAGCTCTGATTACTACGCAATCGCGAACGAAGCAGTGGATTGAGACGGCGCTTGCCAATCGCGCTGCCCTACCAGCCGTCAGCGAAGGCCTGTCGGACTCAGATAGGAGCAGATTCGTGGCTCAACTCGCGGCCGCTAGGGGTGACACGAGGAGAACGCGGGAGACTGTCAAGCGCTTTTACGCTGCTTGTCGAGGAACTGTCCCAAGCTATAGCGCGTAGGACCGCTGTACTCTTGGAGAGCTCGATCAGTAGCGGGGGGAGACGGCCCAGCTCGTTTCAACGAGTTATTGCTCATGGCGGTGCGACATCGGCCAGAGTCGCGGAGCAGTTGAGACGCGTGTCTTAGGGTGAAATGTGAGTAGTGTTAAAGGCAACAGAGATATCCCACAACGTGCGCGTTTCGAAAAGTTCAAATATCATAATTTGGGGTATCGATCCAACTGCTCTCAACGAGCTAGAGACCTGCTTCTTCTTCTTCTTCCGCGTCCTTTCCCCGTGGGTATCTCCTCTTTCCCATGCAGTGCAAATCAATCATACCATTCCCATGCCCCAAAGTCGGCCGTATATACTCTGCTGCCGTGAACGCCGTTGAACTCCATTGTCAATATGCTTCTTCTCGAGTGCCTCATCCTCCTGCTCTGTGGCCTGAAGACCGCGCTCGCATGCATTTTCCTCTACTATTCCTCCCTGAATTCTTACTGCTTCAAAAGATCCCCATCTTCCCTCCCCACCCCTCCTGTCCACCCCTCTCTCCCAACCCTCCACCTCCCACACCTCCTCCCCCACTCCCTCCACCTCCAGCCAACAGTATCATACCCTTCCCACCCGACCCCGCAACCTTAATCTTCAAATCATAAGGAAATGGATTACTCTCATTCGTCGTTATCGGTGGAATATGATTCCTCTGCTGATTCGCAATTTCCAGAACTTGCCATGTAGCTTTCTCCAACTCATGTGACATGATCTGTCGTGTCTGATTGTAAGAGTAGTCATTCGATGGGGTGTTTGAGAGACCGCTGGAGCGGGAGTTATTGGGGAGCACGGTGATGTTGAGATTCCATGTTTCCCAGGGTGTTTCTTCGTCGGGTTTTTGGAGGAACCAGGTTCGCCGGCGTTTGCGTTCGAGGAATTGGAGAGTTAGGGTGAGGAAGGTGTGTTGGTTGCGGGAGGAGGAGCTGGAGGAGGAGGTGTCCAAGTGGCGGAGGAGGGTTGTGGTGCGGGTTTCGATGAGGGCTTCGATGTCGGGTTGAGAGACGAAGGGGAGGGTTAGGTCGAGGAGCTCGTGGGTGGAAGGGTAGATTGGTGTGAAGTAGCGGTGGAAGAAGATGGTATGGAGGAGGCCTGGAAGAGTCAGTTGTGTTCTATAGAGGGAACGGTGAGTGTACCTTTGACGATGTCTCTGACGTGTGACCGGTCGGCTGTGAGGTCGATCGCATACTCAGGCGGTCGTCGAGAGTCCATGGCGGCGGAGAGTGGTGCTGCTCGTGGCAGCGGTGTTGCAGCTCAAGTCATTGTGTGAAAGTGCGAGAGATATGCGATCGAGATATGCACATCACGAGATCGATAACGTCGTGGAGGATGAAAGGTGGTGGGATGCCAGCCCCACTTTGCTTCCCGCCAACTGCACTTCAACCATCTTCCCGCCGATGGTCAGCAACACGACAACCACCTTCTGATATGGATTTCCTTGCCTCGGACCAACTGACATCGACACAAATTATGCAAGAAATGATCAATTAAGCTCAATGCTGAAGACTTGTCGTCTCGCCGCGCCTCCACAACCTCCGGCGCAAAACTTAAGCCGATGCGCAATTGCCGATCGAGATCATAGAGCCCAAGAAAGATATCGAATATCAAGTCTCCTTTTACAAGCAGCCACACTTCAGCTAGAAGACATCTCCGCAAAAGATTACATCCAAGCATAACCACGACGGCGGATGCTCCACACCACAAGACCAATCGCCTCCTCCACAGACGCATACCGAAAATGTCCACCGCCACGATCCCATCAGAAACCAACTTCAACATCTCCCCTTCCAACCTCGACCACCTAGCCCACCTCTCCTCCCTCCTACACCTCTTCCACCACCGCAACAAAAATCAACACCGCCACTCAATCTGGTTCCGACACTTCTGTACCTTCCGTCAAAATCTCTCAAACCTCCTCCGAGACCTGGAAACTCTAAACTTTGTCCCGGCATCCCACGCAGCGAAAGCAAAGAAGAAAGTAACAGATCCTGGTTTGATTGAGCGCATTCGCGCAAGGCTGGAATTCTGGAGGGATGTTTTGGTCGCGAAATGGCATCTGGCTTTTTCACAGCTTATTGCAGATCAGCGGTTTAGTGCACTGGGATTGGTTTTGATGGGAACACTAGCAGAGGTCTGCGGTATTGTGGGAATTTCGAGAGAGTTGGAGGAAAAGGGTGATGAGGAAGTGAGGATGGCGATTGAGGCTTTTGGGGAGGAGGAGATGGGTGTGGCGATCACGAGAGAGGAGGAAGTGAGGAATTCTGGAGGAGAGGATCAGGGAGAAGTCGTGTTTCGCACAGAAATTGAGGTCGAAAACCAGCCCCTTGGGGATGCCGAGCGGCAGAGCGAGAAACAGGTCGCGCGGAGTGAGAAGCCAAAAAGGAAAAAGAAGCGGAAAAGGGAGGGTGGGGATGTGATGGATGACATCTTTGGCTGAAGTGGAATTTTTGCACACTACGTATACTCTGGCACTCTCTGTCTCGCTGGACAGCATTTTTCGCAGCCATCTTGTGCCGCGGTGGCTCGAAGAGCAGGCTCAAACAAGGGGGAAAGCGCTCAGTGCTCCGACTTCACGTGCACCTCGTCATCCTGCTGGATGGGAAAGCCATCGTTTCCCACGCGAACTTGGGTGAACCCAGCCCTCTGAGACAGATCTGGGTTGCGCTGGTTCCGACGCTGGTCTCGGAGCACGAAAGGTCTCAGCATGTTGCTTGCTGCGTTGAGAGCCTTTCTCACGGCGTTGTGATCGTCTCCATTGTTCTTGTCACGGCTTGGATCACGAGCGCCGTGCACCACGTCGGCGATGTGCTGATTGAGGTCAGCCCAGATGCCCATATGGTGGGCACTGTAGCGCTCCACATTCTTCTTGTTCGACTTGTTGGTCGTGCCCCTGAACTTGTTGGCTTGATCGATCGCGTTTGATGTCATGTTGAAGACGTGGTTGTTCGTTGGTGGACGTGAAGGGCGTTGGTTTGGGCCACGAGGTGGGCCGTTCATTGATGGAGCCGCATCGGCGGGCGACGGGCGAGTCGTTGATGAGCGACTTTGGTTGGAGGGTGCTCTGCCTGGGCGCTGGTACGTCGGGGGATATGTGTCATTGAAGCGAGATGTGTTCTTGCTTGCTCCATAGATGCTGAAGCCACCCTCCAGGCCTGGTGGAGCACCAAGGGAAGCGGCGCTTCCATAGCCCATCATGCGGTCGGCAGGGTGAAGAGCGGGAGCTGGCGCAGGGTAATGAGCAGGAACTGGTGCATGGCGAAAAGCAGAAGCTGGACCGCGCGGGGGGACACCGCGGGTTGCTTCTACCTTTGCTCGCAAGTCTGCCAGGTCTGACTGTCCGCTTGATTGCACGACACTTCCTGACAGATTGCGGCGTGGACGGCCAAGTGGCATCGTATTCGTACCACTCTGCAAGGGACCCAGCCTCTCATCAAAACCAGCTTCCTCTTCAACTTCTTCTTCCACTGTTGGAGGCGCTGCAATCATAGCAAGACGCTCTGAACTGACGCCGTCCAATGCCGGCAGACCTGCCGATGGCAGACGTGCGGCGACCCACGGCATCTCAGGCTCACGGCTATCAGAGCTTGTGATGGGAGCCTGAGAGCCGCCCTTCAGCTCGGCAGGAGCTTGAGGAGGATTGAGAATACGAACATTGCAGTGAGTGGGGAGATGACCAGTACCGCCGCACTTCAGGCAGCGCAGAAACGGCTCCTCAGGCTTGCGGCCATCATCGCTGCGGATGACGGTCTGCGAGTTGACGTTGTGCTCTGGCAGAGCACCAGAATCTCTGGGGAAGAGCGCAACGGCTCTGTAAGCGGCACTGTTCTTGAGACCACCCTCGGCTGTGGCGCCAGTCGTGGCAATGGCGTTGGTCTTGCGAGCGGTATCGGTTGCGGCATCGATCGTGGCGGCAGGCGTGGCAATGGCATCGGTAGTGGCAGTGGCATCGGCATTGGCAATGACACTGGCAGCTGGCAACGAGGCTTGGACGCCACGAGAGTGAGGACAGAGGAAGCCTGGGAGGCCAACCTGACAATCCTTGCACCAAGTAATGCATTCAGAAAAGTCGTGGCCATCCGCACCGCAGTGCAGGCAACGCGTCTGCGAAGCAGAGGGCGGGACAGAGGTAGAGGCTGGCTCTGCGGCGTCTTGATCGAGGCATGGGCGCTTGGCTGGCTGGTTCTGAGGACAAGAGGCGGATGGCGAACCGGGGCGCTTGGGTGGAGCTGCGAGTATGATCAGTGAGTGGGTGCACACGAGAAGATAGCTGTGTACTCACGGCGCTCCATGTCGGCGGTGTCCTGAGTGGACATGTTGTGTTGTGGTTGGTGGTGAGAAGTGGAAGTGCGCGGAGAGGCGAAGAAGTAAAGAAGCGGGAGAAAGTTCAAGTGCAGACAACAACACGCGCCGTTGGGCAGGAGCGACGATGAGCTGCAGCTCACGGCAAACGCGCTCGACACTGCCTTCACTCTCTACTCACGACTTATCGCTGATCATCATTGAGTGCACAACTGTGGCCACGGCTCTGCAGTCCACTACAACCCATTGTCCTTCTTGAACTTGTCCCACGCCTCGTTCAACGTGCTGAACACCGCCGCGCTAATCATCCTCTGCTCTGTCGTAGCGTCTTGGGCAATCTTTCAAATCAGTCAGTAAACACATAGCCTCATACCCACAGGAAGGGAAATAGTCTTACCTTATCAGGATGTACCTTGGCGATAGCCTTCATATAGATAAGTTTCACCTTGTTCGGCAACACCAAATCACTCATGCCCACCTTCTTCCACCCTGCGCCCTCCCAGAGAATGCCATCCAGACTCTGCAACAGCGCTCTCAGATTATCGGCCTTTCCGCCCTTCCAGTTTGTAAGTCTTGCTTCAACTTGATCAGTCAAAGCGAACTTCTCATCGTCAGCTTTATCAGCAGCAGCGTTTTGCGCGCGAAGCTTATTGACAGCGGCAGTCTCCTTGGGACCAGGGAGGGTAGGCCGTTTGACGCTATTGCCCAGAGACTTGGCCGGGGCTGCTGCTCGAGACGGCGTGGGTGCAGCTTTCTTAGGAGCAGCAGCAGTGGCAGGTTTCGGCGCAGCAGACTTCTCGCAACGATCCCGACCCCTGATACTGACGGCGCCGCCGATACCGCCTTCGACCGCTATCCGCCAAACCGCTGCAGCGTCACTCCATTTTTCAAGATGCTCGAGTGCTTCTGCCTTGCGCATCAAAGCTTTGCCGTAGAACTCTCGCATGTCTTTTGTTCCCTCTCCTGCGCCAAGATCGATTGTCTCGCCGACACCCTGGCTGGGACCGATGACCTCGAGAGCTTGATCAGCATCAGAAATGGCCAGCTTCGGATCTCCAGTCTTGAGCGCTGTGAGTGATCTATTGCTGAGCACGATAATCGTGAGAGGGTGCTGTGCTGGAAGTGGACGTAACGCTGCGGCATATGACTCGTGCGCTGAAGCGTAGTCGCCCCGCTTGAAGGCTTCTCCTCCTGCTTTGCGGTGCTGGGCGGAAGTCGACAGCGCAGATGGAGCTATGCTGGGTACATTCCGAGGAGGGGCTTTTGGTCGCGTAGGTATCGGTGAGGGCGTAGGGCGTGAGGCAGGTGCCTTGGGTGCCGCAGCTTGTGCTGGCACAGGGCTGAAGAGATCAACTTCGGGCTCAGGCTGAGGCTCAGGTTTCGGTGGAGCTTTCCTTCGACGAGCAGAGCTCACATATGCCTGGGCAGCTTGATCCTCAATATCTTGTCTTGTAAGTTTGGAGGGAGGTCGCTGCGGCTGGGATGGCGCTGGCTGATTCATAAATCTGGGCTGAGCTGCAGGCCTCTGTGGAACGGGTTCCTCCGGATCGCGATAGCTTGAGGTCGGTGGAGCCGGTCTTTCTGCTGCAGGTGGTCTCTGAGGTTTCTGGGGTCTATCACGAGGAGCATCAAGCATTGCAGCTTCATCTGTGGCGTCAACCTCGCGTTGCTTCTGCCGAACAGTATCCTGTCTACGTTGGCTGCTGGATCTGCTTGAGTCAGCAGACGCCTCCTGCATCCACTTCGGCTGGCTTGGGTCGCGCTCCTGTTGGAACTCTGCTACAGTCTTCGCCATTTGTTTTTGACTGGCTTTCCACAGAGAGGTGGCGCCCTTCAAGAATTTCGAGCCATATTCCTGTGCCACTGCTGCCGCGTCCTTCTCGCCATTTGCTGGTGATCGACTGTCCTGCCGACGGCCATTGGCCGAACCCGATCGTGACTCCTCTCGCATCCAAGCCGGGACGTTGTCTTGTTCGCGAGGTCTTCGCTGTGGACTCCTGTGGGATGTAGATGGACTGCGTTTTCTCTCTCCAGCCTCGGCTCGGGCTTTCTGTTTCGACTCTTCATGTGCCTGTTGCAAGAGCCACCCAACCGCCCCCTGCACGTCGCCTCCGTTCTCTGCGAGAGCCAGCTTTGCGTTATCTGCGGGAAAGCCCATGTCTACCAGTTCTGCCAATGCCTTATCATCTGTTTGCTCGTTTCCCCAGCTTTCTGTTGCCTCTTGCCTCTGTGCCGGCCGTGCTGGCTCTGCGGGCTTCGCAGGACGTGCTGTGACTGGCTTGCCCAGATCGCCCAAAATGTCATCTTCGTCTCCGTTGGTTTGAAACGCAGGAGCGGAAGTGTTCGCTGTACTTCGCTGTGGTACAGATCCCAGGCCGAATGGGTCATCATCCTCATCGAAAGCTCCATTGCTCGCGGGCGCCTTGGCTGGCTGCGATGCAGGTGTGCTTCGCCCACTCTCCATGGCCGAGCTAGGAGGCGGGAAATGACTAGACTTGTCTACCGGCGCATCTTTGTTGAACGCAGCCATAATATCGTCCTCTCCATCCTGCTGTTGTTGAGGTATCCCAGGTGATGGGCCTCGCACCTCTGGCGTCCCTCTGCCGCTGCCCAATGTGTCCCATTGTGAAGATTGCTGTTCTTGCTGCCGACGCTTCTCTTCAATCAATTGCCTTTGCCGTTCCTGAATGGATAAGTTGTTCCCCGTTGGCTTCTTCGATCCCAGCAGATTGCCAAATGCGTCGCCTCCAGCTGGCTTTGAGGTGCTGCTGCTGCCATTGACTGTGCTCGCTGGACGACTGAAGTTCGGTGATGCACTCCTCGATGGCGTTAAAGCTGGGCTAGCTCGTAAGCTGCTATAATTCGACGCGAATGTGCTCGGGTTCAAAGGAGGTGGATTGGAAGTCGTCGTTGGCTTCGCTGGCTTCTGCCAATCTTCGCCGAGTAGGTCGTCCATAGTTGATTACACACGGCGCAGTGGGGTTATCGCAGAATCATTGTAAGTTGGATCTATGTACGGCGCAAACATGTCATGCGACTCCAGCACGCTTGTTGAGGTTGCTGTCGTGTCCCTCCAAAAGACCGATGGTGGCCTGAGGCATGAATCGCGCTTTCTCCTTGAATTCAGCTCAGCTCAGCTCAGCTCGACTCCCGGCCAAGAACGCCCATCACTGGCATCTGCAGTGTCCCTCGGACGCTAGACATCAATGCTGTGTAGTAAATCGAGAAACTCGACTACGGAAGTGGGCAATCAGAGGCACGCGGAAGGCATCATCGGGAACATGCGGTCTTGGCGACAGAGGCCCGAATGGCCGCTCCCACTGCTCTAGACTGCTGATGGCTTCTTTGCAATTTCGATCTGGTCGCTATGTAAGACTTACAAACCATGAAATCGAGATGGCATTGCCGACAATTGTCGCGGATGCTGCAAGCGTACAGTCATCTCCTCCTGACAATCGAGTTTCATTCTTGTCAACATCCTGTTCGACCTGATCGTCATCTATGAACGCTTCTCCTCAGCAACAGCCTTCGGCCGCGAAACTACCTCTCCCTCAGCTGGAAGCTGCGGCTTTCCGCCGCCCTTCTTCTGGTCAGCGACTCCCTTCGCTTTGAGCGAAGTTGAATCCTTGGGCAGTTCCTTTACATATGGCAAGAATTCTGGCTGGCCCGGAATGTATTTGCGTAGGACCTCCGGCACTTCGATGCCGTCTTCGCGCTGATAGTTCTCCAGCACGCAGCACAGTGCTCGCTCTGTGGCGCAAAGAGTGGAGTTGAGAGCGTGAACGTATGACTTTTGGAAGCTGGCGTCGGTCTGCTTCTTCTGTCCGAATCGCACTTCGAGCTCGCGGGTTTGGTAGTCTGTGCAGTTGGAGCAGGAGACGAGTTCCTTGTACTCACCCTGGAAGGGGAACCAGGCTTCGAGGTCGAACTTCTTGGAAGCAGCGTTATTCAGCGCGCCGGAGACAATTGCGACGACTTGGTATGGAATTTTCAGGGACTTGTAGAACTCTTCTGAAGTGTTGATCATTTCGTCAAAGTGCTCCCATGACTTCTCAGGGCTGCAGAAGATGAATTGCTCGATCTTTTCGAACTGGTGGACACGGAAAATGCCCCACGCGTCTTTGCCGTGCGAGCCAGCTTCTTTGCGGAAACATGTTGAGTAGCCGGCGTACTTGATGGGAAGGTCCGTTGGGTTCAGCCATTCGCCCTCGTGTAGAGCAGAAATAGGCTGCTCAGAGGTTGCGATCAGATACTTGTCCGTGGCCGGGTCGTTCTCCTTTTCTGTCACCTTGTATAGCTCCTCATCGAATTGCTCGAGTTGTGCAGTCTTGGCCATGGCTTCACGCAGCATGAAAAATGGTGGCTGATTGGGCTTGTAGCCTTTGTTGAAGAGGAACTCCAGGCCGTAATTGATGAGGGCCAGATTGAGGAACAGACCGTAGCCAGTCAAACAGTAGCCGCGATGTCCAACAATCTTCACACCGCGTTCTGGATCATAGCCGTCTATCCGCGTGAGAACCTCGTGGTGCGACATGCAGTCCTTCTTTGCGACTTCGACTCCTTCGGGTGCCCACGTGCGGATGACGGCGTTGTTGTCTTCGTTGTCAGAAATCGGCACGCTGTCGTGCACATAGTTTCCAATGCTCTTGGCCTTCTTGAGAAGTTCCTTCTGCTTGTCTGCTGCCTGCTTTTCGAGTTCTGCCTTTTCTTTGGCTAGTTCCTCCTTCTGCTTCACCAAAGCCTTGAACTCTTCTGGATCGCCTTTTGCTTTCTTGTTTGCGCCCATGGCTTTTTGCACAGCGTTGATCTTCGCGCCCATTTCTGTCCCTGCAGCATATTGTGTCTTTCTGTGATCTTCGAACAGCGCAATGACTTCGTCAACCACTTCTTCTGGAGCATGCCGTCTTCGCTGTGACTCTTTGATCTTTTCGGGATTTCCGCCGCGGTCCTTGATGAAATCGTTGATGTCCAACATGATGGCGCCTGTCTTGGTATAGTCTCTGTGAGTGTGTCGGAGTTCGATCAGAAGAGGGCGTCGAGAGTATGAGCCAGCGGTTTTGTGTGACTCGGCGTGACTGTCTCCAATGCTGGCGGGACAAATGTGGTGGGGCAGGCGACGGAGCTGACTGCGGCCACATCTGATTCGCCGTGCCTGTTTCTTTGTTGCTCACTCCACGACGCGCTCCATCACGCGATCACGCGTCGCCACTTCCCTTGCGTCCTTCATCCTCCTCTCACTTGGGCCTTCCTCAGATTCACTTGGGCGGACCTTTGGCTCTACCGGAGCTCCACCTTCATTATGATCGCGCAGTACTCTCCGGTGACCATAGCGTATCATTCCTCCGGCATAAACAACCAGCATCTTATCGAGCATGCCATTTCCATTCAAAGAGGCGTGCGTATTATTGGAGCGACTGGAGAATGTTGAGCTGCACGAGAAGTTGCTCTCTTCCGAGAAGCCAGAGCGATACAGGGAACTCGTGAGTCGCTGGTTCGCGTCCCATCGCCGACAGATCAACGATCTCAACATCGAGGGCTCTTGCGGTCTTCTCTCCACACTATTACCGCACTGGCGAACAGATCGAGTATACGGGCTCCAGGCAGATCGCCTTTGCAGGACTTTGGGCCGCGCACTTGGTTTCTCGATTGCACGTAAAAAGCTTCTCGCGGCCTACAACGAACCGGGAGCTGGCGATCTTGCAAAATGCTTTGAAAGAGTGCACGCAGAAGGAGGGCCGCCTGCTATCCCTGCTCTGACTGTCGACGATGTTGATTGCATGCTGCAGTCACTGGCTGGGCATTCCGTCTTCTCCGATCCGACAGTACCCAGACTGCCACCTGGATCCTCGGAGACTCGAGACAAACTCCTCAGCAATGTCTTCAATCGGGCAAGTCCAATAGAAGGCAAGTGGCTGATTCGACTCATCCTCAAGGACTTTCGACCACTTCAGTGCGACGACAACATTTTTCTGAAAGCCTTTCATTTCCTGCTGCGAGATCTGCTTCGCTTCCAGTGCGACTTTGAAGCGGCTCTGACACTGCTTAAGACAGCCTTGCACAAGTATCCGGACACGCCAGATCGAAGATCGGAAGCTCTTCATCGCAAGAGTATCGCTGATGCTCAAATACTCAAACCTGTCGTCGGGACAAAGATTAGTAGGCCACATTTCCACAAGGGTCGAAGCATTGACTCTTGCATGCGAATGATGGGATCGAAACCATGGGTACTGGAACGCAAGTACGATGGTGAGTATTGCGAGATTCATATCGACCTGCGAAGGTCCACAAACCCTTTGCACTGCATCAAGATCTTCTCCAAGAGTGGCAAGGATTCAACGCGAGATCGACGTGGTGTACACGACACGTTGGTACAGTCTCTACGTCTAGGGAAGCCTGACTGCAGGTTCAAGAAGCATGCCATTCTCCTCGCCGAGCTTGTTGTGTTCTCTGACCCGAAAGATCGCATTCTGCCATTCGAGGAGATCCGGAAGCATGTACTGCGATCAGGTGTGTCCATTGGCGCTGATCAAGACTCGCTGCCAAAGGCACATGAGCATCTCGCCATTGTATTCTTCGATTTGCTGCTGCTCGACGAAGAAATCATCATGAACAAACCGATCGATGAGCGGCGAATATGGCTACGGGAGACGTACAAGAAGATTCATGGGCGAGCTATGGGTGCTGACTGGACGAAGATCGACTTTGCGCAGCCAGAGAGAGCTAAAGAGCTGCTGCTGCAGCACTTCTCGATGGCCAATGCGAAGAGATCCGAGGGTGTCGTATTAAAGCCTTGTTATGTGCCGTATTTCTCCATCGAAGCGAATCCTGCGAGTTATAGCCACAGCTACATTAAGCTGAAGAAGGACTATATCGCGGGCGCTGGAGATGAAGAAGACTTCGCAGTGATTGGTGCGAGCTACAACGCACAACAAGCTGCCACAGCTGGCGGCAAGGCCTTCATCAAGTGGACCACCTTTCATCTCGGCTGCCTGTTGAATAAGGAAGAGGTTCGCATGTATGGGGCGCGGCCCAAATTCACGCACGTTGGCTCTATTGAGCAGGAGAGATGCATTCCGCAAGCAGTACTGGAGACTGCTAATGTCCTAGGAAATCTCAGAGCAATCATACCTGGCTCCGCCAATCAAGCAGCAGACATTGAAATCGATGGTCCCCGCGCGATCAAAATGTCGGTGCTGTTCAACCGACCCCTCGTATTCGAGGTACTTGGATCGGGATATGAGAAGCCGTCGAGTTGTAACTATCTCATGCTCCGTCATCCTCGCGTCAAGAAGCTGCACGAAGATCGCGACTGGATGGATTGTGTGACCTTCCAGGAACTTCAGCAGAAGGGCAAAGCGTCCCGAGCTGCGCCCTCAGATTCTGAATCGCAAGAGATGCAGAGGTGGATGAACAAGCTGGAGCGCAGCTGCAAGAAGAAGATCGAGAAGGAGAGTCTGTCGGGGTCGTCCAGATCGACAGTCTCTCCGACTTCGAGGACGATTGGCAAGCCAGAGACTTCATTGCTGGACACACCAACTATGAGGACGAGCTTTCCCAACACTAGCACCAGTTCGGCAATCATATCATCGTCAGCCAGGCGCCGTTCTGAGGTACAACATGCTTCAAGCAGAAAGAGATCGCTGACAGAGGTCTCAACGCTGAGTAGCCCGATCAAGCGAGTCTGTCTGGAGAAGCCCAAGCCGAGCTTGCAGCCAAGGTCGAATCGAGTGCCTTCGTCGCCTTTGAGCGAGATTACTAACATAGCAAATGGTACTGCGCAGCCACAGCGTCCGAGCAAACCGCAGCAGATCTCCTCTCGGCCTGTCGTACCTGCCAGTGCGATCATGAACACTGTTGCCCCTGTCACTCATCTGCCTGAGCGAGACGCTCAGCACTCACAGGCAGATCGTGATCGCTCACAATCACGGTGCGCACGAAGCAGCAGGTGCCCATTCCGAGATGCTGTGGTCTTCCTCACGCCATGCATCGAAGCGACTCCGTATATCGTGGACAACTTGCTTGGTTCGCACCACGCTACAACTACACCAGCACTGGCGCACTGGGACCGCAATTCGTTCTCGCACGCGGCCCTGTCGCAGATTGTCTCAGAGAGTCAGTCACATCAAGATATGCGCAAGATTGTTCTTGTGGAGAGTAGGCGGACACGGGCTACGAGAGAGATGCTTCGACAGATCCGAGGATTGAATGAGGGGAAGTTTCGAGAACGCATCGAAGTGTACGATTGGAGGGTTCTGGAACTCTGTGAGGGACATGATCGAGGGGAGGAGAAGTTGAAACTGCATTTTCTTGGAGCTACATTGTTTGATGATACCCGGGAGCGTACTTTGTTTGTTGGAGAGCGGGAGTGGGTTGGTACGGCATAGCATTAGCATGAGATCTGACTATTTATGGATTGCATATTGGACACCACAAGGCATGAAGGTTTGCGGCATCGAAGGGAGCGACGGCGCACCCTTAAGACACATGGCTGCTCTAAACAGCTCGCATTCCTGCTTGGCAAGCATTGGAACAAAGGTGTCTCGATCAAGCTGACTTCTTATCTAGACTGCAAGCAAACGCGGATGGGAGAACATCCAAGACGCGGAAACAGAAGTCGTGGAGAGCCTGCACTTTTACAATACACTTCACCCGAGCCACCACCCATTGGGATCAAGTATACGCACATTCGAATGGCTATAAAGGCACGATTCCCGACTGCGGAACGTAGCATGATGCAAGACCTTGCCACCATAAATTATCACATGCACGTCAGTGCTTGCCGCAGTGAATTTAGCAGCCATTCACCGCTGCAAGTGGAGCATCTTTGCCGAATCCCAATGCCACTTTTAGTATTTCAGTCCCTCGACCTGCAGATCGATCAGAGATTTCACATCAGGTCACCATCATTTTGTGCTTCGAGTTCAAGCTGCGCAACCCGAACGGACGCACTGCAATACACAACCCTTATCGCACCCGACCGGCCGACATACAGCTGAACATTTCGCCGACACTCGCATCGAGTCCATTCCAACCATCGACTCCGAAGCCTGAACATCCCCCAAACAGTTGACATCCGACCAGACGAACACAAAGACCAGGATGGCGTCAGAGACACCTGTGATCTTGGATACAACGGGTCGTGCTACTGCGCACGTTCTATCCTGCACCATGGCCCCACCAAAGCGCCCGATCTTCGAGCCCACTGAGCCAGTTCGTCCCCTGAAGGATGAAGTGGTGGAGGTGATCCGGCCGTGGCGCTTCAGTGAGGACAAGCCGCCGTATACTACGAGCGAACTGATTGTCATGATGCTCGTGATGCAGGACCTGAGACCGCAGACTATGCAGAGTATCCACTACAACATTCTCCGGAGTTTTGGATACTTCGCTGACGAGGCTCTATTGATGTTCGTGGGCGAGGTACAAGAGGAAAGAAGCAAGTACCACCGCATGGCACATGGCACGAGCGCCCTGGAAAGCGACTATGATGGTCCATTCGAACACAGCATTCATGGCCTCTACGAAACCGTAAAGGAGTTTGACATTCCGTTGACGTGCAATCGGCTTCTCGACAACGGAAGAACGTTGACAGACTTCGAAGCCGAGTTTACCATCTCTGCTGAGGCTGCACGGGTTTGTCTGCGCGACATACTCGAGCCGGAGCGAGACGGCACTTTTGACTTCATGGCGCTACCTCCAGAAATTCGGGAGAAGATCTACAAGATGCTCTTGGTCTACCCGAAACCTGGTCTTATAATAGACAGTCAAGTGCTCTACGACTGGGACAGTCAACTTGGTGTACAGTCTCGAGATGATGCTGAGGCAGAGCTTCCCCCAGCTGGCGGTTCTCAGATACTTCCGAGTATCAATTTCCAGGTGCAGGGGCTGGCTGAGACGCTCGACATCCTCAAAGTCTCGAAGCAGATCCGTCATGAGGCGCAACCGGTGTTTTTTGGACTCAATACTTTCCAATTCGGTTCTCTCAAGCACCTAGGCGATACGCTTCGTACGATGAGGACTGAGGCTATCAAGGAAATCGGGGACCTCCGTGTCGTTCTGGAAAAATACAAGTTCCCTAACGGTCTGCATGCGCTGGAAGGACTTGACAGGCTTCTCCCTGAGCTTTCGCCGAAGAAGCTTGTGCTGATCGCGCCGCGCGATACATGGTTCTGGTCCGCATGCTGTGGAGACGGTGGCGAGAACAGATCCGCGACGGCACAGGAGATGATGACTCTAGACAGCGTGGAGGGACTGAGTGGGGTTCTTACGATGGCCAAGAAAGCAAAGCATCTGGAGATATTGGGTGATGGGATTATGGGAGACTGGGTGCGCATGAAGCTTGCAGAGCCAGAGGAGGCGCAGGAAGGGGATGAAAAGGCGCAGCAAGAATTTGCAGATCAGGACGAAGGCATCGATACTGATACTGATGGTTATGGCGGAGCAGCTGGTCCGTCGACAGTCTAAGGCAGTGGCCTCGCCAGTACAGCGAATCTCTGCACGTGCTCTGCGATCACACGACCTCACGGCCGAAGTAGGATGCAGGACAGAGTGCAGCGGCAGTCTATGCCCGAAGCAGTCAACAGAAAGTACTGTGCCTTGGGGCTCTGCTGGATGAGGGAACAGGTTCGCGAACAGCCCAACCTCGAACTCATAAACCGAAAATGGCATAGGGAGTGTTCAATCAAGACGTGGTAAGAAAAATGCTGCAGTGGAAGGTAAAAGGGAAGCGTTTCGAGCAGGAGCGGCTGAGTAGAGATAGTGTCGGGAGTACTGCTCCAGCATCGCACAGAAGAGTGATGAGGCAAGGGCTGGAAGGTCCCTGAACTGAACAGAATTGCATCGTAAGCTTCCATAAAGCAGCCGCTCTTGTCTGTGGGACACGAGCAAGAAATACCAGAACGTCCTCGACACATATGAGCTTTCCGTAATCACGTCAATGGTACTTGCTACTTTCTCGTATGCTGTTTCCGTCTACAACTACCCTTGGATCACATTGATGTCATGAGCCGAGTTACCTGCATCGGGGAGACTTGACTATTAGAGGCAGTTGGACTGTTCAAACTCTTGCTCAGCTTTACTTTGGAGAATACTGCTCAACCACTAGAATGTATGGCATACCTGGTATGTTGTTTTATTTTGTTCATGGACTTTGAGGACTTTCGTGGCTATTGAAGTTCACGGATGAAGTTCGAGTGAGGGACGTTTTGCACTCACTCTCTTGATCCCTGCTAACGCATGGGCCGCTTTCTGCTATGTTTGCTGCTGCGAGTTCACTAATGAATCTGGGTCACCTTTGGTGACTCTCGCAAATTCTGGCCAACGCCGCAACACTACTTGATGCCATCACCGATCAGGTGGCACCCATCTGCAAACGCGACCTCCGACTTTCAAGCGCCCGAGCAGTGCTGCGTTCCATTCCCGTGCGCTCCTCAAGACCATCGAACGACAAAATGATGCCTCTGTTGCTGCGCAACTGGAAGGCAGCGCTATTGCGCCTCGGCACCCCCCAGCCCCTTCCGACGGCTCTGTTCAGTCGGCCTACTCCCCAACCGCGATCGCTGAAAGACGAGATACTGGAACTGATCCAGCCCTGGCGGTACAGCAACGAGAAGCCGCCTTTCACTACTGGAGAATTGATTGTGATGATGCTGGTGATAAGCGGGATCGCGATGCGACTCGAGGATATTGAAATCCACATTCTCTCGACATTCGACTACTACAACCATCAGGCTGTGCGAACACAGGCTCGTAGGCGCTTGTTAGATACGGCTTACGAATACGACGGCGAAGACTATGAGACAGAGGCCCTACCAGACTTCTATGCTGCTGTGACAGACTTCTAACATCCGGCGTGCGTTCATAAATTCAGAACGTACTTTCAATTTGCCATCGACACTCCTCATGCAAAAGTTAGCGTCACCACTGGTGCTGCACGCCTCTACTTCCGCAACAGACTCGAGCCTGCTAGGAAAGGTGTCTTCTGTTTCATGCAGCTACCAGCAGAGTTGCGGGAAAAGATCTATAAGATGCTTTTGGTCTATCCCAAGTCAGGATTGGCACTGGCCAGGTTCGAGCAAGAGAACATGGACCTTGAAGAGCATCGACTGGGTGTCCCTTCTTTCGAAGATATGGAATATCCAAATTACGGAACAAAGCACGATCGTGTCGCAGTCAACGGTATTACCGTAGGAAGTCCTACCAATATCCTCACTATCCTGCGTGTCTCGAGACAGATACGCTCCGAGGCATTGCCGATCTTCTATGGCCAAAACTCGTTCCACTTTGATTCGCTCCCGTTGCTTATCAGGGCACTTCGGGTGATGACAGAAGAGACTGCCCAACACATCCAGGATCTTCGCATTGTTGTGAGCGATTGCGGTCTTGATCAGCCGGAAACTGAATTGCGAGAACTCAGCAAGTCTACTCTCAAGCTCTCCCCAAAGAAGCTTATGCTTATAGTGCATTACTACGACTTCTGGAAGTACTGCGGCGGCGAAGGATATGCAAGCGACTGGAAGACCTCTCCGGCTCCAGCGGAAATGCACAAGCTCGATGGTAGAAATGGCCTTGGTGGGCTCGTGACTCTTGCAAAGAGCGTCGACCACCTACGGATCGTTGGCGACGGCTTCTTGAGAGCCTGGCTTGAAGAGAAGACCGTGAAGTCAGAGATGCTGCAGATTGATGAGGCTGGAGGTAGTGCAGCTACTGTGGGCACGGTGGATAGCGCCCACCGGCAGCTAGCAAAGGCCGCCGTTACCGAGAATGCATGATGGAAAGCAGTCCAGGGTTCGTTCAAGAACTGACCTACGAACGTGCAAAGGTAAGCCGCCTCGGGTGGCGGTCAGCTGAAGAGATGACTGCACGGAAGGATGTCCGGAGAAGGCATATACGTCGGAGGTTGAGGCTGGATTTTGACATGGCAAAAGCGATGCTTCTTGTTTCACTGCCTGCTGCGTAGGCGATAGTGGTCCAGTGCACAGTGCTTGGTTCCATCTGTTTCTTGCGTTGATTGCTAATGCAGCGATTGAGCTCGCTACGAGAAGTTCCGCTATACCTCTGGACGAGCTTCGAAATGTGGCTCCAATATCGATTCCCCACTTCAAAGTAGTCGTCGCAATGTAGCCCGTCGTGAGCAGGGTCTAAGAAATTGAGCACTGATTGTACTCGTAAACATAAGAAGAGGTTGGTCTTGTGCTGCGACCTCAAGGGCTTGATAATCGCCCTGGTGATCAGGTGGTTATTCACTCCCTGATGCAACGCATATTCACTCGCGCAAAAGCCACTCGTTCGCTTAAGCTGCCGGAAACGTGCTTTAGAACCGCCGCATTTCACCTTTTCCACCGAGCTTGTCCTTCACAAACATCTCGATTCCAACGTGACACAACTTCGAGGTTTGAACACTTTCCTGTCGAGCTAAACCGCATCGCAAATTGCACTGTCGCGTGCCATCTAAGCCGCGAGCACCTTCGCGATACCACTCCGAGTCTTCATCAGCCCACTGGCTCGTTTACCATCTTTCGCAGCGGCGTCGCTTCCAAGACTCCACCACTGCTACAGCAAAGCCCTCCTTCTACCAAAACGATGGAAGACGGCAGGCACAACCTGCTTGCTGGGGCGGCGGCGATCGAGTCTGGAAGACCTTTCCCAGCGGCTTCACTGTACAAAATCACACCTCAGCCCCGCATTTTGAGAGAGGAGCTGTTGGAGTTGATCGAGCCATGGCGAGAAAGCTCTGAGCAGCCACCATTTAGCATGGGAGAATTGGTGGTCATCGCGCTTGTTCTGCTCAATGAGCACTCTGTAACACTTCAGCGGATCCAACACAAGATCTATAGGACCTTCGGCTACTACAACGACCAAGCTCTGTTAGAGTACATGACTGGATCGGCTGCTCGACGAGGCGTGCCCGCTGCCGCAAGTGGTCGTTCGGCTCTCATCCTACCTAGTGGCACCGATCGTGAGCGTCTCAAGGCGTCTCTCTATAAAGCAACAAAGCATTTTGATCTTCCTGTCCGTCGCTCAGGGGCTGGGCAACAGAAGTCATTAGGAGTCGTACAGAACGCTGCGCGAGCTTACTTGCGGCATTGGCTCGAACCTACGAGGAAGGGTACTTTCGACTTCATGGGCCTCCCTCCAGAGCTCCGTGAGAAGATCTACAAGATGCTGATGGTGTATCCAAAGTCGGGTTTGAGTTACACGGATGATCTAGAAGCCACGGTCTCTTCTTCTGGGTACTACGGCCTCTCAGTTGAGAAACACTCTGCGACATTTGCGATCTTGAGCGTGTGCAAAGCGACTCATCATGAGGCATTGCCAGTATTCTACAACAATAACGTGATGGAATTCGAATCTCTCGACGGGCTGATCTCGGCACTTGAGCGCATGTCCACTGAGATCATCAAGGAAATTCGGACTTTGCACATCTTTGCGCGCACCTGCGACATCATTCGACATGGGGCGCTCGACTCAGATGGAGCGCTCGAGTTGTTACGAGCTTTATCGCCCAACAAGCTCATTCTCTCAGGATCACCCAATTTCTTCATTGAGCTCATGCTCGGATTCACAGACCTCAACGTGAAGTCAGGGGGGTCAACGGCAATACAGGAAATTATTGGGCTCATGAAGCGTGCGAGGACCATTCAGGTTAGAGCCAACAGTCAAGTCGAGGAATGGCTGGATGGGAAGCTGGACGAACTTGAGAAAGCGTAAGGGTGAGAACTGTGATAATACAGTGGATGGGCTAGCGATCTGGTTTCATCGATGAAGCGGCATCGTCGTTGTACTATGGACAGAGTCGTCGTAGGCACGAGAACTCGTATTAATGAATCCATGCATTGATTGCGAATGCTGTACTGTAGCCTGCTGTAGACGATTTGACTGCCGACTTTGAGTACATGATCACAAACTCAACTTTTTACTTCAAAATATACAAATGAATGCAGTGCACAGTAATGGGAATTCAAATTGGCAAGGTACAACAGCACTCATGGGGGTATGAAGCGGGAAGCTCTATATTGCAAGGTTTGCGACTCTTTCATTGACTGATGTGTCAGGTGCTGATTCACTCCTTGGCACGATGCTCATTCACCTGCTTGGCGAATGTCTCTTCACTCGAGCTACATCAACAGCACCAACTCTACTTCAACCAGGAAGTTGATGCCAAAGTACAACATCACTGGTCATCCCAGAAACGTGCACAACCTTGACCAACCCAACTCGGCTGCTCATCCGTGCACCGGTCCCACCAACATAATCGTCAGAAATCGCTCGTCCAACAACCCTTCGCGCAAACCGATGTCCGTCATGAGCGGCAGCCCATCGAACGGCGCCGAGTCGGGCGGCGGCGCAATGCCCGCATCTCGCATCAGCCCTGTTCCCATCAAGCTGAAGTTTCAACCTACTGCTAAGCTTCGCCCCTTGAAGGAAGAAGTCCTGGAGCTCATTGAACCATGGCGGGATGATGCTGATAATCCACCACCTTTCACGGCTGGCGAACTGATCGTAATCACCCTGGTGCTCAACGATCTGCCGGCCCTTCGACGAAAGGAAATACATGCTGAGATCCTTGCGGCTTTCCAGTTGTACGGCGTTGCAGCCATGGTGGAATATTCAATCATACTCGACGCTCAACTCAACAGCCCAACTGGACCAATTGGTGTTCGTCTCGAGGATGTCGTTGATGGCTTCCAAAACGCTATGAAGGACTTTGAGCTTCCTCTGACTTCCGTTGTGGGCACTGGGGAAGAGGCGGGCATGGACTTGTATACCATAACGTCCAGTGCTGCGCGTGTCTACTTGCGCGATCGACTGAGCCCTCCGAGGCAAGGAACTTTCAACTTCATGGGACTGCCGACGGAGATTCGTGAGAAGATATTGAAAATGCTTCTGGTCTTCCCCAAGCCTGCACTCACGGTCGGCAATCGAGATACGAGTGGATCGAGAACGGAATCGCTCAAGCTTGGTCTACTGTCGCGCGAGGACAAGGTAGAACCCGCATACGGAACAATGCTCACTGTCCAACACCATCAGATTGCGGTGGAGCCTCTCAAGAAGACTCTCGCCCTTCTAGGAGTTTCGCATCAGATGCGTGACGAGGCATTGCCTGTATTCTACCGCCAAAACAACTTCCGATTCGGCTCACTCGATCATCTCCGCAAAGCGATCAAGAATATGACTTTCGAGACCATCGAGCAAATTCAGGACATTCGGATCGTCATGAGTGACCACTGCAGCAGTCGTCGTTCGCTGCCAGGATACCGACAGCTGTCGCCGAAGAATCTCATCTTGCTAGTGCCGCTCTACACCTCCTTCGGGTACTTCTGCTCCGGATCAGACGAATGGGATTCTACAACTCCTTCTGAAACTCAGTTGGAGAAGCTCAATTCACTCGCAGAATTGTGGGACATTGTTGCTGTAGCAAAACGTGCCAAGCATCTCTCAATTCAGGGGGCAGGCTTCCTTGGAGGTTGGCTGCGAGAGAAGATCGACAGCAACGACGAAATGCCAAAATTACCGAAGACGACAACAGGAATCATTGAGCGGGTCTGCAGACGATCATAGTGCTGCTGTGCTCCATAGGGTGTGGAAGGCGGTTCGGCTTCGCGTTGGGTAGGGGAAGAATTGGTCTGCTGCTGTGCGTTGCAGGCACAATCAGTAAATGAGAAGCCGGTATTGGGATTGAAGACTCTGCATAAAACACAGTCTTTGATTCTGCCATCACGAGGGGCAAAACGAAGACGCCGCGACTCGACAGTAGTGTGCTCTAGAAGTTGATGGTGGTTTGTTTGTTCCGAAAGAGCAAACTTTGGCTAGGTCCTAGCTCCTAGCACAAAGTAGCGATTAGTAACACTTTATCCAATCGAGATTTCGACGACAAGCTTGCACGTATCTGTTCCGTGTAATCGGCGCCTTTAGTTCCTTCATTCATTGACATAGAAACAAAGAGGTTGTTGCACTCCTTCCAGCGCATACAGCACCGAGGCTGTCTCCTTCTCCGTGCTTACGGAATCAGCTACTTCCATGTGCAGTCGCGTACTGCGGTAGGTACCTTCTGCGTAACTACCTTCTGCGTAACTTCCTTGAATAACCGCATGTGACTTCGAATTGCCTTTTCCTTCCGCAATGATGCACGACAACATGGCAACACACACCACCTTGATGCTTGGGAAAGATTCTGGGACAAGAAGCTGCCGGGTCTTGGCAAGATGTTGGACTCTATCGTCCCTCGCAAGCTGGTCTTTAGCTTGCCAAAGAGGAAGGACTTTGAAAGGCTTTGTCAAAGGGCTGTTTCTGGCACGGATGACACTTCCGTGATTCTTGGTAAGTTGGACGAGGTGGATGGGCTCGGACGTTTTGTTGCTCTGGCTCAACGTGCGGAGTCGGTCGAGTGGCAGGGTGACGGAATATTCAAGACTTGGGTGGTTGGTAAGCTGGAAGGAGCGGAGGAAGTAGTCGTGGGTGATAAAACCGCGCCAGAACCTTCTCAGCACACTGCAACCGGGCATCGAGTCGCACCGCTCTGGTCGCGGTGCTTTGCGCAAGCAGTGGCAGCCGTTAATCAGTTCCGCTTTTGGTTGATCAAGTGTCTGATCAAGAAGTTGGTGAAACTCGATCGATCGCGATAAGTGTCCGCGAGGCAATATGACCCAACGCTGGTGTTCTGAATTTGAGATCGACGTTTCTCTGTGTCGATCCAGGTCCAAAACATTACGGCAACCTCCAGTGGAAACATCAACAGAGGCGGCCAGGCTTGCATGTCCTCCTCAGGAACCACGGTCGAGCAGCAGCGACAATGTCCAAGTTCTCTGAGGCGTTACAAGGGATACATCCTCGCCGCTGCACATCCGTGTCTCCAGATGGACATCGTACGGAAGAGATCGCGAGTCGGCAGGAACTCCTGGGAACGCAAACAGAGCTGCACCTTGCTTCCAGCGCAAGGAAGATTTTGGCAGCACACTTGCATAGTTTCTTTTTCCTCTCAGTTCAGTACCCTTCCCCTCAAAGAGGCTCGGGTGTATGTAAGACTTCAATAGTGGCGTGTAAAGGGCATATTTAGACACGCCCAAGTGTGCTCTGTTTTTCATTGGCTATATGAATCAACAGCTCAGAACGAGCGAGTGTAACCTAGACAGGGCTGCGCACGTGCTATCTATCAAACGAGTCAACGAACATTTGTCGTAGCCCTTGTCGACGCTAAACCTTGTCAAACCTTACCGTATTGAAGGGCTCGTCATTGCCTATCAGCGAATTAGTTGAATGAGCGACGGGGTAAGAGCCCGGTAGATGGACACTCGGGTACGACGCATGTTCGTGAAGGTCAGGCCAAGATAATTATGCGGCATCTTCTTTGAACCTTCGTCGGCAATAGCTTGATGCCCAGTAAATGGTGCTGACGCTGCAGCTCAGCTAGACAGCCACTGCTGGCTTTACAGGTCATCAATGCGTTAGTGTTTCTGTGTCGGCTTCCCGTCTTCATGCAATGAATGTACGGGAAGCAGTGGCAAAGTATCTCGTCCCTACATGCGGCTTCGGCAGTCCGGTCCCAAGTAAGAAGTTGCAAATTTCTTTGGAGCTCAGGTCACGAAAGTATAGCTAGAAGGTTGTGGAAGTACAATCAGGCACCGTGCGCTCGAGCGTGATCTCGATCCGATCATTCAGCTGAAAGCCTTGGGAGTCTCACAGCGTTCGTCTAACAAGAACGCGCTGAAGAAAAATCGTGGACCTATCGCAGGGGGGAAGGAGCGGCTTCTTGAGGAGTTCGACGGGTCGTCGACTATGCCTCAGAGTCGCAGAGATTCGTCTACGTGCAGCGGACTAGTCCCAAGTGCCATCACGCCGCAAAGTCGGATGCATGAAGCGTCTGCAGAGGCATCGTGGCAGGCAGACTGTGGAGCATTGCTATTGCGAGGGTTTCGATATTGAGTTGGATGATGTGGCAAAGCATGCAGCAGCGCAGAGCGAAGTTCGCAGATGGGACGCTCAGCAGAAGGTGCCACATGGCAAGGAGAGTCTGCTCGGCGCTAGAAATGCTGTCGTGATCTCAATGTGCAGCAGAAGCCCTGCTCGTTCAGTCAATGCCAGCTCATCAACACCAGCTGGACGTTTCAGCGGCGCCCGTCACTCGTGCCATGTCATCGGCGTTGGTCGGTCCGTGGTGAAGCTGCCGTAGCGTCGCCGTCGCGGAGGAACAGCTGCACGCGACTTCTTTCGCGCAGTGAGTTTGACTGGTGCTGCACGGCGTGGGCGGGGCAAGGATGATGGTGGCCAAGGAGGGAGTGTTGCTGTGACGATGTGGCCTGCCAGCCGCAGCTGGAGTGCTGATAGCGTGAGAGTGGAGTGGGGGAGGGGAATTATCAGCGAGCAGCATAACAAACAGGCAAGCCGTCACATGTGAACGCGGCTCAGAAAATGAAGGCGGCAGGGGACACACGTTGCACAGGAGGAGGAAGGTGCAGCGGCCTTGACCCTCCGATCGCCGGCAAATGACCGCATCAATACCTCGTCGACTTGACTTGACTAGTGAGCTCGTGCCGTTGTGCTCCTCGATTGTAACCCGCTGCCCCTCCCCGTCACCATACACTAACACTGTTGCTCTGTCGAATACTAAACAGTCCTCCTCTCAACAGCAGCAACAACACCGCTCCCTCCACCACCGACCAAGATCCCGCGGCGTCGCCCGCTGCACCCAACACGCCGCTTCCCCCTTCCCTGGCCAAGCAATCAGGTTTCTAGCTTTGTACCTGCATGACCGTACGGACCTGTCTCATGCCTTCACGTGCGATTGTCTGCTGACAGTCTTCTTTGTACAGCCTTCTCTTGTTGCTGCACTTCAGCTCGACTCCCTCGCTACCGACTCGCACACCGCACATCCGCAACATGGCTCAAGCTGTCGCCTCGCCGCAGTCCCCTGGTTCGTTGCCTAAGAGGCCGAAGGGTATGCCGTCCTGCTGCATGCGAAACAAATGCCACATGGACTAACCGCCACGCTTTTAGGTATCCTCAAGAACTCGAGCTCCTACCAATACACATCGCCAGACGCGCGCACCAGTCCCACTTCCGAGCACCGACCCAGCTTCAGCAATAACGATGGCGCAGCCGATGGGTCGCGTCCCGCGATGCCAGCACGCGAGCTGTCCGAGAAGGAAATCGTCCAGATGAACACCGAGGCCAACGCAGGTGGACACCGACGCTCCAGCAGCTCCGGCCAGCGCGCAGGCTTAGCTCGACGCCAGTCTTCGCAGACAGATGCCACAACAAACGGACACAGTCATCAAGATAGCGACCAGCAGAGACTGAAGTGGGACGAGGCCAACCTCTACTTGAACGAAGGACAGATGGGTGGTAAGATGAAGATCGACGAACCCAAGACGCCATACGCTGGTCGCTACGATCCGACTGAGGACGAAGACGAGATCGAAACCATCAACGCTGAAGAGCTCGCGGTAGATGAGTTGGACATGAAACCACGTGCCCGCAAGGCCTCCGGATCCCGTGCCAAGGAGCGCGACATCCCCGACATCGACCTTGGCGAGCCAGAGATGGACCCTGCCTCACGTCGAGAAAGCGATTCAGAGCGTCGTGTGCACGTTGACCAAGACAAGGTCGACAATGACGAGGGAAATCACGGCGAGCAGAACGAGGCAGACATGACTCATGAAGAGCGTGAGAAACACCAAAAGTTTGAGCAAATGCGCAAGAAGCATTATGAGATGAAGAATATCAAGAACTTGCTGGGGTATATTACTCCCCTGTCTCCGGTGATCAGTCCTGATGCTGACGGCTCACAGCCACCCCGAGGAACTTGACCGGCTCGATGACGAGTAGACGAGGTAACGAGTATAACGAAGCATAGCATTGGGCAGGAAACATCGGAATCGACGCTCTGCGATTCAGCAGTGTCGCGGCGTTTAAAGTTGGCATTCGAATTGGCGTAGGGAATCTCGTCAGAGCACAAGGATCTGATGCACTGGCATTACATGAACTGTAGTATGACCATTTTCGGCTCTCAATGGAAACAGTCGGAATACAGACTTTATCGATTCGCGGACGAATGGCGCTTTTGTGGAGGAATGGATGCGATTATTACCGTAGGTTCTGGGGTGCATCATGCGCTGACCTGCATGTGAAGGTCTTGGATCGAGATCATTTCCTTCGCCCAACTGCAGCCCTCTCGATGAGCACGTGTGCCACACAAACTTTTTTCCAGAACGCCCATGGCAGCCTTTATACGCCGTACAAGGAACATGCAACGGAAAAATTGCTGACCAAGCCGCCTTGTCGTTCGTTCGGTTCGTTCGTGCCGTATCTCAACCCCGGCATATCGCAACCGAGCTCTTGGCCCGGTCCGAAACAGCACTTCCCAGACTTTACTTCATTTATTTGTTGCAGTACACACTCGATGCAGCCGCCGGGCCGCCTTTCAGCAAGCCGCACGCCACTCTGACAACGCCATGTGGACGAAGCATCTAGACTGAGACGCATGTGGCACAACAATATGGATTTATCAATCTACTTCTTGCTTGGCCTGCAATTTCATTCCGATGTACGACCGCGAGGAGCATGTCGAACTGCGAGCCAGTGCGGAATATAATAGTCCATATTGCCTCCTACACAGTGACTTCTGAGTAGGTATCGCACAGTGTGCGCCAGGTCGCTACGTTCGCTTTTTTTCATTGCTGGCTCTTGAGAGCAGCGTCCCTTCATTTTTCAGACTTCAGCTTCTTTGCGACCTTGTTTTATTCAACGACTTGTGCAGTGCACAGTGCAAGACCTCCTGGAGGGGTCTGATACTTGATCTCCAGGATGAAGTTTATTCAGCTTACCGCCGCAGCGCTTACGCTTGCAACCGCTTCCGTCGCTCAGGTGTTCTCCAGCTACACTGACGAGGATGGCGTTGTCCTTTGGCAAAATACATTCGATCCCAAAGTGGGTGCCGGAAATGCCCAGGTCGGTATTGCACTACCCCCAGCCGATGCAGCCGATCTCAAGAACGAATACATTGGCCGAATCGTCGCTCCTATACCGGAAGGTGGAACGTGGTTTGGAATCACCCATACAGCGGGTATGACGGGCTCTCTACTCCTCATCACCTGGCCAAACGAAGGCAAAGTCATGACCTCTTTCCGTCATGCTTCTGGATATGTTGAGCCTGCTTTGTACACCGGCGACGCCACACTTAAAGTCATCAACTCTTTCGTCAACGAATCGCACTATGGTCTGACGTACAGATGTGAGAACTGCTGGTCTTGGGATCAAGATGGAGAAACCGGTTCTTCTGTTCCAGCTACGACTTCTGGTGCATCGCAATTGCTCGGATGGGCTCAAGCTACTGTTTCACCTACCAACCCAGAGGCCACCGATGCGGCGATTGTGCAGCATGCCCAGGCTAACATTATGGCTGCTGCTGTTGCTTCGGCGAGAAATACTGATTACACTTCTTGGATCTCGCTCGGGACGCCTGAGACGCCTACTACTTCTGCTCCTGTTGCTAGTGGAACAGCTGCGCCTGCTCCTCCCTTTGGCGGCAACTCGACCGCAAATGCAACCGCCACCGCAAGTGCGACGACTACTGCACCGGCTGCACCATCTTGCACAAGCGATCTGACAATCACGAATCGCACTTGGGATTACATTGTGGTTGGCTCAGGTGCAGGTGGTATTCCTGTCGCGGACCGTCTTTCAGAATCTGGTGCTTCAGTCCTTCTGATCGAAAAAGGACCTCCATCTACCGCTCGCTGGGGAGGTTCGCTCAAGCCGGACTGGCTCGAAGGTCAGGAACTTACCCGGTTCGATGTTCCGGGTCTTGACAACCAGATCTGGGTCGATTCAGCTGGCATCGCATGCACAGATGTCTCCGTCATGGCCGGATGTGTCCTTGGTGGCGGCACAGCAGTTAACGCAGGCTTGTGGTGGAAACCAAACCCAGCTGACTTCGACTTCAACTTTCCAGATGGATGGAAGAGCAGAGATATGCAAGGTGCCATCGACAGGACGTTTCAAAGAATTCCTTTCACGGATGTTCCTTCGCAAGATGGGAAGATCTATCAAGGTGAAGGGTATGATGTTGTCGCTGGAGCTCTGGCTGCAAGTGGCTGGAAGAATGTTACTGCTGGCAATGCACCTGCACAGAAGAATCTTACCTTCTCGAGACCGAACCACATGTTCTCGAAGGGTGAGCGAGGGGGGCCGCTGGCGACTTACCTCGTGACTGCGAGCCAGAGGCAAAACTTCAAGATGATCACTGGCACTTCTGTTACTCGTGTCATTCGACAAGGCAGCCGGATCACTGGCGTAGAGGTCGATGCTTTCCTTGAAGGCGGGCTTTGCGGCCAAATCAAAGCTCGAGCGGTCGTCCTCTCAGCTGGTGCCTTCGGAACGCCGAAAGTTCTCTTCCGATCTGGTATCGGACCTCAAGCACAGCTAGAGACTGTCCTCAGTGCTGAAGGTGACAAGATGATTCTTGAAGAGGACTGGATCAGATTGCCAGTCGGAGAGAATCTGGACGACCATACGTCGACAGACATCGTCATCACGCATCCCAACATCACCACCTATGACTTTTATGGCGCATACAGCGATCCGATCCAAGCTGATGTAGACTTGTATCTGAGCGACAGAAGTGGTATTCTGGCGCAGTCTGCACCAAACTTGATCGCCATGTTCTGGGAGGAGATCACAGGCACAGATGGCATCACTCGCCAGCTACATTACTCAGCCCGTGTCGAATCAAGCCATGACATCGACAGCCCCAACGCAGTCTCCATCACGCAGTACCTAGGTCGTGGCTCCACGAAGCGAGGCGTAGCGACCATCACCAAGGCTCTGAACATGGTCGTCTCCGAAGTACCATACCCCAGCGACGGCGAGAACCTGGCTGCCATCAAGACCAGTATCCAGCACGTCCTCACTGCGTTTTCTAAGAACCCAGCGATCAAAGTCGCCTACCCCTCCCCCAACACAACCCTCGACGACTGGATGAGCACCTACCCCCTCACAACCAGCTCCCGCTCCGCAAACCACTGGATGGGCACAGCAAAAATGGGCTCCGACTCCGGTCTCACAGAAGGTGGAACATCAGTCGTCGGTCTCGACACAAAAGTCTACGGCACAGATAACTTATTCGTCGTCGATGCTTCGCTTTTCCCTGGCATGGTGACTACGAACCCTTCGGCTCTCATTGTTGCAGTGGCAGAGCAGGCTTCGAAGAAGATTTTGGGGGTGGGATTGCCGAATGGGACGCCGGGAGGGGATACGGTTTATGAGATTGGGACTTATCAGCAGTGTGGTGGGAAGGATTGGAGTGGTGCGGTGAGTTGTAAGGAGGGGTGGAAGTGTCAGGCTTGGAATGAGTATTATTTTCAGTGTATTCCGCAGTGAGCGGGATGATTGGGGTTTTGTGGATGGTGTGTCGACCGAAGTTTGGTGTGTGCGAGCCTTCTAGTCGATATACTTTCGCGTTGGACGCGCTTTCTTGCGTGGCAGATATGGCAGTGGTGAACTTCGTTATTCTTTCCTCTTTCTCCCGTTCTGCGACTTCTTCTTTGAGACAACAGCTTACAACATCCACTGATAACGCCTCTTCCACAACTCGCCTGAGCCCGTTAATGACGACCAGGTACAGTTCGCAGTTCGCCAGGAAGCAGCATCAACCTCCCACGCGAAATCCTTGTGCAACGCACTGGCAAGATGAGGGCCAACCTTGAACCGACAACAGCCATCAGTACCCGCAACAACGCCGCACTGTGCTCCCACTTCACTGCGTTTCCCGCTGGATCATAAATGCGTCACGCGTGCTTTCAGGTTCCCTGTTCCTGTCCCCCAAAGGTCTCATCGGAGATTGCGCTGCAGAATACTGTATCTCGCATTCTTCATCACCTCCGTTGTCCTATCACGTCTGCGGTGCTTTGCGGCGGATACATGTCGGCGTCCTCCACTGGACAACGAGTGTGGTACCGATGTCTAGCCGGACGTGGAGGACAAGATGCAACGCAGCGAGAGAAGTTGAGATGCCGAAGGGATCGGCCGAGACGCACGGAATCTCCACCATGGAGGGACTTGGCAGCAGGACCCTAGGACCCTGCCGCTATGTATCGACCACATTCCTCGACTGTTCATCGATCAATGCTCATGTTCCAAAAGCCATGAAGGCATGTCATGCATCCCACCGCATCTGGTTTCAAATTATGGTGTGATATATTGGCGGACTGGTCATCTGGCACTCTCAGCTACGATGACAGCATGGTTGTCAAGGTAAGCAGCACGAAGAAGCTCTCCCAATCTGAGCTACCCACCCTCCACACACAAATTCGGCAGATTTCGGGAGAAATTGCTCTCTGGAATAGCTGTGTGCTGCGCTGGCCTGTTGGGTATAGGCGCTACTAGGTGAGTCGCCGACTCAACGACTACTGCGAGCAGATTTTGCGCCATCGGGAGAACTACAGAAGAGGCAGCGTCCGCACTTGAGCGATCGTAGTTCACGCTTGTAGTGAATATATATATCTGCTGGGGCGGCCCGCACATGTATTATCCCACGCTGCAGGTCACACACCCTCTCTGCATGCACGCGCGACACAACGCATTGGCGAGGCGGGAAGAAAACAACCACAACTTCCGCTCCCAGCCATAGTGAGGGGCGCGAGCTCTGCAACTGGTCCAAAAGCTACGCATCCCACGCCTTCGCCTGCAGGGCTCTCTCGGATCTGGGGTTAACAACCTGGCTGCACGCGCAACACACTGCGAGCCACAGAACATCATCCACGACATTCATTCAGCAACTTGCGGCTAAATCGCAGTGACGTTGTATCACTTTCGCTTGCACCCGCGTGCTGCAGGCAAAGGCCCAGAGCTCGTGCCGAGTATATATACAAAGCTGACGTCCTGCCTATTACGACCGCGCATCGATCTCTTACTCTGAAGCACGGCATCTGGCATCATTTTGGAAACATCGCGACATCTCTGGCCATGAACTTTCAAGCTGCGATTGTTGCAGAATATCCGTTGCCTGTTGAGAACGTCAACCGCTGAACGGGCTTTGCATGAGTGACTCAACATCACGCCCTTTGTCATAACTTTGCATAAATACCAACCCAGCCTGTGGAACAACGTTTAAATTTTCATCGAACATGGGACAACCGATTCTGGAATCGAGCACTTTGCTCAATGCTAATATTGGCTTTCTTGTGAGAATTGCGATATCGTCCGGTGATTCGACGCTAATTGTCGACAGAGAACACATCTTGCTATGATTCATATCCCGACATCAATATGGTCTTTGTTTCTACAACCTATACTTGGTCTGCTGCTGCACAACGACCTGCGAGACGAAGATGGCGCTACGATACCGCCGCATCGACCCTGGTGTCACTGGAAGCCTTTCACGAATGTATCGATTACGCCACAAGAATGCAGCATCGTCTGTTCTCGAGACGACGCCGAAGCACTTTTCAGACCCCTCATCGCAAACCTCAGCGCAACGCTACAAAAGCAGGTCTCGATCAGCGAAGAAGATTACTCCGTCATCACGATCGGCGGCGAAGGCCTTGAAGCAGGCCAACGAGTCCTCGACCTAACAAGTCCATTAGCATCAGCCGGCATCCCCATCTTCTTCATCACATCCTACTACTCCGACTTCGTCCTAGTCCCCTACAGCTCCCGCTCAAAAGTCATCCACGCCTTGGAAGAACGCGGTTTCGTCTTCGAAGCCGACAGCGAAGACGGTGAAGCAGGCCATATGACCAACCCAGCCTCACCGCTCCTCAACTCCCATGCCCGACAAGGATCTTCCGGATCGTCGTCTTCGAGCTCAGCAGAAAGTTACGGCTTCAATTCCATGGTTATCCCTACCCGCGCACCTCACACTCCGCCTCCGACTACCATTTCTGACTTACAAACCCGGACTTTTAAGATTCTTGCGAGGAATAATATTACGCCTTTCGTCGACCCTTCGATTGAGTTGGTTACTTGTGCTGGGTTGAAAGATAGTACTCCTCATTCTTCCGAAACGAATTTCACTGAAGGGAAACTCCAACTTGGTATTGCGAGATGTCTTACAGCATCCTATCCTCCACCGAAATTCTTCTCCGTCACACTCACAGACAACGAATCCGCCTCTCTAACACTGGAAAAACGCCTCTTACAATACTTTCCCGAAGATGGCGAGGAGATTCTACTAGGAACACAATCGCCTGAGCAAATCCCTATCACACTAGATCTGAAAGATTTACCACGGGAGAGTACGGGAATTGTTTGTGGAGTGTCGAGTCGTTTGACGGAGGGGATGAAAGGGAGGATCAGCGCGACGGAAATGTTCAATATGAGTTATTTGAGTACAAGTCGTGCGGGGCATGTTATTGTGTATGAGGATGAATTGGCTGATGTGATGGAGGCGTTGAGAGGAGCGCAGATCTTGGATGAGGAGGGGAAGTAGTCAAAGTAAAGTTGGCAAGAGACATGCATGCAAATGAGGGGCATGTCTAGCTCAAAACGATCTCAAGTGGTAGCTCTTTGAGCGTTGCCCTTGCTCGAAAACGTGTCATGAAACAGTGGTGAATTGAAGATCAGGTGGTAGCGTGAAATGTATCACCACTCACTGTACGATGGTAGCACCTCAAACACGTAGAGGCAACTCGGTGAGAGCCAAAGATACAATGTCTATCGAGGAAAAATTCCAAAAGCGCCGCCCCCTGCCATTGTGTGGTATTTCGCTTGAACGCGGCAAGTCCCCAAAAGAAAAAGTAAAAGAGAGTCGTAATCGTAGCTCTCTTCCTCTCGTAATACACACCAGAGAGCCCACGCCATCACTCATGATGCTTTCACCTCGTATTCTATCGAGAGAGATACTACTCCCGCTTCGAGAACGTAGGACCAGCACCCAATGCCCCACCGATAACTCGACTGAGACTGCGAGATCTCTTATGACTGAGTCCTCCGCCCTTGGTCGAGAGATTCGTGGATCTACGCGTGTTCACCTTCCGCAGGCCAGTAGGGTCTTGGTCTCCGCCAGCGGCAGCAGTCATAGCCTGATCTGTGCGGCTTTGCGGCCGGGTATGCTGCGCAGGAAGTCCGTTCTCGTCCAGTTCGCCGTCTTCCCAAGTACGAGCCTTGCCGTTCCTACCAAATAGGTTCTGATTCTCCTCCGCGAACATACTGCCACGTCGAGTCAGTTTTCGTTGGGCTTCCTCGTGCTCTTTCTGCTGAAGCTTGTCGCTCGGAAGCAGGATGGCGCGATCGAGGGCGTATGGGAGACCACGGTGACGACCTCGAAGCATCATTGCAATGATGATAAGCCTCGATATTGGTCGAAACTGTGCTGAGAAGGAAGTGTTGGTGTTAGGGTAGCCGAGTGACAGACCGACTGTTCCGTAAGCCGAAACAATCTCGAACAGTACGCTGAACATGGTGAATGAGGGCTCATTCGTGTTGGCAATCTTGTCACCCTCGACGATTGCGATGATGAAGAGTCCCAAGAAAATGTACCACAAATCAAAGGACAGCTGCCTACGCAGATGTTGACTGACGTAGCTTTGCTCGTCGTCATCACCAGCTGCCTCCTCGCCACCAAAGATTCCAAGCGATTTCTCTTCGTAGACGTTCGTCCTTCGAAGGGTGATGGCGATTGGGAACACGGAGATGTACATCATTATCATATAACTGACTTGAATCGCCGCGTGAAGGTCTGCCAGATTGACTGAGGCGAATCCTGCTGTCCGGGTCGAAGCAGCCTGGAACCACCCGTTGAGAACTCTGATTCCCGGATGCAGATTAGCGACCACGTCCTGGTTGAGATCCAGAATGATGAAGAAGATCAGGTCAATAAGATTCAGCCCAATCAGCACCCAAAACAACCACCACGTGGCCTTGCTAGGAAAGAGCAAGGTGAAGCAGCGGCGTGGATGATCGAGTAGGAAGCGAAGTTCTTTCCATAGCTCACTTTCGGATGTGACGACCTTGGACAGGATCCAAATGATGAAGCGCAGCATGCACGGAAAGCCAGTGTTGCCGATGATGATGAGGAATGACCCAAAGAGTAGAGGCAGCACCGCACCTTGGAATTCAGTCATCGAAGTCGGGACGATCGTGAAGCCCAGGTCGTTCAGCATAGAGGCTGGGGTGAACACGCCCCACCAACCCGGGTCTTGATGCCAATATTCGACTCTGCTTTTCCATGGCTCGGTATGCTTGATCCAAGGGAGCAACACAGTCATGCCCAGGGTGTGGAAACCAACGTAGTAACCGATCAGGATCTTGGCCAGTGTCTTGAGCGCCCGATATTCGATGCCTCCCAATTCCTCGCGTTGCTCGGATGTGAGGCCCATGAACATACTGTTGCGACCTGTCGTGGCAGTCCAGTCGAAGTACGGCATGGGCTCAATGTTACTCGGTCCCGTGAGATTCGTCCAGGCTCTGGCAAAGCTACGTCGACCCTCAGTAATGTTTGGGAAGCGGGACTCCCGACGCCGGCCTACGCCGAACATGCTCAAGATTCTCCAAAGGCGAGAGCGCTCGTGGGTGGACTCCTCGCCGTCCTTGTCGTCTTTACCATCTTCGGTCTTCTCGTGTCCTTCGTCTTTACTCTTAGTGGTCGCCCGTTCCCGATGGGCAGGATGGTCGGGTACGTCAATAGTGATACCGCGTCTAACCTGACGATCCTCGTGAGAGACCTCGCTGCGACCACCAGCACTCTTAGGGCGCGTGAGGGACGCCCCGCCTGCAGACACCTTTGTGTGCAACCGTGACATGGTGGTATCCTCGTCCAGTTGTTCTGGTAATTCGCCCCGGTCGAAGTCTCGTGGGCCAGGTATGTAGAGTGCGCCACCTTTCTTTGCGTTGGCCTGTTGCCGCTCTAAAAACTCGATATGCTTGGATACATCTCGGTGCTCGGGAATGCGTGAGATCTCAGGGGACTGACGTCCAGATCTGGGAACCTCATCTGCGAAGGTGATTTCTCTGTGGAGTCTGGGGTTCAGGCCCATGAAGGGGGTATCTGGCTCTTCGGTCGGCATGGAAGACAGCTCTGGATGTTGAGCCGTGGGCACTACTATCGTCGATTCGGAAGAGCCAGCCTCGTTCTCTCTATCCTTGCTATTCGTCCTGCTCGATTCCGGGGACTTCTGCTCTACACTCTCCAGTCCGATGCTCGGTCCAATCTTCTGTTTGAAATGTTGTCGTTTCGTCTCCGTGTCCTCGTCGTTGCCGTTTCTATCGATAAATCGTGCGGTGTCTGTGTCCACCGTGATTGACTTCTCCCGAACGCCTCCAGCTTCCAACTGGCCTGCCACGTTGTCTCGAGCGTCTTTATCTCCGCGCATCTGGCTTCTCGATCTGCTCAGCGTGAATCTCGTTCGCCCTCTCTTGGCCCGGGATTCCTTCACGATATGCTCGAAGCGCTTCTCAAACCAGTATAAGCGCACGAAGACCACGAATGTATTGATGAAGATGGGAGTGCATATGCAGGTGACGAGCATCATGACGACTTGCTGGTAGAGGAGGAGGTCGTTGACATCGATGGTGTTGAGGCCTGATTGTGTCGCCATGCCAGCGGCGAAGAAGAGAGCGTCGATGTAAGCCAATCCGCCCGCCGCATAAAGCATGATGGAGCCAATGATGGTCATGCCCACCATGAACATGTAGTGTAGGGTAATGAAGTTGAAATGCGGCTTCCTCAGCGACTGCTTGCTGGGAATGAGGGAGGCCAGCCAGCTGCCCACCTCTTTCAATGGCGACAGCGGGCCATCGGTGAAGGCGCCCGCCATGTCGACGGTGTCGCGGATTCGATGGCGCAGGTGTCGATGTCGAGGACGAAACAATGCAGAAAGTGAAGATAGAAGGTCGTCGGTTAGACCTTGAGTCTAGTGCGTGCGGGTGGGGAGCGCATGGTTATTGTGCACAGCTGCTGACCATTGTGAGTGCCGAGAGACGTCGACGGAGGTGAATGTGCGACGGATCAGGGACGTTCACAAGCGGAACTTGGAGTGAGTCGCGGGTCGCGGGAGGCGCCGAGCTGTACTGCCACGTCGACGGTCGTGTGGGCAGTCGCTGGTGGTGAGAGCAGTAGGAGTGCGAGAGTACGGTCTACAAAGAAAGTCGAGAGTGGTAAATGCGCGCTGACCAGGCGAAGGCGAAGCCAAGGCGTTAGGAGCAGGCCTGCGCACGCGGCTGCCGCATGCCCAGCGATAGCCGAGAGCTGCTGCACGGCCGGTAGCATGTGCTTTTGCTGCTGCTGATGTTCGTGTCCCTTCGCTCATCCAACGTCCGTACCACATATGCGCTGGACAGTAAGATGACGTCTGCCCCGTTCCAAATTTCCTTGAGAGAGCCGCTGTCTACAAGCCTGATCCCGTCCAGGGAGCTGCAATCATCGCAGAGTTGCCACGACATGCAGTAGGGTACACATCCCTGCTACGCTCCAGCAGGTCCGAATGCTTGTTCAAAGCAGATCAGCACTGCCACTCGCATGCTCACCCTCGGACACATGGCATTTCACGAGGCTCGATGTCGGTGAGCAACGGTTGACCGACATCCTGACTTATCCGTCGAGCGACTAACACCCTCCGGCCTGCCACGCTTGAGCGTGTTTCGCAGTTAGGGGAAAGAGCTGCGCTGCGACAGGACGTATCAAGCTATTGTCACAAGTTGTGGAGTCCACGCGTATGGCGTGCCATGCATCTGGAGCACTTCTTGGCCTCAGTTGATGGCCTTCTTCACTGGAACTTGGCAAAGCTCCTGTCTCACGCCGCCATCGCTGACACTTGTTATGCCATTTGCAACGGCCTCCGAGTCATACACAATTTGTCGACTGGATGAGCCTCGACAGGCAACGATATGACCACCATCAACACAAACTTCCCAAACCGGGCAAGCCTCGCCTGCTGGCCTGTATAAACAAAAAGCAAATCTCAAACTTGCTCTGAAATGGCTAGTTCAAGCAAAGGTACGTATTCTTCTCGAAGGAACGCATCGCAAGCTGTGACGCACGAGCGTTACAAGGGTTGCGTGGGGATTAGTTGCACAGTAGCTACTTCACATGCATCATCTGACAGAGAGCTCGCCATTGCGGATACGGTGGACGACAAGTGCGGTAGCACTACAAACAGCTCACAGAACTAGTGCAAGCTCATGAAGCTGCAACGACTGTACTATTCGATGGTGAGGCGACTTCGAACATCACTTGCTGTTTGATGCCTCATTCCAGGATATCCTTGAATGGCAGATGACAGTTGTGTGTTTCATCGCTTTCCGGTCCATCTTTGGCGAAAATACTTGCAATTACCGCATAAGAGCCTTGACAACAGCACAGCTCATGTATCTAGGCGAAATGCGGCCGGAACACCCAATGACTCGTGGACAACGACACTTGCTCGAGCTATAGAGACAACGCCTGGGGAATACGCGACAATTTTCTCCACAAGTCCCGCATAGGAAGAGGTAGGAAATTCCGACGACATACAGTGATTTCGTCCACTTCACCCGCTCGTCAAATCCACGCAGCAACACCCAATCCTCGTCCTACTGCCGCCATGTACTCCCACTCCAACAACCACCACTCGTCCAATCTTCATCACCACCGATGATTATCCTTCCATCACCACAGCCTCCCACCGCACCCCTCAAACCTGCCCCAAAGCAACAGCCATCCCCGGATCATACATCTGCACCTCCAACTCATAACTCTCAAATTTAACCTCCTTCTTCCCATCCTCCAGATTCAAAAACATCTTCATAGGAAACACCCCAATAATCATACACTTAAACACACAATCCTGCATCGCACCTCTCACAGCCATCGCACAATACCGATCCCTCGCATACCGTTCAATAAAAGGCCTCACTAACATATCCCCATCCCTCAACTGCGGCCGAATATACTCCAAAAGCGCCTGATACTGTGTCGGCGGCGGACCTGAGAAATCCGCATAAACAAATCCCCTCGGGATCTGGAGTCGCATGCTGAGAGGATTGAGGTTATCGATTGTACCATAAACGTGCAAAAGCATAGGTTGTCCAGACGATTCCGGGAATTGAGGGTTTTCGGGGAAATTACTTTCGTGAGAAGGTTCGGTATCGCGGAGGACGACTTCGGAGAGGGTGGACATGCTGCTGCGGAGACGGGACATACGCGTGTTGTTGGCGAGGTAGGAGTCTTGGCTTGGGGTGCGTTCGAGGGGGTTGGGTTCTTGTTGGGGTGGGGTGATGGGTGGTGAACCGGCGAAGGTCCACCCTGGTATCCATGAGAGGCGTTTGGCCCATTGGTTTGAGGAGGAGCGGCGGTTGGTGTTGTCGGGACTGATGCTTTCTTGGAGGATGGGGGCGTCTTCGGGGACTGGAGGGAGGATGGCGGCTTCGCGGTTGGGGTGGTTTTCTAGGCGGCTGCTTGAAGGTGAAGAAGCCGATGAGGAAGATGATGAGCGGCCTTTGCCATTGAGTGGGAATGATCGATGTCCGCTTTTGGTAGGGTCAGAATGTCGTCTGCCACCTGTTCTTGAGTTTGGAGGTAGTTGAGTTAGGGTGGCCATGTCGCGTGAGGCTGTTTGGTCTTCAACGTGGTTACTGGTAGAGCAATGGAGGTACAGGAACGATAGTACCATGTGTATCTATGTGAACATAGCATGCTACTGGCTGCTGGATCGTGTGAGACATGGGGCTTTCAAACCGCTACGCTACAGGGCAACGTCTCAGCCAGGCGTTCATTATCATTGGTGACCGTTTGCAACGCTCCGGTACGCGCGAGGACCTGTCCATCTACACCAGTAGGAGCAGTCACCGAGAGGTGACTTCCATCGATAAGTATGCTGACGCTGCCCGAAGCATCATACCTTTGCGCTGTGACACGCCTCCCGCTGGCTCATGGGCAACATTGACCAGTGAGGACGCGCATCGTCGGCACGACAAGCCAGAGTGACTGTGATTCTGATGGCAGTCGTCACGCGCAGGTCCGGCTGTGATCTCCACGCCTCTGCACGCCGGGTCTTGCCGTGCTAGTGATCGATTGCATATTCCTTCCTTGGAGCAGGATTCTCCTTCATCCGCCCGCTTTGGGGCCACCTAAAGTTGGGCCAAAAAGATCATTCATGTCTTTCTCATTCTTTGCCCTCTCGGCCTTGATCTTTCGAGCTTTCTCCTCGTCCATGACACCCTCTTCCGCGCCGTTGCGTTTTACCGCAGCTGCCACTTTGACCAGATCTTTCGTGGTGGGATCACGACAACCCTCCAACTTCTTCTCTAGACCCGCACGCTGTTCTTTGCTGATGTTTGTGCTCGTGCTGAAAGAGGCAATCATCACCGCACAGCTTTCGATGGTAGCCAATATCTTCGATCGCGAGGGTAGCCCAAGTGGAATTTTTGTGTCCAGGAAGTAGGTGAGGAGCGGTGTGTCCGCGACATGCAAAGCCGCGAAGAGGATTTGTGAAGGCGTGTACAAGAAGTATGCATCGGATAGTGAAGCCTCTCTGTCGAGGAGATTCTTTGCTGCTGCATATGCCAATTGCACCCTCTCCACCAACTGCTTTTGTTCTATGCGGCCATTGCTCCCATTTGGCATGGAGAATTGTGTCTTGTTGGCGGAATCTGGTGCTCTCAGAGCGAGCATGCCCTGCTGTACCTCCTCGCCGCTTTGTTGTACTATTTCGTCCACCAACCCCTCTGTCATATTGAGTAGCTCGATCAACGCTCCCTTCAAGCCTCTGTATGGTTGCCGCACATCGAGCATGAAGCGTAGAGCTTGCATGACCTTGTACTCTGGCGCCAGTACGACTTCCGGATCGGCACTGATCGATTTCGAGAATTTGGACAGCGGCGTGTGGGTGGCTTCGGTCTTGCTGGCGAGGAACATGACGGTTTTGTAGATTTCCTTAGGCGGATATGTCATACAGCTGTTGGTCAAGTAGAAGCGCTTGAAGTACTGGATGGCTGTAGTGAAGACATGCGCAGGCCACCCGAGGAGCACGCCCGTCTTGTGCATCACCTCGCAGTATGCCTGCACGAGCTGCAATTCCTCCTCCGCCGTGAGGCATCCGGGTGGTGTCGCGTGGCCATTCTGCTGGCCGATGTACTTCTGAGCTCGGGCAAGGGCGAGCTCGTGGGTCTTGCGACGCTGGGCGACGAGCTGCTCAGGCGAGAAGGACCAGTGGCGATACTGCGTCGAGCGGCGGTATAACTCGTCCTCGTCGATTGTGGAGCTCATGGTGCAGGTGGAGCGGGCAGCGGCGGTGGTGGTGCACGCATGTCGGAGATGGCGGCGCTTGCGCTTGCTTTCTCTCCCACCAAAACTTCAGACCGGCGGGGAGACGGCGAGACGCGACAACGCACCGCCGTTGCCAGCGAAAATGGCCATCGCGCGACAGCAGCCTCACTTTCGACCGCAAGTGTCGCCGACATGTTTCCTCCATGAACTGTAATCGTCCCGCCACCGTCCCCTTCGTATTTTCCTTGTTCCTTTTCTTCTTTCCGAAAGCCGGAACGACTGGACATTTCCACCAACATGAGCCTACTGGTATTTCCTACCGAGCTGATCGCTCAGGTGTTCGCACACCTCGACGATGATGATGTCTTCAGAGCACGGCTGAGCAACAAGGCTTTGGAAGAGGCGTCTTTTGCCTCATTCGGCAAGCGATATTTCCGGAAGAAAGGCTTCATGATCACCTCCACGAGCTTGGACGTTTTAAATCACATAGCTCAACATGAAGGCCTGCGAAAGCATGTGCAACATTTGTGGTTCAATCCGGATCTATACACATTCGCTCGACCGGCATGTGCTCCGGATGATGAGGATTCAGATATGGACTCTGCTGACGACCTCATCACCCCGGCCGAGAGGAAGACTTCGGAGTCATTGAGAGTCTTCGATCGACTTTCTATTCAGTACGAAGCATATCAGCAAGTCATCAAAGATCATGCAGAGCTGTTATACACGCGAAAGCTTGAAGACGAGCTTGCGTCTGCCTTCCAGCTATTGCCAAACTTGAGAACTGTTGGAATGCGAAGGAGCGAAGATTATAGCCCATATGGTTGGACTATGCTCCGAGATGCCATTGGCGAGGACCCACGTATCTTAGGGCCCATTCCCTCGGGCCCAGTGTACGATCTATCTGACTCGACTTATCTCTTCGTTGCCATCATTTCAGCAGCAGCAACAACTGGCACACGCTTGCAGAGGCTCTACACGGATGCCATCGAAATCGACAACATCAAAGAAGAGTGGCTTCCTCAGGACACCTTGGACGCAGCATGCAGATCCATCCTGTATATCGAGCTCAATGCTGTCAAAGGCTGGCTAAACACTCGACCACATTTGAGATCTCAGCCATATAATACTCTTCGTCGCCCAGAAGATTTTGGTACTGGACTGGCTCGACTGCTCAAAGCAACAACGAATCTGAAAGAGATTGGTTTGCAGATATTTCCAGACAGGAAACAGTCGCACCTACTTGCTCCCACTGCTCGCAATCCTGATAGCTGGCGATTAAGCTATGCCTACGTCGCTCTGCAGAGAGTAGCAATGTCGTCCACTTTGCCACATCTTACGCGAATCAAGCTTGAAAAAGTGACAACAACATCTACGACTTTGATCAGTCTACTCCGACCGAGCTGCAGCAATCTCACAAGCGTCAAGATTCGTGACGTTCGCCTACTCTCATCAACGAAAACCTCACCCACCAACCCGTCTGTATTTGCTGGTGATACAGAAGATCTCGAGCCACGTCCCTGGTATACGATCTTCAAATTCCTGCTGGACTCCTGCCCAGAACTAGACTTCATTCTGCTAAATCATCTTATGCACGATCGAGGAACCGTCTCTTTCACTGAAGAAGCTCCTCCGCCTATGCCAGCGGAAGAGGCAGAATGGTTGATGAACCACATCCCACCGAGTCATGGCGGACAAGGGAGCTTCACGAGATATGAGCATGTCAATCTGCAAGCAGAGGGACGGGAAAAGGTAAAAGATGAATTGGAGAGAGTCGTGGATGCACATTGGTACCATCAACCACTGTTTAGTTATCTGATGGATGAGAATGTTTGGCATACCGACACGAGTGATGAGGAATGGTGAGGATTACAATTTGCACCGACGCAAACACACCGCAAAGCATGTTCTACCTGATCGAGGGGCTGCTCAATTCTACCACGATTCTCAAATACGATACGATGTCTTCGATCGAAATGATGGAATAGCGACCATCAGTCCGCCAGATCAAGACGCTTAACCGTGGCTACCTCTGAATGCAACTACCTCTGAGTGCAACCGCAGGTCGCTAAGCCAATCAGCAAAGCTTCCCATGG